AAAATCGTTTCAAATAAAGCAACCGAAATAAAAAAAAAGACACCAAAGTGATTTCCAAAGGCGATTGCATGCTTTTAGAATAGAACAAGCTAGGCGACACATGGAGCCGTGCCTAGTCCGTGCTTTCGATTTATACATGAAACGGATGCGGGACCGAGAGTTAGATTTCTTTACGTTTGACTAATTGTCCAAGAAGGGTCATCTGACTAATTGTCCAAGAGGGGTCATCTAAGCTGTTGAAAGAAGGGAACCAAACATACCCTAATGCGAATATATCGGGAAGACGTCATGTAAATTGGCGAAAAGCTGTTTTGTATGAAAATATGATTACAATATAATATCTGCTTCGAAAACAGATTGGTTAATCTGATAACAATGGCGATTAGAATATATCGGATAATCAAATTGGGGTTGGTTATGATATCAGGAAATGACGGTACTGCGTGTGATCAATTTTAAGATACAAGCATTTATATAGTGGTACGCACGATAATTTGTAAACAAATTAAACCCACAAAAAAGATCAAATATATAAATAACTGCAGTCCGACTATGGTACGAAGTACAAAACACGTAGTATTCATCAAGAAATGAAATACGTATAAGAAAGGATATACGTACCTATCCCACGTATAAATCCATGTATAAAGACCTACACTTAACAAAGACCGATCTGCGTAAAACACACGGTCGAACAAAAAATCGCACGGTAAATTAGATTTAACACCTACGCGTCAGATAAAGCCTGCTGGTCCTTGATAAATCACCTTTGCTGCAGTTATAACATGCTTTCGGGAAAACTCACCAAACAAAGAATACACACCGTGTCGGTCGTTTTTAACCCGTTCGCTAATTAACACACCAGTACAGAAAACGCACCGTCGCCAAGATTATCACCCCTAGCGATAATTATATCCCCTTTCAGTCAATTTCTCACACCTGTTAATTAACACACTGTACCTACAGAGTTTAGCCTCTTCGTATTAGATTTGTTGCGATAATTAGAATTTTACCGATATTGGTACAAACTTACTAAAAAGCGAGAAATTTGTACTGTAAACGTACGAATCCCACCTTTACTACTTCTCAGTGTCAGCAGTGAATATTCACTTGGCTCCTTGAGAGGAATGACATCGGTGCGGATTAATTAGCTCGCAATATTAACTTTGTTCCTTCTGCAAATTTAATTCTAGAACATTTATTTTTAAGTATTAGAAAAATAGATATAGGTGTTTGAAGTATATCTAGATAAAAAAATATTTCCTATTTAATGTAATGGGTATATAAAATGAGTAATTAAGGGTACCATATTTACATCTCCATGGCTTCGAACAGTTTATGCTACGATGTGGGGTCTTACTTATCAATTAAATACCAGTTGTTTCAAAGTCTCGACCAATCAAATTGCTTATCATTCTGTTTACCCTCTGCAGAAAATTTCTTTATCGAACTTAGTCAAGGTATTGATGTGATGAAACCATGCACCAAGTTTCATCACTCTCACTTAATTCGAACTCCATCAAGGCATCGACCTAATAAACACCTACACCAAGTTTAGAAGGAGAGTTATTGTTTCCCAAAGAGTGCGACGGGCGGACAGACAGAGAGAGAGGCGGGCGCTTTCTTCGAAAGGCGGGGGACAATAACAAAAGTCAGACATATAGATCTTTTTCATATTTGACACAGGGCCGTAAGTAGACCAGAGCAATGTGAATGAGGGGGCGGGAAGTGTTCTCAGGGGTTCTGTTAAAATGATGGACAATGTATTGTAGTGAACTGGATCTCTTGATAGAGCGGATTACTGTTGTAGAGTGGGCCCGGTGTGGCAGTTTCAAATGGTCCTTGGTGTGTGATTACCGTTTGGCGCATGCGCAGTTGTAGGAGTCACCCCACACCGTTACAGACGCGGTGTGCATTGACTCCTCGTGATAGGATTTCTCCTAAGATGTTCTTACGGTCAAATCAATATATTATAGACTATTTTATATTTACAATATTACCACTAAAAGAGGATGCAAATTGACGATCTTTATTATTATTATTTAGTATATATACCCGTCCACAATGCGAACATTCTCTCTTGTATTTGGGCTGTCTACATGCATGTTTGAATGTACGTATGGGATGGTGTAATAAATCTATATTTATGTTAAAGAAATCGGAATAAGAAATTCCATACTTTTATATTTGTGTTAAATGAAGCCACGAAATTGATAATTTCAAGCCAATCATCAATTTGTATGGTTTCCACTGATCGTACGTGTGTAGAACGACTAACCACTAAAAAAAACCAACGGCAACAAATCACGAACGAAGTATCAATTTCAAGCCAATCAACTTAGATCCGTTGATCGTGTAACTACTGATCACTAAAACAACAGCTAATCACGTCAACAAGTATTTTATTAATGACAAAACTCTAATCAAGTACATGATATATTTTTTCCTGTACTGACCAGTGGTCAGGAACCAACTCGCAATGCAGGAAGTAGATAGTTTCGTTGTTAAGGCAAACATCAGTTTCGGACATGCGCAAGTGCCCAGGAGAAAACACACACCAGGAGTCAACTCAAACTATCACACCGGCTCTATCCGTTAGTTCCGTTGAGGGTTCACTACTGTAGAGGTGTTGGAGTAGCCAACCAAGCAGCTGGCTCAGAAAGACTAACGCCAGAATAATCAGCAACCATAGTGCTCCGTGGTCAGTCCTTATCTCAAATTTTCTTCCATACAAATACGGCTTGAAATATTTTACGAAATGTACTACAGCCAAGAGTTCCCTTCTGTTTACACAGTAAAACCGAGATTTTTTGGAGATAGACCTATCTTTCAAGTTTCGTCAAAATAGGATAAAAATTGTGGTCTGTAGTGTCCACAAACAAATTGTGGACTGACGTACAGGGGTGACGGCATAATACGTCCACATGAAAATCTCAGCGTATAAAAATGAAAAACCAAAGATCCGTTGATAAATAACCGAGATATGGGCAGTCTAACAGTAACAGTCTAAGATTATTTTTTGTCACATCCATAAAACACTTCCTGTTTGTCAAAAATGACCCAAGTCTCTCAGAAATTCGCCCGTGTATCTATTATCGCTGGTTACTCCAGTCAGTCATATAGAAGGATAACTTGTGTTTTCCTTTTGCTTTCCTCACTCCCGTTTCTCCAACTCTTTGTTACGCATATATCGTAGCAATGATCCCTGTGTTAAAATTATTTTTGGAACGTGTTTAACCAATTCCATCACATATGTGATAACGGCTGATACCAATATTGCCCTTTAATAAATAGTTTAATTTTACTTTGTATTTTGTCAATGAATAAGCTCTTGCATTGCATAAAAGCCTATTACTTTCTTGAAATGTTGTATACAGGTTACTACTGCAGATAGGTTGCCCGGCAACGAAACATACGCTCACAGCAGCTAAATCGTCTGATCAGTCAACATGAGTGTTGCATATTTTTACTTTTGTTGGTAATGAAACATTTATAATACACTAAAATCTGATTAAGAGTAACAAGTCATTAAGTAATTATCAGAAAATCCTTAGAATTTGTTTGACCCATGCTAACGTTTAGTATACAAAACATTTAATACCATGGATTTAGCTGTTCAAGTTACCAAAAATCATTGAAAATCAATATACTTGTTCATCTCAAGACCTTAAATTCTGTGTATCAATCTTAAGTCAATCGAAACGATAATAAATAGGCGTAAACACGGTGTATAAATATAAAATCAATCAGATAATAACTATGGTCTCTAAAGCATCCACAAGATTTCTCAAAGTGATCAAGGGCCATAACTCTGGCAGTAATTATCGGAAATCGTTGAAAACCAATAGGTTTCTTCGTCTGATGACCTTAATAAATTTAAGGTCAATCGGATATTAACTTTAGTCTCTAGAGCATCCACAAGATTTTTCAAAGTGATCAAGGGCCATAACTCTGGCAGTAATTATCATAAATCGTTGAAAATCAATAGGCCTCTTCGTCTAATGACCTTAAACACTGTGTATAAACATAAAATCAATCAGATATTACCTTTAGCCTCTAGAGTGTTCTCAAGATTTTTCAGAATGATCAAGGGCCATAGCTCTAGCAGTAATTATTGGAAATCAAGGGCCATAACTCTGGCAGTAATTATCGGAAATCAGTGAAAATCAATAGGATTCCTCATCCCATGACCTTAAACAATGTGTATAAATTGCTTGTGGACGCTCTAGAGGCTAAAGTTAATATCTGATTGACTTAAAATTTATACACAGTGTTTAAGGTCATGAGACGAAGAAACCTATTGATTTACGATAATTACCGACAGAGTTATGGCCTCTGATCACTTTGAAAAATCTTGTGGCCGCTCTAGAGGTTAAAGTTAATATCCGATTGACTTTGAATTTATACACAGTGTTTAAGGTCATGAGACGAAGAAGCCTAGTGATTTTTACCGATTTCCGATAATTACTGCCAGAGTTATGGCCCTTGATCATGTTGAAAAATTGTGGACGCTGGACGGGGGTGACAACAATATACGACCACATTTCAATGTGGGTGTATAAAAATGATATAGCACAGGTTGCAATTCTGATGAATTGTAGTTCACAATAAGCCATTTACGTTAGAATAGTTTTGCCCACACCAAGAATTAGACTATTTGTTGCAGACAGTTTAGTCTGTCTTTGTCTGTCTGAAATGAAATAAAATGGGGTTTAACATCCTACTGCTCTGTTTCGATTGGGCTAATGAAGCTGGTCATACACCATGCAGGGTGCTATGAGGGAAATTTAGCCAGGGCAGCGGCACCTATGGCCTACACTTACATCAAATTCCAACTGCCAAGGGATCTTTTACGTGCATGCCAATGTATGCACGGGTCCTCGGTTTTTCCGTGCCATCCGATTGACTAGACAGCTGACCTTATTAGGCCCACCGTCCTGCACCCTTTGTCTGGCTGCAACAATCTGGTGAGAAAAATAATCTGACCAGTTCCTCGTCACTGAATTATAACCTATTTTTATTATCATATATCATTATAAATATCTGGAGTTTGCAGTGAAATAAATGCATAATTACAATCAAATACTACCTGTCATGTTTGCATGTCACAATTGTTCAACAGTTCTGTTCATATCAATAAATTTCATTCCTTATATGAATAATATCAACTATTTAAGCACTAATTACTCTGAATACCACACTTCACAGATTCACTAAACACACCTAAAACATCATTCAGCTTACATCTCATCCAAACTAAATAATCATCATTTTTTATAATGGAATTTATGGAATGACTAGTTATATTTGGTAAAATATAAGATGATGTTGTATTAGATTTGACATGATAAAACCATAAATCATATGACAAAGATTCCTGAACTAAATACTGTATATTCCATGGTATGTTCCAACTTATTGATGCTTTATGTTCTCGAATAGTGCACTTAATGTTAGAAACTGTACCTGGTACTAACTGGTTCCTGTTACCGGTATATGATTTTGATTCAGATTTTAAAAGTGCTGATTGAATTAATTGTATGATTTCTGGTATGTGAACTATAGTGTCTTGATAAATATGAAACAACCAAGAAGGATCATCACAGCATAAATGTTTGGGAACTTCTTTTTGATCCATGATTTCTTGTTGGTTTTCTAAATGCTGTATTCCTCCTAATGCTGGTGACCAATCAGGATGCATCTGAGTATTATTAATATGTGTATTAACCCAAGATTTATAGACTATTCCCATGTTAGGCAACTCTGCTAATGTCTTATATGGTGTGTAGTGCGATGGATTGATCGCAAAGGGAAACAACTCCATTAAAATACTACCCGGTAGCAGAAATGCAGCTGTCACTAATAATGAACCGTGCATTCCTATAATACCCTTAGAATGATGAACAATATTCACAATCTCTTCAAGAGAATGAGTTTCTAAGCTAACTGACATAACTCGCAATCCTATTTTCTGAGCTACTGCTACACTTAGATCCATTTCATTTATGATGAGTCGATTGTTTTTCCTAGATATTAGCACTAAATACTGACCAATGTTACAGAGTGGACAGTCACTGTTTATATTGGCTAGAATGTAGTTAATAGATTGATGAATATGAAATCCAGTCACAGATGTATCTAAAGGTCCTTGTGGTTCATGAAATCCATATTGGTACCAAGTTGTTAATTTTGAAATTCCAACATAAGCATCATTAAAACAGACCATTTCACTCATTTGTTGAATCGCTTCTCGTGTTAGCAGATTATGATTTGAAAATATATTATACATCAATAAAGAATCTTCGTCTTCTTCTAATCCATCCATTGCAACAAGCTGAATATCAAACTTTTGATGAAGATTTGAATCACTAGTCGTTATAAAGTTTGTAGAATTATTAGTATTAAATGAGATTTGTTTAAGTGTATGATGAAGTGGTAATATATCATCGTGTATAACATGCATAACATTATCAAGTTTAAAACGATTAAATATTAAACTAATAGGCTTTATCCACTTGATTGTAAAATTATTTATTGCATGACTGGGTAAAGTAGTCAGTGAAAAGTAATGTAAATTATGGTTCGCAACTGAAGACATGTCTAATATATTCATAAAGTTATTTTCGAGGGGAAGATTTTCGTGAAAACTATTTTTATCTTGAAAGAAAATAAAATCCTTGTGTTTTGTATGATAGCACAGATTGTGGAAATGGCAGATTCTGTCTTTGGTACTGGCTCCATGGCACCAAACAGAAGTATATGGGGTGGGTGTCACTTTACTTTCACTTATAGGTTGCTTTTCTTGTACCTCTGATGGATTAACAATAGCTTCTGGGTGCTGTTGATTGGTGTGTGAGGTGCTTGGTAAAATATATTTTGATGTTGATTCAGAAATCAAAACCTTTTCTTCAGACCTTGGAGTAAATTGTGTTCCTGTATAATCATTGACCAATTCATCAGTCAAATAATCATCACTACCACTAGTCATAAGATTATCAAAATACTCCATTTCTTTTGTATTATCAAATTTGTTCAGATTATCTCCTAATCCTAATCTGACTTCCATTGTTTCTTCTTCCAGGTATTTATTATGAAATTGATTCGATTCTGTGCCATGGCTCTTAAAACCAGGTTGTTTACCTTCAATGTGGTTTGTACATGATTCATATAATATTTCTAATTCTTCATATTGGTAACTGATGTAGAGGTATTTACGTATTAATGTAGCAATAACAGCTGCACATACAGCATGGGTTATCAGATGGAAGCTCATACTATATTTATATAATGGTCACATCACAACTAAACTGCCATTATTACCAACTCCTACACATCTGAAAGTGATATCAGAATCATGTTAATAATTTTAACTCATTTGGCTAAAGTTAAAGTTAATGTTAAGTCAATTAACCATTGAAGCATTTAAATTTATGTGTACCCAAAACCCATTAGTACTGCCATGACTACTGTCTACATTACATGGATGACAAATCACAAGTTTTCTTACATACTCAGGAACTACAAATATCAAGAACGTTTTTTAAAAAAAAATATAATAATTATATATTCAATTCCATTTCAACATAATGCCTAAAGTATCCATAAAGATAGGTTGCCAGGCAACAAAACATATTTCGACTATACTGTAACTAAGGAATCCAGGAGATCCATAAAATCTGTTGACTTTGAATTTTGAAGTAGCCTAAATGAAAAGCATAAGCTAACTGTATCATACAAGGTGAGTTGACAAAATTCTAAGACATAATAAGGACAATAACTCTCAGAGTAATTATCAGAAAGTGTTGTGATTGTTATTCATTGCAATAATCAAAACAATACAGGCTTTATAATTTTAAGTAGATCAGATGATGACTTTTAAACAATTCTACATTGTTTAAAAGACTCATAACAATAACACTAGCAGTAATAAATAAGCTTACATAAATATATTTCATTGTGGCCATATAAAAAATGGATTGATTTTAGAATCTGTCCACTAAACATTTTTTAGCACTACAATTATATAAACACAGATCAGGCAGGTAGCCTACATTTAATACTCTCAGTAGCGGACAGATTCTGTTTTTTAATGAATAAAAGAGCCATTTTAAGAAGGGTAGGCCTAAACTTTTTTTGTTAGCCTAATCTTTGTCGGTCATTAACTTGATTAAGATCACTGGAATGCATGACTATAGACGTTTCATCTTTTGATCTTTCAAATTTGTAAACAAAGCAACTCTTTTCAACCTAGCTACTATACTGATACATGTTTTAAGAACACTAGTTCAGCTTTGAACGTAGGTTTCATTACACTTGCCACGTGAAATTATGTAGGCCTACAATGTAAAGGAACATTTTAGTGAGCAAATAAGACCTTGCTTACCTCCCTCTCCAGTCAGTATGTGAAATCTAAATATAGGGTACCGGTAACACATAAATTTATGTAACTTGGCCATTTATGACAAAACAAAATTTAGGTAAGCAGGGGGGAAACAATTGGAATGTTTGCAAAATTGAGAATCTTCAGTCATTTATTGTTTTGCCTAGCCCAATTACAGTCAAATTTTTTCACAAATTCCAATTTTGATTCACCTGATATGGCCGATATACGTAAATTTGTGCGTTACCCTATATTTAGATTTCAAGCACGATACTAGATCTTCCCGATCTGAGAAATATCTTTGATTCTTTCCGTGTTTATACCCACAATTCTAACCCTAACCCTTCAGAATAGTTTTAGCCACAATCCAACACTGTTACAGCTTCAATTTGTACGTTTGACATGTAATTTATAAACCTAACCTGAACCCTAACCCTAGAGAAAGATATTTCTCAGATCATACAAAGATCTAGTATTGTGCAGATTTCAATGGTTTCTGCCAAGCTGTTTAGCAGAATGGGACGTATTTTTAAAACAGCATGTTGTGTCGCACATCTATAGCGTGGTAAGCCAGGTCTTATTTTCTCAATAAACTAAAATAAAATATTCTTTTACATTGTACAGGTGTTCAAATAGTTACCATACTTGTAACGTTAAACTGTGTGTTTAACGTTACAATTGATACAGTCTAAGACTCCTTACGCAAGTTCAAATAGGTTCAAACGCACAATTGTCAGCACATATCATTACAGTTTGTATTGGAATAAGTAATTCTATGACAAATAGTGAAGACACTGGCCAGTTGAAATTTCGCGTAGCAGTTGGGTTTCTTCAAATCAAATAATTATGCGGTAATTAAGGCTTCACCTTTATTTCAATGGGAAGTGATTTATTATATGTTAAGCTATGTGCAGTACGGTTTTGGGTCAGTTTATGTGTAAATTAAGGGAGCTGTAGGCCAGTAACCTTTTTGTAGTCATTTGACTAAAAAACTTGCGCAAGGGAACTCTGTAGGACGAGCCACTACTGTGGCTGGTGTAAGGCGGAAGACATCAGTAGTGGAAACATTTCTATTTCTACAATTTCTAGTGTTCAAACGGACTGACACGCAACCGTTTAGCACTAGCAGTAAAAAGTTCCCCAGTAAGATTTACTGGAACTGAAATTTTTTTGACAAAGAGTCAATAGGCCGGTTCCCCTGAACGTACTGGGCGAGTGTAACGAGAACTTACGTTCACACATACAGCTGAACTAGAAGAACACAACTTAGAAGATAGGTTATCAATTTCCGACTTCATTAGAATAATTAGCCCAGTCGGAGCAGAAAAGTAGGACGTGTCTTGAAATTTTATCTTCTATACCAGATTCTTACTATATATCAAACAGACTCCCGTATACTTTCTTTAAAAAGCTAATACGTTTATGCAGAAAACAATCAGATATTGAGATAACTCATTCACCGATGATGGAGGCAGACATGTTTGTTGACATCCCGGGTGAAGGTCACCTGTATCGCGTTCGATTACTTGCTTCGGGCTTACTCGACCAAGATCCTCGAGTACACTTAGACATGCGCAGCTCAGTTCTGCGATAGAATGTGCCTTTGGGCAACTGAAAGGACACTGGGTGACCTTTTCTAACTCCTGGAAACGTTGCACCAAGTTGTAGAATCATTAAAATAAACACAACACTACTGTGGAATGGAAATATGGTATTTTTAATCGGAGCAAAGTGTCAACAATAATTCTTCCGTCGCCTAAATTTAATCTTCAAATATAACTTCGATCAAAAAATTTATTTGCTGCCATGTTGAATAATTGAATTATGGGATACTTCCCAAAGTAACCGGCTCCTTGGGGCCAAAGCCGTGTATAGATAAAGTTGCGACAACTGTGAAGCCAGGAATTTCATATGACGTCATGCAAATATGACGTCAATTGTACAAAGACGCCATCTTGGGTCCCAAGTAACTCTACCAACCCATTATTATTATTATTATTATTACAGCATATTTATAGTGCACCCTTTCATATAACATGTTCAGGGGCACTTTACAAAGTGACAATGTAAATCACACATAAACAACAAGATTATGGGCATGTTAACGATTGTATACAGAGTCAGTTAAAAGCCTGATTAAATAAATGTGTTTTAAGTTGTTTTTTAAAAGAATATAGAGATGTCATGTACAACATCTTAAACTAAATAGTAGATTATTCCATAAAACAGGTGCTTGATAACTAAAAGAGGCTGACCATAAGAGACTAGTTGACAGTTTTGGGCTTTAAAAGTAGTTTATCTGATGTACGTAATGTTCGGCCAGGTGTATAAAGTTCTAAAAGATCTGAGAGGTAAACAGGAGCTAAATTATTTAAACATTTAAAAGTAAGTAATAAAATCTTAAAATCAATTCGATATTTAACAGTTACCAGTGTAAATTATATAAAACAGGAGTTATGTGGTCACATTTCTTAGTTAAAGTAACAAGTCTAGCCGCAGTATTCTGTACTTTTTGTAATTTATCTATAAGCTTTAAAGGTAAACCAACTAAAAGTGAATTAAAGTTATCTAATCGAGAAGTGACCAGAGAATTAACAAGTGACTTAGTGGCCTCTACAGTTACACATTTACGTATTTTACCTATGTTTCTAATATTAAAATAGCACAATTTACAAATATTATTTACTTGAGCTCCCATCAGCATAAAACTATCAAAGATAGCGCCAATATTACGAGCAGAATAAGATGAAAATATATCACAATTACCAATTACAACAGGGGGGTTATCTTGTGCAGATTTACTTAATTGATGCCTTGAGCCTAATAACAAATATTCGGTTTTATCATCATTCAATTTTAGAAAGTTCTTTGACATCCATTTTCTAATTTCACTAATACAGTTCTCAAGTTGCAAGTTTGATAAATTGAAAGAAGATGGACAATTAGGTGTAAATGAAATATATAATTGAGTATCATCGGCATACAAATGAAAGCTGAGACCATATTTTCTGACAATATCTCCTAATGGTGACGTATAGAGGGTAAATAAAATCGGACCAAGAACAGAACCTTGGGGAACCCCAGATGACAAAACAGATTCAGACGACGATTTGCAATTAACAATACACTGTTTTCTACCCACAAGATAGCTCTCTAAAAGATTTTTTGCAGAGCCACAAATACCGAATTTAAATTGAAGTCTACGTAGAAGAATGGAAGGGTCCACCGTGTCGAAAGCAGCAGATAAATCTATAAAATTAAAAATGTACATTTTCTATTATCAATTTCCATTAAAATATCATTTGAAACCCGGGTTAAACCTGTTTCGGTACTGTGAAATTGTTTATAAGCACTTTGAAATGGTTCATACAAACAGTTATCATCTAGATGGGCCTTTATCTGAGAAGCAATACATTTCTCCAATATTTTAGAAATAAAACTTAAGTTAGAGACTGGCCTGTAATTTTTAAAAACATTAGGATCCAGTGTAGACTTTTTAATTAAAGGGGTAACATAAGCTCGCTTGAAAACGTTGGGAATAGTAGCGGATGATATACAAGAATTAATAATATTGGTAAAAACTGGAATAACGTCATCTAGACAGTCCTTAAGAACAGAAGTCGGAACGGGATCTAATGAACAAGATTTAGGAGCAGACGATTTAAATAGCTTTAAAACAAAAGATTCACTAACCAAGTTAAAATTTTCTAAATAAACATTCCGCTACCCAACCCCCTGTAAGAGAGTATAAGATTACATTTATTTAAAGAAAGAAATTAAAAAAAATTAACAAATGCAATTATATAAATTTCCTCGTACACAACAATACCATACACCACTAGTATTAATGAAAAATGTATATAATAATAATAATAACATCATCATTTTTTAAAGTGTATTAATACTGGAGAACGGTTTCTAATGTGCTGTTCAGGTTCTTATATTCACAGAATACATGTATTTACACAGAGATCAGGTCTTGTGCCCATATACACTGTACAAAATTGAAAGATATATACCAACCAGTAAATAAAAGTACATATAAGAGAAAAACAAACAGTAATTACCTAAGTTCTAGTAAAATGAATTCGAAATGAAATGGTCTAATGAAGATGGGCATATACGCCATACAGTGTGCTATAAAGCAAATTTTGCCTGGGCACAGCACTATGGCCTATGTTTATATCAAATTACAACTGCCAAGGGATTTTTTTACGTGCACACCAATGTATACACAGGACCTCGACTAAACTGCTGTCCTTGTGCCTTGTCAGCTCTCCGCCTGCACCACTGACAAGGGGAAACCGTCGGAAATGAATTAGAATAAAAAAGTAAAATAAAAACATATAGTAAGCATAAAGTGACAAAATATATGAAAATTTATTGACATGTACAGTACATTCAAGTAAAACATATTTAAAATATGTAATATTAAAAAACCACTGACAAAAATACATGTATACAGGTGTAGGCCTACTCACATAATTTCATCAATATCATCATCACTATTAAAATCAATGTCACTGTCAGCATATGTTTGGCTGTCACTTTTATATTCGAACAATATACACAAAACCATACAAGAAAGTTTTCACTTGTAACAAGTACATCTATTATTGATCTATCTGTAAAAGTGTAATGCAGCTTGATTTACATTCACATTGAAAATTTTGTTTGGTGCTTGATCTCTGGTCACCCTAACCCTGTCATTTGTTCAATAGAGTTTAACAAGAGGGGTTTAACATTCCACAGCTACAGTCAGGCAACCTGGGAGGAATGCCCCCTTTTTGACTGGTGATGCAAAGGCAGAAATAATTCTTCATACATATTTTTTTCAAAAAAAGTAAGTGCACTTGTACCAACTCATCTATTTCGGTTCTTATTTTCTCCATAACATTGGGGTTGGAAGGCCGAATTGTTAGCACGTGCGCACTGTATCATAAAGTCTGTCATTGAGTCAACAAGCGTGGTTTCGAATCCCCGGTTGTACGTGACAAGGAGTAGGGTCGCCTGTCCAACCTCGTGGATTTTCTCTGGGTCCTCCCCTTTCCTCCCACTGCTAAAGACCCCTACGCGCAAGCGAATTATTGAAATAAAAAAATTAAACCATATGTAAGTCCCAAAATGACCTAGTTTGTGTCGAGTGGACGTTAAACTCCATTTCTCTCTCTCCATAACAACTTGTTGGGTATGAGTACTGCACATTGTATTTCACCTCAATAATGATGACACAGTCTTAACCATAGTGGTCTTCTGTCTTTGACTGAGTGGACTTATCTATTGGTCTGAGTGGTCTTGGGCGGAGTAGTCCTTGGTCTGGGTTGTCATGCATTTGGGAGAATATCTTCATCAGCTTACATTTGCAAGAAAATGGGGAAAATGTTAAGATATGATCCGATCCCCTTAAACAAATTAACCAGACCTATTATTTTATTCTCTTTCTCTTTTTTTTGCTGCTTGTTTCTAAACAGCATCACGGGGACTAGCCATGACCTCACACGAAATTTCAGCCGAATCGGCCAATAACTTTTTTATTTTACCGTAGTTTAGCTTCTATAAGAGATAAATTTATCCGATTTTGACGCCATTTTGTTTGTTGATTGGAGGGGCAAAGCTGTTGCAAAGTCCAAGGTTAAGGGGGCAAAGGCACGAGCTTCAACTAGGGGTAGGGGGCCTCCCCCAGAAAATTTTGAAAAACAGGTTGCCGGAAATGCAGCCTGGCAGTATTTCAGGCACTGATCGATGAGGTAAAGTGTCAAACGAACGGACTTGCGAATAAAGACGAAGCCCACTAACGAGCGTCAAAGTAGGGAGTCCTTCCCCAGAAAATTTTGAAAAATAGACTCCAGGAAATGCTGTTTTACAGTATTCCCAGGCACCTATCGTCGACATAAATAGATCTGACCAGATACCATCCGTCACCTGATCACTAGTTTATCCGACTAGAGAACAAAATGTCAAACGAACGGACTTGCGAACCTCAACGAATTCCCCTTGTGAGCGCCAAAGTAGCGAGTCCATTGGGGACCTCGCCAAGAAAATTTTGAAAAATAGACTGTCGGAAATGCTCTACAACATGCAAGTTTATGACTGAGTGGGGATGTGGGATTTATTCTCCGTAGAAGGTATTGATTACCGAAAGGTATCACAAATACTTTTTTTATTTTCTAAAATTATTGGGGGTGGGGGGGGGCAAACAGAGGGCAGACCAGATTAATGCCCCCCCCCCCCCTGGTGCCGCCACTGTATGAGATGCTTTTTTATTATACCAAATTTATGGGTATTTTGTTAAATGGCCTTATATTGCCAAATTCGGCAGCCATTTTAAAAGAAATGCCCGGCACCACATGAAGAATACATTTCTTTAATTGATGTTTGTCAAATTCGATTTCCGCTCATTTCGCGTACATAACCACGATATATGAGATCATGGACCTTATATCCTTTTAAAAAACAACTTAAAACACATTTATTTAATGGGGCTTTTAACTGACTTTGTATACAATCGTTAAGATGTCCATAATCTTGTTGTTTATTTATGATTATATTGTCACTTTGTAAAGTGCCCCTGAACATGTTTTATGAAAGGGCGCGATATAAATATGCTGTAATAATAATAATAATAATAATAATATTACCAAATTTGGCGGCCATTATGAAAGAAACACCCGGCACCATATAAAAATACTTTTTTTAAATTGATGTTTATCAAATTCGATTCTTCGGCACATTTCGCTTGCATAACCACTCTGTGTTTGGGTAATTTTAAAATGAAATCATTTATAATCCCACCAGTAAATAGTAAAACACACTGATTACGAGATATCGCTCTCAGAAAGTTCCCCGATTTTGAGTATGATTTTGTGTGATAAGCCTATATTTATCACGGAACGAAACTGCATTGGTTTCTTTTGCATTTTGTTTAGGGTAAAACGTTATTCCTCAACGCCTAATACTACAAGAAAAAAACAAATTTTGGTATGTAAACCTGTATGAAGCCATGACGTCATAGCTTTTATGGCGTCATAATTGGGACCCAAAATGGCGCCTGGAAATGAGTTGTCGTAACTTTCCCTATATACAGGGCTTTGCTTGGGGCAGTTCAATGACGTTATAGACGTCATTGGGGCAGGTTACTTCGGCCTGGCGCGTGTAAGCCGTTTTAATGACGTCATCGGTAACCCGAACGCACTCGTGGAGACCCGAGTAAGCGCGGTACCACTGATTCGCAATGGTATGACCACAGATCACTAATGATTAAAATGTTAATTCTCGTCTCTTAGACCGGCTCTAACTTTTCCCAAAATTTTCGTTGGACAGAACGCTTTCTACCACAGATGGAGCAACATGTGGCAAACTCTTGCCCAAAAGCATGTAGGTTCACCATGAAAAACTTGAGATAGGCCTACACAAGCTGGAAGTAAAGAGAAGTAAACATGCAATTTTCGGCCTTACATTTCAACCTAAACAACCTGTCAACTCTTGTATCCTTCCGCCTCAAAATCATCGGGTCACAAAGTCGATAGCCTAAAACATTCACGGGGTCATGCTGGTTACTTTGATACCACACAGAGCGGCTAGGAAGGGTGATTCGCCCGGGGTCAATATTCATTGCATATAAAAGACAATTTTGCCTTTAATCGCCGTCCATTTACCATAAATATCGAAGCCTCAGTAAATTAATCTGGGTTTTTTCCTCGCCCACTTCATTTTCCGCAGTTTAGTGTCAGAATCCGTTGTATGTTTAAGTCTCTCATAATCATGTTCATCAACATATAGGCCTATGTTAATTTAAGTGCTCACTAAAGCAAAGAGGTAAGACAATCTACGCGTGCAACCTTTGAACTTTGACGTCATTCGAGTAGACAGCCCTAATCGTCGGGCTGTCAATTACTGGGACACTCTTATTTTTGTTCTGTGTCCCCTCCATGGTTGTTTTTCAGGGAATTCAGTATTGAGTGTCTCTACTTTCCATATATACCAAAACTGACACATTTTTGGGGGGCAATAACCACCCGATAAATACTTTTGTGGGAATGTATCTTTGAAGGTAGGTTGCCAGGCAACGAAACGTACGTCCCCGGCATCTAAATCGTCCGAGCAGTCAATAAATGTTGTTGCATATTTTTACTTTTGTCGGTAACGAAAAATTTATCATACACTAAAAACTGATTAAGAGAAACAGCTCATTAATTATCAGAAAATCGTTAGAATTTGTTTGGCCCATGCTAATGTTTAGTGATCAAGGGTCATAACTCTGGCAGTAATTATCGGAATCGTTGAAAATCAATAGGCGTCCTGGTCCCATGACCTTAAACACTTTGTATAAATCTAAAGTCAATCGGATATTAACTTTAGTTGCTAGAGCGTCCACAAGGTTTTTTCCAAAGTGATCAAGGGTCATAACTCTTGCATTGAATATCGACTTTTTCGTCTCATGACCTTAAGCACTGTATATAAATTTCAAGTCAATCGGATATTAACTTTAGACGGATGGACGGGGGCGACGACAATATCGGTAACTATAGCCGGTATAGACTGGATATCCTGCTCTAATACGTCAGACTCGCTCCTATGTCACTCCTTTTCTGACTTGCATATAGAGACAGGTAGTGGGCAGCCATGTTTTGACGTTGTGTTACTAAAAATAGACGGGTATCCCTAATGATGGCGTTCAGCGTTAAAATGAGTAAGCTAGAAAATTTGTTAAGCTTTTCTTTAATGTCTAAGAATAGCTCGGTGACGTAGGAACCAGCCTGACGTCATTTAGAGCAGGTTGTCCAGGCTATAGCCGGTATGGCGTTCAAAAGGTTTATGGCAAAGGGGGATAATTCCAGAACAAAAAGTCGTAGAACACTGAATATGATAGAGTTCATCCTCTCATGGCCCCAATTCTAAACATGAAATTTTAAATAAATTCCATAAAAACTAAAGGATCTATCTCCATCACAAGGTTTTTGACAAACGGGGGATATCTCCGGAATGGAAAGACGCAGAACGTTGAATATAGCTAGTGTTCACCCATTCATAACCCCAATCCTTCCTATCAAATTTGTAAAAATCCGGTAAAAACTATAGCCTCCATCGAGGTCGCAAGGTTTTCGGCAAAAGGAGGATAACCCTGCATTAGAAATTCGTTGAACATTGAATATCGACATGTTACGTCCTCTCGTGACAATACTTCACACAAAATTTGAAAAGAATTGGGAGATATCGTTCAATATCGATAGGACTCGTCCTTTCATGACAACGAGGCTTCACACCAAATTTGAAAAGAATCCGTCCATAACTGTAGTCTGGACCGACGGACTGGGAGGCAACATTCCATAAAAAGTGGGAGTTTATTCAGTAAAAAAAAGTCATTAAAATTAGATAAAAACAATTGGGTTTTGCAAGCGATTTAAAATGAGATAAAGTGTCACTTTGTCTAATAAAAAGTGGGAGCTTATTTCATAAAAAGTGGAAGCGTATTCGCCAAAAAGTGGAAGCGTATTCGCCAAAAAATGGAAGCGTATTCGATAAAAATTGGAAGCGTATTCCATAAAAAGTGGAAGCGTATTCCATAAAAAGTGTATGTTTATTCCATAAAAATGAAGTCTCCAAAGGAAAGAGCGTTCACTCCGTCGTGATTTAAGGTATATATATTTGTCTAGATGGACATTTAAGTTGTAAAATATCACATAAATAAGATGGGGTAACACTATTATGGTGATAACAGATAATGATTTATTTACATATCAGTAACATAAAAATAAAACAGCTACATAAATTAAACAGGAACATAAATTAAACAGGTGCTAAACTACATCTGGGCCCGATTCCTAGAAAATTCTTAAGCACGTTCTTGTGCTTAGATTTAAGTAGACTTTGCATTTAAGTAAACTTGCCTTATTTTGTGTTCCCAGAAAATTCTTAAGAACGTTCTTGTGCTTAGATTTTAAACTTCATTGTAAGCACGAGAACGTTATTATGCGTTCCAAGAAAAAACTTAAGCACAACTTCGTTCTTAAACATAGTCAATCTAAGCACAAGTCCCAAGCAAGGTATACGGCTTGCTTACCAACCTTAAATCTGGTTGTGCTTCAAAAAGATGGCTGACCGTAGAGTTATTCGACGGTATTTCCGACACCTTTTGATACCAAAGAGACAATTACAAGACAGAGAAAATCCTTCTCCAGAAGAAATTTCAAATTAAGAATGCTATAGAAAAATACGCTTCTAGGCCTACCCTGAAACCATTTTATTTATTTGCCAATTAGTAAACAATAGGCTACAAACACACAGGCTAGTTTAACATCGCAGGCACGGCGCTCTCACAATTATTCAGTTAGTTTGTATGTGTCTGCGGTTTATTTTTATCTTGTGGCACATTTTATATGTGAATAGGGAACATGTCAAATGCCAATCTGTTTCACAGAGAATTACGAGTCTCGTATAATATCTCTGTCATAGATGACTGCCTTAACACGTGCTGTCACAGCACGCGGTGTGAATCATTGGCTGAATGGCGCGTGCATTGTTTACATAAGACATAACTGCTTCGGAGAGAATGCTGCATTTTAGTCATTTTAATACCCATTTACACTAAATCGGAAATAATTTTTAACTACAAATACGTCAAACGCCTTTATTTATCTTTCCAATATATACAAAAATGTTTTAGAATTTAATTTGTCGCAGGAAAAAAGTTAATATTTCTAGCTCATTAAGCCGCATCAATGTCATCCTTATCAGTGATTGTCGCGGCTAAGCAAATATTCACTGCGGATCAGCGTGGTCAAATGCATCGAAATGAACCATATATATATATATATATATATATATATATATATATATATATGACGTCAATGAAGCAGACGACAAATTTAAAACATAATTCGCATACCAAAGTTGTTTTTATGACGTTAAAGAGCATCGTAGTCTCAGTTTATGGTCAACTTTGCCAGTCACAATGTGCTTAGACTTATACTCGACTTGTGCTTTCGTAAGAATGGTCTTGAGAATTTTCTAGGGACGGCATTTTTATAAGTTTCTTACGTAAGAAAAAGTGAAGCATGACTTTGTGCTTACTTTAAGAATTTTCTAGCAACCGGGCCCAGGAACATAAACAATAATATCAACACAGTACATGAATAGTTTAAGATAAAAACCATTCCGGCTCTCTGTCATGGCAGCGGCTGAACTCGGGTGAGTCCATGCACCGGTCTCCGCTCTCCCCTGCTCCTATCCGCTCGTCTCTCTCTCCTCTGTCTAATTGTCAGCAAACTTATGGTTATATAACTTACAACTGGTTCTACGCACACCAGATCATGACTATATATGGAGTTTACAAGTTACCTTAATTTCGCTGACTGGTAAAGATGTATACAGGTCATATCTAAATTGTCCATACATGTGGAATTGATTCATTATTTAATTACGTTCTTATAGATGAATAACAATATCTTATAGTATCAAAACGAGCTGGGTGTCAATAAGTTCTATGATGCACCTAAATAATTGTTATAGAGCACTTGGTCACAGTGGTGCAAAATTATTCGAAGCAACAATCATGGATCGCTGACATGGAAATCACCGAATAATGAATAGGAGCATTGTCCTGGTGTAACAGTACGTCTTTGGTGAGCATTCCCAGTCGCTTAGGTTTGATAGCTTCAAGCAACTGTCTCAGTAGATCGGCATGACATCTTCCATTGATAGTCTTACCTTTTTTAAGATAGTCAATCAGCAGAATACCAGCTTCTCTTTATATCCAAAATACAAAAATATCCACAACTCTCACTTTAATTTTGGCTACTTAAAAATACTGGAAACCACAGCAAATCAAGTTACTTAATAGAAAAAAATGTGCGACTTATTTCTAAGCTATTGCCTCTGAACATTTGATCTTTTTATTAAGAAGACAACAAAATGTCACAGAAAGAACACAGCCAAGATGCTACATGTATGTCTGTATCTAGATTATTTCGAGGATATGGCAATCGTTTGAAGGCCCACAGTGACGATGGTAAGCTACAGTTGTTGACTGTAATTGGAACAATTTTTGACAAACGTTTCTTATTCTGTATTGCCTCCAGTGCTGAACCTACAAGGTACTCACGGTAGTCGGTCTCCTTCTCTTGCTCAGCTATGATAAAAATAACAGCTTCACTATTAGAGATGATTTCAATCTGTCCAAGTTTTCTAAGATGATTTATTGGAACGTTGTCGTCATTTTTGGTTATCTTCAGCCCAGAAAGTTTTTGCAGCCAACCAAAGATCTGACCCCCAACAGTCTCTTCGTCGTAAATGACTACTATATCGTCATCGTCTCCGTCATATTCTTTCAAACGACGATAAATGTCGAAAACTGATTTAATCACATTGGTATTTTCATTGTTGATAGCCGATTTAATTATCTCCAGCAACACTTCCAGGATGAAAGCTTTACTTTCAAATCCTTCTCGACTATTGACTAAAATCAGAATCAAATCCAGAACATCACTAAAGTTTCCAAGTTTTACATTATTTTTTATTATACCTTTAGTTATATCCAAATCTTTAGCATCATTGGAACGTTCAAGTTTGACTTTCAGTTCTTTATACAGCCCTAATGATTCGCCATATTCTCGTACACAGTAGTGTAGATCAGCTACTTCTTTAACCTTCTTAGTTCTCGACCGTCCTTCTTCCCCCAAAATAAGTTGTCTAATTGACTTCAGGGAGTGTAGATGTTGATTTGGGTTATGGAATATTGGCGTAGCCTTCTGACACAATCCCCAGCATCGTATGGCCCGTTTAAACATTTCGAAAGCATCCTTTTCATGGTCATTTCGCTTGCTATCCGATTCTTGACTCATGTGAACCAAACATATACCGGATTGTTCAAATCCTCTATACCGACTTAAAGGAGAATTGCAATCGAATGTTTTTCTGAACGCTTCTCGGGCTTTTTCATATTGGGGCGGAGTCATTTGCAAATACGTTAGGCCCATATCGTATGCGGCGTTCCTATTACGACCTTGACTAATATCATAAGATTTTTGAAACATTGTGAGGCATTCCTCTAACTGATACTTGCTATTTTTATCATAAATGGCCACTTGATCATGTCCCGGAGATTTGAGTATTCTACTAAATAATCCCATTGACGATCCATATTCTAGGATAGGTGAACTATGGGCCCGCAAATACCTAATTTGTGTGTCACAAGCTACGGATAGTTTTGTGGAAGGTACAAACGGCTTGGCATCTGGCGACAGTGAACTGACTATGCCCGGATATTTTTCCTTGAAATCCATTTGCATTGATTTAGCCTTCGTTAAAGTCTTGTTTTCATGATCCACGTCAAAGTCCTTGTCTCGATTTGCAGTATCCGCAGCTTTATTTGCGTCACTCAAGTCTTTTCCTTGGTTCGATTTAACTTCCGTAACTTTGTTTATAGTATCATCGCTATAATTAAAAATGACTTCTTTAATTACAGTAACTTCAATATCTTGAACATCCTTTTCTTGAAATTTAGTAGTGCTATCAACTATCTCAGTAGTGCTATCAATTGTCTCAGTAGTTATATCACCTGTCTCAGTAGTTATATCAACTGTCTCAGTAGTGCTATCAACTGTCCCAGTAGTGCTATCAACTGTCTCAGTATTAAATGGGGTATCAACTGTCTTAGTAGTGCTATCAACTGTCTCAGTAGTGCTATCAACTGTCTCAGTGGTGCTATCAACTGTCTCAGTAGTGTTATCAACTGTCTCAGTAGTGCTATCAACTGTCTCAGTAGTGCTATCAACTGTCTCAGTATTAAATGGGGTAATTAAAGAGGAGGAACTTTTGATATCTTTGTATTCGTTTTCGTCCCCTTTACACAAAGCATCTGCAGGAAAGATATATGCACCTTTTTCAGGGACTTGGTTATTTGCTCGGTACTTACTCTCTGGATATTTATGATGCGGTGTTGAACCTAAACGAATTTCCTGTGAGTAAGGATGTTCAAAAATATCGGTCATTTCTGAATCTTCTTCAATATCACATTTGGTATCGATAACACATTTTACTGTTAAGGACTCTTTGTGTGATTCATCAACAGCTGTTGGCCCAGCATATGTTTGTAGATTCAATACATCTGATTGTGTTCTATCCACTGTTGGTTGTATGTCTGTGGATACGTGTGTCACATTGCTTGGTCCCGAGTTGTCCAATACTTGATGATATGAAATAATATCCTGTGCTTTCTTTGGTTCCAGTGATAGACTAGCTAACTCAGGACAAATCTCCATTATCGGGTGGGAATTAAGTTTGTCATCCTTATACACTGTGGATTTCATGTTTTTGCTTTCCGGTATCGGATTGTCTGACGTGTTTACCAGTACCGGTTTTGACGAACCTTTGTCGTTTTCATCTTCCAAAGTAAACCCTCCTCTCTTAGGCATTGACTGCCTATCTGACATGGATTCTTTTGCTAAGCTACCAAAGGGAAGAATTTTCAAATGTGGGTCTGATTTTGACCCATCTTTGAGCCCAGGATTGTGTTGAGGGCTAGTTTCATTAGAGGTTGACATACATGAAAATAGCCTTATGGGTTTAACAGATTTATTTCTTTGGGTTTGGCGTGGTGGTGGTCGTGAAATTGGTGAAGTAGGTAACATGAACTGAGGAACACACGTGCTATTATAGTTAGTTCTGTTATATTCCACAAGGGAGTTTGTGCGAGACCATGACTTCCATGACCCTCGACCAGTTCCTCGACCCCTCCCTCGGCTATTATTTTTTTCCCGCTTCTGTCGTGCTTTCAATTTCCCCTTTAAAAGCAAACCTAACTGATGTAGAGCTAGCGATGTTTCACGTATATGAACAGATTTACGTAAATATTCTTCTGCTTCGCGAAATTTGTATATGTGTCTCATAAGTCTGCCAGCTTTGGCCAGTATAACATGGTCATTTGGTGCTTTGTTCACTCCTTCTTTTATTAAACTTTCAACTAACTGTTTATCAATGTGTGTACGCGAATCAACGAAATTCGAACATAAATTCGCCCGTTCAATGCAGGCCCTAGCAATATAAACATCGTTTCTACAATTGTCTATTATATCAATCAAAAGGTCATCAGCTCTTTTAGACGTTTTGTCAGGAATTATATCAGGATGGAGTGTTCTAAGATCCAAATGATTACATCGTCTTAATGTTAAAGCCAAACCAAATTTCCATATAAAAACAAAGTCCTTATGTTGAGTTGATTGTCTTTTGCAGATTACATCTTCAAAATAATCTACAGCTTTGGTGTAATACTTTGCGTCGATTCGTGAGTATCCATACGCCATTTCAGCGAAAGCTTCATCAATAAGGAAAGTATCCCCACTGTCTTTTAGTGTCTCTAACTGTCCCATTATATTATCACTTTCGGCAAACATTCCATTTTTATATTGAATCAAAGCCATCATTGCACTGGCATTGACGTTTGTGTTTCTAGAGCTTTTCAGAACTTCTCCAATTAACCTGTCAGCCGTTTCACAATCACCCAATTCATAATAAACGCACGCCTTCAGGTTTTTATCCCTATGTATTTCCATATCTGACTGGCATGTATGAGCCTCTTCCTCTTCTGCTTCTAATTTTTGTTTTACGTTTTTCCACGTGTTGCGACTGACCTTCTGCAGTTCAAGTTGAAAATAATTTGGAAAGGGTTCAAGTCTTTTTTTCAGATCTTCAAATTCTTGATCATCTTCCATGATTTCACTTTCTGAAATATAGAATAGAACAGTTTGTCAAATCTACAACAGAATCTGTTATAACTTATAGAGAATAACATAAATCGCACATGAAACCAAGCTAGGCCAGTGAAACGCCCACAAGGAGCAAAGTCATTCATATTTGGTTTATAATTATTGCCAACTAATAAAATGGGGTTTAACGTCTTACTGTTACGCTCCTATACTGGGCTAATGAAGACGAGCATTGTCAACAAACCCACGTAGTGATTGTTTAAAACAAAATGTATGGGTTTTAAAGTCAGAAATACGAAACCCCTTCGAAATCGACAATCTGAAAATTCACTGTGCCCTGATGAGCAATCTTGTCATATGATTTCATAATTTAAAAAAGTCGCAAATCGTGTGTCCAGTAACGCCATCACAAACATTAAAAATCAAAATATGATCGGAAAAATAACTCCATAATACACATTCCAAATTTACGAACTAAAATTTTAAATTAGATTGGGTTTTCTTATACGAAAATAAACAGTGCTATTTTAAAAGACATTTGAAAGTTTAAATGATATATTGGATATTCGAGCTGTATTTAAAAAATTAAACCCTGTTAGAAATGTTGTTGCCTCCAGGCGCTCGACTAATCATTTATTTTACATTTAGATGTTTTCGCGTAGCCACGTGCAATATAGCACATATTACATATAATAATATAGAATAAGATTCAAAACTTTAATAAGCGCAATAAAAACACCCCTGAAGATTAGCCCATGCTATATAAACTTAGATGCCCTACACTTGTGCGTTGTGTAATAGAGCGCAATATATACTATTCAAAAAAAGTAGGGGATATTTGATTTTGGGGGCATAATACTAAAATATGCAAATGACTACGAAAAAAGTCACTATAGAACCTAACAGAAGAAACATTTCCAGTTACATGTGACGCCCAAACGCACCAATAGCTACCGCATGGAATGCAGGTGATGCTTGGGATCATCATGGGGGTCCAACCCAAGATTTGCACGACTCTGACTTTGAATGTTACAGTCATTGTGGCATTGAATTCCAGGGTGGAAACATCAGTTTAATTGTTTTAGGGACCAGAAAACAAATTTTGATATGCGTCGGCTTACCCAAAATGAAAGGTTACGTGCCCTTGGCATGCTACAGATCGGCACAACACAGGCGGTTGTGGCGCGGACGATGAATGTTTCTCAGTCTGTCATAAGCAGGCTATGGTCCAGATACCGTGATACACAATCTGTACAGGACAGACCACGCTCAGGTCGACCAAGGGCGACAACTCAAGCCCAGGATCGATTTATCCGTACCTTGGCCTTGAGAAATCGTGTCATCACAGCAAATCAGATCAACGCTCGTCTTCAAACAGACACTGGTGTGAGAGTGAGTGGCCAGACGATTCGGAATCGACTGCATAGGGGTCACCTTCGCGCCCGACGTCCTCGCGTGATCCCTTGTTTGAGAGATCATCACATTCAGGCAAGACGTCGTTGGTGTAGGGATCGTCAACACTGGGATAATCGACGCTGGAGCAATGTGATGTTTTCAGATGAGTCAAGGTTCACTGTTGATTTTTTGGACAGACGTAGGAGGGTGTGGCGTCGTCGAAACGAGCGCTTCCAAGACGTTAACGTCATCAGACATGATCGATTTGGGGGTGGTTCTGTTATGGTGTGGGGAGGCATCACTGTTGCTGGAAGAACGGCTTTACATGTTGTTGCAGGGCGTGTTACAGGCCAGTACTACCGGGACAACATCTTGGCAGTCCATGTTGTGCCGTTCGCACGACGTCATGGCCGCCGTTTCATCTTCCAGGATGACAACGCAAGATGTCACAGGGCCAGGATCGTTACAGGTTACCTCCAACAACAGAACATCACCACATTACCTTGGCCAGCACTGAGTCCCGACCTCTCCCCCATCGAGCATGTCTGGGACATGCTTGGACAGAGGTTACGTCAACGTCAACAATGTCCTGCCAATGTCCAAGAACTTGCTGCTGCGTTGCAACAGGAATGGGACAATCTGGACCAAAATGACCTTAGACGTCTCATTAGGAGTATGCCACGTCGGATCAATGCTTGTTTGGCAAACAGAGGAGGATTTACCCGTTACTGACTTGGTTGTGATGCTGTGGTAACTTTGCTGTTTGACCCCGGGTATCATTTTACCCTTATAATGGTCAGTCTGTGCCTTACTTAGTCTAACGATCATTTGGAATAAATCGATGAATGTGAACTTCATTTCATTTTGTCATTTGTTTCTTCGTCAGTTTCATTAGGTGACTTTAATAACACTTAAAAATCAAATATCCCCTACTTTTTTTGAATAGTATACTTATTAAATAACCTAATACAATAACGATGTATCAGTATAAGCGACTGAAGTGGTATATTGTGGGCTATACATTGTAGGCTATGTTGTGATCTACATGCTAAATACATAAGTTATATAAAGAATTAGGATGGGCTTATTGCTTATGTGGAAGAGACTGTTTTATAAATTCTGACAGGCCCAAGGAGAGGGGGATAGAAGTGCATCGCTCCGGGGTCCATGACCCCCCCCCCCCAAGGAGCTAGATGGGGTGCAATCGGTACTTCGATCGGGTGGGGGCATAAATAAGGGGGGGGGGGCTCCGGCATATAAAATAAACTCTAAGCAGCCCTGATCTCAGTTGTATTAATACCGTGGTTCCAACCTTGTTCGAGACGTTCCCCCATATCAGTTTTGCTCCCCCGTCCTTTACACACACCATCTTCCGATATTCAGATAGAAATAGGCACCGAACGTCGACTGGCCACAATTTTGAAAATGTCCCATAGCATTTCTTGGACGATCACATTCCCCCACCCTCCCTCCTCCGGGTTTAAAGCACGTTTTAATGACTGTGCTTATTACTAGTAAACTTGTAATCGTTCTAAACCCATAAACATGGCATATACACATAAATGTACATGTATAATATATAGCAATCTCTAGACAGGTTCTATTTTAATACGTATCCTAGTGGACCGGATAATTGTAACGATGAAGAGATTGCATTTATGAGTCCGATCCAATGCCAAGCTTCCATTTCCTAAATATTAGCTCATTAAAATGTGGCTTTAAAAATCTTACCAGATCTTATCTAAAATTATCATGGCTTCCATATTTCTAATAATCCTATTTTCGTTTTAGTATATGTATCACGTGTGTTCACGCTTTAAGCGGGAAATTTAAGAACTAGAATGTATACAGTTGGGTTATACATATATACTTAAAGTAGCTAAGTCTCTACCTCAATATCATCCTAAGTCTTCGACATTGAAAACACGAATTATTTGTCAATTTAAATCAAAATTGATGCTGTGATCTTACCGGAAACGATGGGCTTCAGATATCCACGCAATACTTAAGACAAAAAAAAAAGTTTACCATTGGTACACGAATCGGGTACCATAATGCGTTTCAGCACCATTTGTAACAAGGAACTCGAAAAACAAGGCTAGACATATTCCACAAGTCATGTCGAACAGTGACGTTATATTCTTATCTGGAGAGCATGCGCAATAAATACGGGGAAGTCAATAAGTTCATAGAAGTGGGGGGATCACGTGGCTAAGTGGGTAAGACGCTAGCTCGCTAGCCTGGAGGCCGGGTGTTTGATCCCTGCATTGGCCGAGAAAGTTCATCCAGATTTTCCGGCGTGGTTTCCCCTTGTCAGTGATGCAGGATGGAGGGCCTGACAAGGACAGCTGTCTAGTCGTTCGGATGGGACGAATAACCGAGGTCCCGTGTACATATTGGCGTGCACGTAAAAGATCCCTTGGCAGTTGGAATTCGATATAAGAGTAGGCTGTAGCGCCGCTGCCCGGGCAAAATTTCCCTCATAGCACACTGTATGGCGTATGCCCGTCTTCATTAGCCCAGTTTAGGAGCAGAACAGGGGGTCGTTAAACCCCATTTCATTTCATTTCATTTCATTTCATAGAAGTGGATATAAAACAGAAGCCAATGGTTGTGATATTGATTTTATTTTTCAATATAATCTCCCTGAACCTCGATGCACTTTGCCCATTTGTCTGTGAGACTGTCTATGCCAATGCGGTAGAAGTCTTCTGACTGGGCCCTCAGCCACCCCTCATACGTAGCTGCCTTGAGATCATCAGCATTGCCAAATCTTGTACCACACAAGTGTGATTTCAAATTGCAAAAAAGATAGAAGTCGCTTGGGACCAGATCTGGACTGTAGGGGGGTGGGGGTGGGTGGGGGTAGTTAAGTTGTTCAAAGCCACATTGTTGAAATGCAGCCTGTGCAATACGACTTTTGTGCAGTGGAGCATTGTCATGAAGAAGCATAACTCCAGCAGTCAACATGCTCTGCCTCTTATCGGGATCAGCATTGTAGATGTCCAAAAGCTCACGACTGGATTCAACCCTCTGGTGTCGATCTTGTGTATTTAAGATTCGTGGCACCCATCTTGCACACACCTTGGACATGTGCAAGTGCTCATAAATTATGGTGTAAACACTTCCATGAGAAATGTCACCCTCTGAAGATATCTCATCCACCTTTATTCTACGATCAGACATGATTAAGCCCTGGACCCATGCAACCATATCATCTGTAATGGCTTCAACAGGCCTTCCTGGCCGTGGGTCATCGTCCAAGGAGCTGCGACCCTGCTTACACTCAGCTGACCATTTTGCAGCAGTAGAATATTGGGGGGGGGGGGGGGGCTTCCTTCCCATACACATTGGTCATACGTTTATGTATTTCGGTCTCATTCACCCCTTCCTTCGTGAGAAACTTGATAACCGCACGATGCTCAGTTTTAGAACTTTCCATGATTACAGGAGGGTACCTGTGTTCAACAGGTTGTAAATCTCAAATAAATGATCGGGAAGGGTTGTTTATGTCTGTTAACTGTTAATTAACTTGTCAAGACCATAATCAACTCTCGCTGCCACCAAATGGCTCCGATTTAGGTAGATTTAAATACGATTTGCAATGAAATGAAATGAAATGTTCTGCTCCGACTGGGCAAATGGAGACAGGCATACGTCATAGTGTGCTATGAGGGAAATTTTGCCCGGGCAGTGGCACTATGACCTACTCTTATATTGAATTCCAACTGCCAAGGGATCTTTTACATGCACGCCAATGTATACACAGGACCTCGGTTTTTCGTATCATCCAAATGACCAGACAGCTGTCCTGCACCACTGAACTGACAAGGGGAAACCACGTCAGAAAAATATGATTTGCGGTTGATGATTTAACTTAATAATGAATAATCAAGACTTTGTTTATTATTGTAACAAAGGTGGCAATGAGAATCGAGTCTTTCGCTGTAATTGTATCAGCGATAACTTGGCTCAGAGTGAAATTATTTGACTGAAATTTTCAACATATTCCCTTTTTATTATCTATGTTTTAACTTTTATAGCGAAAACTGTCAGCTCTTTATCTATGCTTCTAAAAAAATACATTCAACTCACAGAGCTCATTAGCGAGCTACGATAGATGTCACACTAGTGTTTGCCTAATCTACTCTAATGGAATTTTTTCTATTTATTAACATTGGCTCCAATAGGACTGTGCCTCTATTCCCCTAGGGGTTAACACTGATGTCAAAAGTAAGATTTAAAGTGTTTTCTAATTTTCATAAAATGTTGTTCTTTTTTTTCACCTGATATTATTCAAGATTAACAGCTCTTCAATTCTTTAGAAATAATTCAAGAGATTATTTGGGGTCAAAAGTTAGAAAAGGAGTTACACTAGTGCATCCACACTGATCAGCAGTGAATATTCGCTAGACCACTGCAATCACTGAGAGGGATGTCTTGGTGCTTGTTAATTAGCTCGCAATATTAACTTAGTTCCTTCTTCAAATTAAATTCTAGAACATTTTTTTCAAGTATTAGAAAAATAGATAAAGGTGTTTGAAGTATATCTGGTTAAAAAATATTTCCCATTTAGTGTAAATGGGTATATGAAATGAATAAAGGGAACCATATATACAACTCCATGGCTTGGACCAGATTACCATAACGTCAAGAGCCATATAGCCAGTGATCGAGGCTTTGTGATGTTTAATGTCACATGTAGAAGGAATACTTGAACATCTAAAGGTCAGTCATCTTATACTACCTAAGCCTAACCCTAGCTTTTGCAATACCCCTGTGAAACAGATTGTACAAACACAACACAAACTATTTTATTACCTTAATGTATGACGTTTATTACCTTATATATTTACATTACATACAATATAAAGAAAGTATGTAAAATTACACAAATTATTCTTTTGTAATAATTCAATAAATTCAAAGAAACTATAAAGAAATCAAAAGTAATACAGTGGTATTTTCAGGAGGCAGGGGTGAGGTGGGTGTAATGGGTTCCATCCATGGACACGACATTGGGTTCTTACTTACTACTTCTTACTAATCAATTAAATACCGGGCTAGAGAGAGAGACAGAGAGGAGGGGCCAGAATTGTCCTTTCAAATATCAATACAGGTACATGTAATTTAAAAATATTGTCTTAAAACTGTCAACTTTTGAAAATCCTGCATAGGCCTACGCTAAATGTTTGACATTATCCATGCATTCTTCTATTATCGATATTTTCATCTACACACTGTCAAGGTTATGGGCCTACAACATGAGCCTGAACAAACATTATCTGCACTAGTCAACAAGATTATCGTACATTGGCACTAACATAACATAAGCTTGAACAGTGTTTGCACTGGTCGACAAGATTATCGTACATTGACATGAAGGAAAGACATACATACACTTGATTTTATTCACAGCATCTCTCATGTGCAATGTTAATGAGGGGAAATTTTGCAATGATGTGCATTTCCACTGACTGTCAAGGGTTCAAAAGGTGGATACAGCTTTTTTTTTTGTTCCATCCAAACTACTAGGCAACAGTTCCTTGTGGTATGTAGAAACCAGACTTGAAATATTTTGACCCTTTACCCACACCGGATGCAGATAAGGATATTTTAGTGGAGATTCCAGTGCACTAGTTTGAGATATGTAACAACTGCGGAAAAGTCGCCTTAATTGCCCTGCTGCGCTGATTGGCAATTCACTCCATGATAGGTGTGACAGATAAAGCAGTTTGTTAAGAACCCTCTGACTGGTGCTATAAGTGAATTTTTATCGCAATTTCTGTAGTAAAACCGAATAAGCCAATGTAGTCAAGGTAGCCTCTGTGATGTACCCTGTAATAAAATGACACAACCTAGGTCATTTCGGACTTTGCACATGGTACTATTTTATTTCAATAATTTCCTTGCGCAGAGGGGTCTTTAGCTGTGTGAGGAACCTGGAGACCTTGAGAAAATCTATGTGGTTTGGCAGGGAAACCTACTCCTTGTAACGTACAAGTGGGGGTTGGAAACCACGCCACTTGACTCAAGGGCAGACTTAGGATCTAATTAAAGTGCACTCGTAAGACCATTTTGCCACCCAGTACTCTCTAAGAAGAAAATTTAACAGGAAAATACTTGGTCCTATACCTATTAACGGCTATAAGTTGCCTACTTAAGTTACGAATGTGTTTTTAGTTTTATATGGTACAAAATAACAATTTGTTATAATCTTTGAGCAGGATTTAGTAACTGGATAGAGCAATAAACTATAACACATGCTTATATATTTGGGCGACAATTGTACACACCAAATTCATGAATTTCAAATTGAGGAATATAATTTTCTAAGACGGAAGCCAGACAGGAAAAACACTAACAAAAGTCCTCACCTGTAAAATGTATATATTAAAGATACATTATGTAAGATTTAGATAAAGAGCTGGCTGTTCTTGCTATAATTGTTCAAAAATAGATAATGCAAAATAAATATATTGAAAAATTTCATACATATTACTTTATTCTGAGCCAAATTATCACCTGTAGTTTTGACAAGATATGTGCATTGATAGTTTATTATCTTAACACGGTACTGGTATATTCGAGACATTGCCTCGCTTTCCCACTTTTAAATTAAATCATTAAATCGCCCAACCATTCTAATCTACTTAAAATCGGAGAAATCCGATGACATCGAGAGTTGATTATGGTCTTGTTTTGTTAATAAATGTCTAATTAAACATTTATTTAAAATTTAACCCCTAAAGAAAGACCCGCAATAGGCAAGATTTAGCTCTTGAATAATGTTTCTTTAAATGGCAAATAGACTGATGGGCAGGATGGAAGAATGGATTTTTGCAGCCTAATCCTCTACCCATCTCAAATAAAGTTATTATCAATATTATTATAATAAATAAGAGTACCAGTAACTGAAGTTTAAATTTGACCTTTTGACCTATACTTTTATGTCTTGCACTAAGTTTGCACTAAGTTCAATATGACTGATATAAAGATCCAGCAGTCATCTAGATTTTTAAAAAAAAAAAAATTTCTTTTGGTATAAATGTTTTAAGACATCCTTCAGTATTCAGTAAATGATCAAGGAAATTTATCACACGTCAAAATATTCTTAAAGTAGTATAGAAATACAAAAACTTAAATCGAATAATATGTAAAAAGCCTAGCTAAACATTCACATTTACAATAAAGTATAGAAATATGCCAACTTTAAATCAATAAGGTAAGATGTAAACATAGCTGAACATTCACATTTAATCTACACAGCATTAAAAATGGAAGAATTCTTTATATTATAGACAACTGCAGTCAAGAGAAAATTAATTCATAATAGAACAAGATGATCTTAAAGATAATTTATAATGAATTTAAAATCTGTAATTTGTACACATACTGTCTACAACAACTACATCTCGAATCACATGTACAGTGCTAGAAACAAATACAAAACTGAAGAGCTAAAAAGAGCTTAAAATATCAAAGTTAAAGGGTTGCAAATCTTATAAAACAATTCCATTATCAACAAATGAAACCAAAAAAGCACAAGACAAAAAAATAAAACAAATAATGGAGGCAATAATAATTTAAAAATTCCCTGAACCAAATGTTTACCTCATGAAATCACGAAAACCAAAATATTTTAAGGATTATGCAATATCATTGGCTGAGACTTAAAATTATAATACAAATTGCAGTTCTTAGCCAATGAAAAGACTGCATTCTTAAAATATTTTAGGTAAGTATTAGTAAACAAAGCCCCAGAGCACTATATTAGATCTACTTAATTATTTTGGTACATTTAGTTATTACCAAAATTTTACACAATTAATGGGATAAACTTTGTTTTATAAGTAAAAGAAACTCTGAGCTTATTTCTAAAATAATAATGCCTTTGTATACTCTATTTCTTATCAAATATTATATAGAAACTGATTAGTATTACCCAAATATTATAATTTATAGCTGTTGATTGTCATTTGAAATGAAAATTTTGAATTCTTTGTGAAAGTTGAATCTCTAAAAAGTTATCTTTCAAAAATGGTTAAATTTCATTCATTAGTTACAAAGATATTTTATAAAAATTTCCTAACATTTAGCATTCTCTTCAGGTGATATAAACAAGGCAGCCCAACCAATGGGTTTTGGGGAAAATATTTTGATAGGCCTCTCTTTAATTCGATTGAAATTATCCACCATTGATATTTTGATTTGACTTTCTTAATTAATTTGCATACCATGAATAAAGCTGTGAAACGAAAAAATTAGACATTGTCCGAAAAATGACAATTTTTAAAACAAAATATAGAAAATTTGAGCACAAATAAGACCTGTGCATATTCTAGCCCTAATTAAATATTCTGAGTGTAGAAAACTTGATTAGATATAAAATGAAATGAAATGAAATGGGGTTTAACGTCCTACTAAGAAATAAAATACACAAATAAAACTTTATAAAAAATACAATAAAAATATCTATACAGCTGATTGGTCCTGTTATAATCTTTCTATAGACATAGGGCTATCACTTCAAAATTTTACCAGTCAGTCAGACAGTTTTTGACAAATTTTGTTCTCCGCGGATTAGCATGATATATTTTCTAAAGAATAAGACAATTTATATCATTATCCTAATTGTTTTATATATATTTGTAAGTGTTTTTACAAATAAAAAAACTCTATTGATTGAACTCAAATGTTATAAATTCTTTGAAATTCTAATATTATGGCACGTAAATTAACTCCCATCCTCGGTATCCCCAGTGGTCTCATTCCGTTCTACTATATCCTGAGTTCATGCATGGGATATTCACATTATCTGCCCTTGATTGTAGCTTGTTTCTTTAAACCAATCATAAAACAGTTTACAAACCAGTCTTGGCCTCATTGTTTACATTCAGAGTAATATATGGCGGCTTGAAAGTTTGCAAGAAATTTAATATAAAAGAAGTGACATGCACACAAAAAGATCTCCTAAAACATCTTTTTAATGGAAATGATGTTTTATGTCAATCAAAACAGGCAGTGGCAAGTTGTTATGCTATCGAGTGTATTGGTCCATAAAAATAGCACAATGTCAAGGGCAGATAATTTGAATGGATGAACCCAGGGTATAGTGGAGTGTAGCGGAATAAGACCACTGGAGATGATTAACTCTAGTCACTGCCAGTCAGTCAAGACAGGTAAATAAGACTGAAATGTGAGCCCTAGTACAGAATAGGTTGTAAATAATTTTAAAACAGCTACTGTTAAGCAAGAAAACTTTGGACTATTAGAACCCATTTTTATTTTAGTTATTTCTTCATTTTCTCATTTTTTTTTACAACTGTTCATGTTTGATAATTAAAACTGGTACAGTGTTTATTGTCAGTTGTCGTCTCAACATATTTTAACTTGATTTCTATTTTAATAAAGTTTAACTTTAGTGAATGTGGGGAATGCTGCACCTGAATTCATCATACAGGGAATTAATATGACAAAAGTTTTCTTGTTCTTAGTATTCTATACCACACAAATACAGATGCACCCAGAAACAAAAGCATAAACATGCAGTGATTGTTGCTATTAAAGTGTCACTCAACATGTAATTTACAACATTAATTTGATTTTGAAAGATCATTGGTCTGAAGATCTGTCAAATTTACAAGTACTTCAACGCTGATTATAAAGTTTAACTTACAATTAATAATTTATAATAAATTCCAGGTATACACCTGGGTGTTTACATTAAAATTTAGCCACCCGGTTAAATTTTATTTACCTGGGATTAGCAAGATATTTTTTCTATTACAAAGAATTTGATAATATTCAACATTATTACATTTTTTTCCACATACAAAATCAACTGTATTTATTGTGATTTAAGAGCAAATTCTTTGAAATATTTAACCTTATTGTATGCAAATTGCCTGACAGACATTTGGTCAATTTCACTGCCAATCAGTCAAGACCGACAAATGTGATTATAACAAGAGCCCTGGAATACAAACTTACGGTACACCCGGTAAATAGCACTAGAAAATGTGTTTAGAAAGTTGCTGTCTTCTATTATAGTTTGTTCCATGTGCCTTGTTGTGCAGTTCTGTCCCATTGTCTATTAGAGCACTAACTGTGTTTTTCTGACTTTATCCTTTTCTTTGTTCTGCAAATTGATGCTTCCTATAACTGTTATTGGGAAGTCCAGCACTAGCGTACATGTTTTATAATGATGCTTGATTTGAAGGAATTATCCTTGAGTCCAGCACTAGCGCACATGTATTATAATGATGCTTGATTTGAAGGAATTATTCTGGAGGCCAGCACTAGCGTTCATGTATTATAATCATCTCTGATTCGATACAATTATTCTGAAGACAGCACTTATGTACATGTATTATAATAATTCTTGATTCGATATATTTATTCTGGAGGTCAGTCCTATTATCATAACTCTACACTAAGGTTTGATATAAATTTTAAGTATCACAATAAATTTTTAAATAGACGTTTCACAACCTTGCTTCATATCAAACCAGACCGGAATATTATTTCATGATATCAGCTAAGTCAACACAGATAATGCATTCATTTGATAAAAGTCAAAAAGCTTGTGTCACATTATTGACAGCATCGGGTTTGATCAAGTTTCTATATGTGATGATCTTGAGGATGATATTGATGCTGTCAAAACATAAATCACATTGCTTAAATTCTCGTTCGACGGAACATCCATGTTCTTTAACTTGAAATATTTCATCTACCACTGCGAGAACAGCACGGAGGGCATTGAATAACATCCTCTTTACCAGAATCTTCAATACCACCCCCAAATAACTTAATAAGCTGACAATGTACTCTGAAAAAATCATAGTACATGTATTTTAATTAACATACACAGGAAACAATATGACTCCATAATCAATAACCTGAACCCTGGCACAAAAACTAAAATCACATTTACTTCTAGAGAAACACAAAAACTATTCAACTGGGTAAATTTGCAATTAGCAATCGGAACAACTTCTATAATAGTTGTGGGGTTGGATGGCTGAATGGTTAGCACAGGCACGCTGTATCATAAGGTCTGTCATTGAGTCAACAACAGGCAAGGTTTCGAATCCCTGGTTGTACATGACAAGTATTAGGGTCGCCTGTCCAACCTCATGGGTTTTCTCTGGGTCCTCCGGTTTCCTCCCACTGCTAAAGACCCTGTGTTAGTCCCGAAATGACCTAGTTTGTGTTGAGTGGACGTTAAACCCCATTTCTCTCCCTCTATAATAGTTTAATGTGTACACAGTTTCATAAAGATATTGTGAGCAGAAATGACATTTTAGTAAACTGCTTTACAATGCCTAAACCCAAAAACATGGCAATTTAAAAAAAAAAACGTTTTGGAACTCCATACAAACGTGACATTTTATTTTTACCACGTTACAACGTGGCAAAACTGTGGCAAAAGTTTTAACACGTTTTTGCCACGCTTGGACAAAAATGCCGAACGAGGCATTCTGGGGTTTATAGCGTAATACTGGGTCATTCTGGGACTAACATTGTGGAATTCCAAAACTTACTTGACATGTAGACTTGGATGATCCAGTATTTCTCCATCACAGTTCCAGACACTATTTTTAATAGTTGGAGATCGTAGTTGAGATCGGCCTTCTTTATTTCTTGTCATGGTTTTGTCATCAGCAGTATCCTCCTTGGATATTGGCTCAAATTTAAATTCTTTTACTCGGAAAACTTGTATAAAATTAAAATCAAACTGAAAAAAATAATTGAGAAAACAAAACCTAAATAAGAAGCTACTATTTATTAAAAGCCAAATCATTCACATATATTGCTAAAGTAAAACATTTGCACTATGTGCAGACCATGGGATAAGTGAGAGGGACGCCATGACAAGCCTGTGTCATTATTTTGAGTTTTTGCGGCCCCCTTGAAATTTTGCACCCCCTCGCATATGGCAAAAAATCATGGGGTTTCAATGCGTTTTTCAACATTATAATCATAATCAAAATGCTCAACCAGTGTCAAACATACACCGTTGGTGAGATATGCTACAAATCGACACTAGCATGTTCCACACAGCCCAACATTACTAGGTAGCACTGGGAGGGACTGCCACCCCACCTCCTCCCCCCCACACACACATATAAATATTTTTGGGAGCCCGGATGGGATTTGTTTTCTCTACAAAATGATGGGTCACCTTGCCCCTGGTGCAGACTGGTGTTATTATGTAACTAAGCAAATCCTTGCCCCTCTAACAAGTACCATGCTGATATTTGAACCCAGGGGAATTTTTAGTCAAACGGCAAATGTCCTGACCTCAGGATTACGGCAGCTCCACATAGAGAGAGAGAGAGAGAGAGAGAGAGAGAGAGAGAAATGGGGTTTAAGTCCACTCTACACAAACTAGGTCATTTCGGGACTAACATATGGTTTAATTTTATTTCAATAATTCGCATGCACGTAGGGGTCTTTAGCTGTGGGAGGAAACAGGAGGACCCGAAGAAAACCCATGAGGTTGGACAGGCGACCCTACTCCTTGTCACGTACAACTGGGGATTCGAAACCACGCCAGTTGACTCAATGACAGGCCTTATGATACAGCACACACGTGCTAACCATTCGACATCCAACCCCCCGCAGCTCCACATCATTAATATTATATACCAAGCAATATCTAAACTCTACCTGGTCAGATGTTCTGTCGGCCGACCTGTACAAATGACGGAAGTAATTAACTCGTGAACAGTTGGATATAAGAATCAGATCAGCGCAGCCGTCACCTATATGAGATGATGGGGAGGCGCCTTCTGGACTCAAGGCACATCGACAACTCATTGTGTGAGAATTAATACAAATAAATCGCCCACAAACTTTCTGCCAATTTTCATTTTCTGTAAGAAATAAAAATCAATAAATAATTGATTTAATTGACTATTGATATACAAATAAAGTGGACTTGGTCATCCAGTATAACTGAGTCTTCAATATGGAACAAATGCTTCTTCTGGATATTCATTCATGAAACAGGCTTTTGAAGTGAATGCATCCTGGTAAAATCAAATTTTGTTTTTTCACATCAAAAATTCTTCATTACAACTGTTCTCTTAATTTAAAAAAAAAAAAAAGAAAAAATCTTCTGAAAATGTCGAGATTTTGCATCATGACATATTCTAGTTTCGGGCGATTGTCTTGTCTACATTTTCACATTATATAGTTTGGGTTAATCCTGATTTCATTGTTATGCTACCTTTGATTGGTTTTTGAAAAAGTTGTTAACCAATTACAATTTGACACAAAAATCATTAATCCATCAAGGTTTGTATTGAGGTTTCACAGAAAGGGAAGGAAGTTACTAGAGAAGCAATTACTTCAATTAACTTTGCAGGATCGGTACAGGGCCTTCCCAAATTAATTTTGTCAGTCAGTAAATAGGTTGCATATTTTGTGTACCTTAGATTAGAAAGATATCTTTTTAACATTAATCTAAATTTTTAGAATATATTTGTACATATTTTTACACATAAAAACTATAAATTCATCTGTATTTATTGTGTTTTAAGATTAAATTCCTTGAAATTCTAACTTTCAAAGCATGTAATTTGACTGACATGTAAGTTTTCTAGACGATCAACTTCATCAGGATTGACAATAGTGACAATTATGACTGGATTTTGCATTGGTGACCATTAGAGAAATAATAACATGGAAACAGGAAAGGGTACGGCAACACTCCCTTAGAGAGTAATTATAGCTGGACAGGCTGGTACATCTGCGTGGTGACGGCGGGACGGAGTAGAGAATAAAATTAAAAAAATAACAATTGTTTTACATACTTGTCTTTAACATCGTAGATTTTTCTCCAGGTTTACTTTTACTTTCACCAGCTTTTTTACATACTCGACACCTGTATAATAAATCAACAGTCAGAATTCAACATTCAGTACCTAAAATAACTAGACCTGGACTTTCACTTCAATTTTGAAGTGTATTAACACATAAAAACTATAAATTAATCTGATCACGGGCAACAGAATTAATTAAAATCTGATAGGTTTCTAGTTATTTTTTTAGAGCTAACACAGTGAGGCTGATGTCCCCCGCCACAATACCAACATAAATAGATGACACATATATATATATTGCATGTTTATCTTTTGGTAAAGCATCAAGCAATGAACCTGCTTATCTATATATAGCATAAGCAGAAAGTTCTCATGACTGAACTTGGTTAAGGTTTGGATGTGTTGATACTAAAAACCAAGTATTTTTCATGAACCAATATTTTTGCACAGTGAATTTAGCCATTCCCTTCACAAAATTTTTTTGAGTGATCAAGGGTCATAACTATGACAGTAATTATCAGAAATCGTTTAAAATCAATATCCAACCCCTGATGAAGTACATAAACATCTATTGTTTTTATCTGAGAAACAAAGTCTGGCTTACCCTTTTAGACATCGAACTCCATCTCTTGGGTGATGTGAAGGATCTGTCGAAGCAATAAACGAGACTTCACCTTCATAAGAATTTTTTGAAAGAAATTTCTTGAAACCTGAAAGTAACCAAAACTAAAAGTTATCTGCTTGTTGTCTACTTCATGTGTTCGGACAAAAATGCACAAATTCATTTTTTTTGAAAATTTAAAATATTTTGAAAGGATAGTCTGCTTCTCATATACAGCCCTTCTGCTTAGATTCCAAGATAAACAACAAGACTCAATCCCTGTATAACCGAAAACTAAGTCAAATTTGTTTCCATGGAAACACAACAATGATTAAATTCGATAAATCTCCAATTAGAAAAAGCACAACTATTATGTTAAGTTGATGTATGCACAAAGCGAGATGAAAAACAGAGAGAGGTTAACGTCTAATTGTGGGCTTATTCAAAATTACAAATAGGCAAGATAAATCACAAAACAACATACCACACCAGTTGTAGCGTTTTGGTCCCATCCATCGTAACCTTTCACTATCGGCAACCAAATCACCATAGTAACCATAACCAAGGAAAGAAACACTATATTTAAGAAATTCACCCCTTTGATGTACAGCCGAGACATCTAATCCTAAGGTATTACCTGCAATTACAAAAAAAAAAATAGAAATTTGCCAAACAATGAGATATACACACACTAACAATATAAGGCCATACAAAAAAACATATTATGGTTCAGAGACAATCCTACCTACGAGTTTTATTACGATTGGTAATATTGACTATTTACATGTGTTTAATATTTTATATTCAAAGTTTAACAACAGACATACACTGACCGAGAAAGTCACGCATTCCTGCTCCAGCCGAGCGCTGCGGTTAGTTTATAATTAGAGTTTTGTAAATCGAGACTAAGGAGAGCATCGCTCTTCGTTTCCGGTTAAATAAAAGTTTAAAAAGTATCTTGTCTCTCTCTACAGAACTGATGGCGATGCTGCTAAACATCATCTAAAATGAAGGAATAGAGCCCAAACCCAGGCCTTTACAGAGTCAACAAGCAAGACTCACCCCACTGCGCGGCCAGGTAGGGGTTACAGGTTCAAGGAACGTGTTGGCCTACCCAAATGTTCCAACTGGATATAAAAAATGTTGTGATTTAAGAGAAACATTAATGTCTATTAAGTTTATTATATACAATTACATAAATAGGATAGCTTAGATAAAAAGAAGAATTTTTGGGAAACAAATTTTGCTATATTTAATGTTATTTGTTTTTATTATTTGTTACTGACCTAATACAATATTAACAGCACAGGTAACAGGGTCATTGATCCCTTCTGTTGTATAAACTATACTATCTGTTGAACCTGAAATTAAATTAAAAAACATCCAATAGAATTGTCTGTTGGTCTGACATGGAAAGTGTGTCTAAGCGAGCAGAACAGTATGACGTTAAACCCATTTCATTTCACTTCCTGTCTATTTTTTTTTTATTTTGAGTGAAGCCTGTATCATAGCAGGCCCGAGGACTGTACGGCACAATGAAACATACAGATTAAAAACAGATACTAAAGGAATAATTAGGCCTACTGGCTGTCACACATTGTAACTGGTTAATAAAGACTAACCTGCAGGAATAATACCAACTGGAAGTCTGGGACTAACAGGATCACTGAGCGGTGTTTGAGCTATACCAGCATCCCTCATTGATCTGTCCAGCAGACCATTCAATATTTCAGAGAATGTCCCATCACCACCCACTGATATAACACTAAAATAAAAAGAAAGGTTATCAGGCAACGTAACATACGCCCCCAACAGCTAAACCATCTGAGCAGTCAACAAGGGTTGTCACATATTTATAGGAGCATCTACAAAACACTGATATCAGTTTCATACAGATCAAATTTTCACAAGGTTCATCAAAGTAAAACAAGGGTCATAACTCTGGAAGTAATCAATGGAAATTGCTGAAATTCAATAGGCGTCCTCGTTTTACTAATCTCAAAAATACATTTAAATTCAATACAGAACGGATGATAATTTTTGTCATTAAAGCGTTGACAAGAAATTGTGGATGGACGGAGGCAATGGCAATATACGACCACTCAGCCATAAGTTTGTGCCACCCGGGATGGATTATCCTTGAATTTACCAACCCCACCTCCAAGTGAAAAACACAACACAATACAATTCAAACATATTTCAACTGTTAACCAGTGATTTTATAGAAAAATCAAATTTTTTTCAAAGTGCCGCCCGCAAAGAAGTCACCCAGGCAAACATCGCCTCACACCCTGCTGTGACCATGCTATTCTATCTATATTTACACATAATACCTACAGATTCTAAAGTAGTAGTACCTAGAAAAACAGTTTTCTCTGTCATTTTACTGACTGTATTGCCAAATATTTTTTTTAATAGATTCTAAAGATAGGAACAGGGATTTAATATAGGCTATGCCTGTTCCTCTATCCCTAGTTTGATACAAATCTGAATAAAAATATTGTTTATAAAAAAAGAAAGCAGACCTAAAATCAACCCTTGACATTAAATGATGCTATAAATAACTTACCCATCAAATTTACTGAGATCATGATCTAATAAAACATCTCTAGCATGATACTGTCTTTTAGTGACTGAAATACATAGGATCAAGGACTAGTTAAACAAGGGTGAGCAGATAACTAGACATAGAATAAATTCTCACCATTAAAATGACAGTCTGTGACAGGCTATTAAAGATGTATTATGTAAGAGCTAAATCTGTTTAATTCTTTCTGTTGGTTTCAAATGTTATATAAATATTATTTAGACATTTATTAACATAACAAGCCTATAATCAGCTCTCTAGAACATTGGATGATTGAGATTTAAATGGATTTAAACATCCGCGAGATTTAAAAATTTAATTCTCACTTGTCAAGTACCATTGCTACCATAATAATCGATCTATGCTATATCTTTAGAAAAGGGGAATTTGAATGAAATTTTCAATTTATTCATTTTTCATTATCTATTTTTGAACTATTATAGCAAGAACAGCCAGCTCTTTATCTAAATCTTACATACATCTTTAAAAGAATTTAGTTAACAAGATATATCTATTTGAAAATAAATGAGGCATCATTAGACTTATGTCTTGTTTACATTTTGAAGGTAGTACTCAAAATTACAAAACAAACCTACTATATTGATCAAAGTAATTTACTCTCTTTTGTTATAGACTAACTTAAAGCAACATTAGGTAAGATATGACAGTTCTCACTATAATAGTTAAAAAATAGATAATGAAAAGCGAATATGCAGAAAATTTCAGTCAATTTATTTGACTCTGAGCCTTGATATTGGCGATACAATTATCATCTAGTCTCAATTGTCATCACTACTGTTGTTACGATAATAAACAAAGTCTTGATTATCCATTTTTATGGTAACAGCATCTAATTAATAATTTATATAACATTTCAGACCTAAAGAAAGACCTGCAATAGGCAGATTTAGCTCTTGCATAATGCCTTTTAAAAGCATTAACTCCCCCAATACAATGAAATTAATATTAACATAACACATAGATACAGATAACAATTACTAGGTGATTTTACTCACGAAAACAAGAAATTAAAAAGAATCAAATAAAAGGATGCAACGATAGAAAATTCATCGTTCGATGATATTATTTCAATCAACTTACCCCTTTGATTTAATTACATTAAAAATGCAAAATATCAATTCGAATTTCAATATCACAATGTCCTTTCATTTTATTTATTGCGAACCATCCCATCTTTAGTTAAAAAGACCCCGTACCCTTATTTCGGCTTCCTACGTTCTCAGCGGCCAATATGAATTTCATTCCGACAGTACATACACTGGACATAAAAAAACTTAGACAAAAGATCAATACCTATAACTTCTGTATAAATGCCGGCTATATCAAAGATTGGGGCAACCTTTTCACTGTAAATCTTGTTGGCACGTTTTTTACCACCAATAGGATTTATAAAAACAAGTAAACGTTTTGGTCTCTCTTGATCTGAAATACACAAAAGGTTAAATAATATTATTTCCATTCTTAAATATTTCACTTTTAATTATGCGCTGATCGTTATTCGCATTTTTCGGACAAGGTCTAATTTTTCTCAGCCTAATCCACGCTAAAATGTACTCTAAATTTAAATAGCAGATAATACTCCGGCTTGAATTCAATCAGATTATGGCCTTAGAGGATGCAGTACCAGGGGCGGATCCAGAGGGGGGTTTTGGGGGGTCCCCCCCCCCCTATACTCAGCCACATAAAATTTTTTTGAAAACAACCTTTTTTATGAGAAAAGTGTCATCCTTTATCGTCAGATGGTGCGACAGGATGGGCACTCAAAGCACGAGATAATGATATAGACATTTAATATGTGATATCACAATTAATGCTTTGCATCCATGAAATTGAATCACAATGTTATCCTATTAATTCATAATAAAAATTGACGTCAAACGAGGTGTTGAATTTCTCTGTTTAAAAAGCTCAATGTGTATGTGTATACAACAAAATGACGATAGAGACCATGCAGGAGGGGGGGGGGGGAGAGATACATTGTCTCGGGAACCTGGCAAACCCCCTCCTGCAAAAACTCCTGGATCCGCCCTGAATGTATTGCTAAATTTACAATTTATCATATCATTCTATTTAATTCTAAATACAAAATGGACCGATATTCGGACAAGGTAAAACCATACTTAAAAGTCTTGAGGAATTTTCTTGGCCAACACCAGGATCGGAGCCAGGACGGCAGGACCTCATGGCTAGTCAGCCACAAAACAAATCAACACATAAAATACAATGAAATCTATCATTATATTTTGGACACTTATCAATTAGAGAGTGACTATTAAAACATATATGTATCTGATGATAAATTAAAACTGACCCATATTGGCAAGAATTCTGCGTATACTGTCCACCCAGAGTTGACAGGTTGATTGATCCTTACAGATTATTGATATATCCTTGTAGCGCCACCTGTGTTTATTGACTTTAGTTAAATAATATATTGTAAATATATTCATCTGAAATATACATCATCATTATTATTATTATTATTATTATCAAAAACAAGAATAGAGCTCAATTTCAAAATAAATAATGGAATTGCTCTTTATTGGTGCAGCACTAACCAGGATGTTCTCTGGGTTCAATCTTGGTGTTGAACTTCACCTACTCTTTGACGATAGTGAAATTAAACAGGAAATGAAATGAAATGGGGTTAAACGTCCTACTGTTTGCTCCGAACTGGGCTAATGAAGATGGGCATACGCCATACAGTTAGCTATGAGTTAAATTTTGCCCAGACAGCGGCACTACGAATTCCAATTGTCAAGGGAACTTTTACGTGCAGGTCAATGTGTACACGGGACCACATTTTTTTGTGCCATCCGAACGACTAGATAGCTGTTTTTGTCAGGCCCTCCTGTCCTGCATTACTGACAAGGGGGAACCACACTGGAAAATCTGGATTAACTTTCTCGACCGATGCAGAGATCGAACACCCGACCTCCAGGCTAGTGAGCCAGCGTCTTACCCACTTAGCCACTGTAACCCCCCAAAATTAAACAGGCATTATTTAAGAGCTAATTCTGTCTATTGCAGGTCTTTCTTTAGGCCTTAAATGTTATATAAATTATTAATTAGACATTTATTAACATGACAAGACCATAAACAACTCTCGATGCCATCGGGTGGCTCCTATTTCAAGTAGATTAGAATGGTTCGACCATTTAATGATTTAATTTAAAACTGGAGAAGCAAGGTCAAGACTCTAATGTCTAATACGGTGGTTAAGATCAATGCACACATTGTGTCAAAACTACACCCATTGATAACTTCACTCAAAATAAAGTAATTTGAATTAAATTTTTGAAAGATTATTGAGAGAGAACATCTGGCTCTTTATCTAAATCTTACATAATGCCCCTTTAAATGAGACTTCTTTTTAATAAGCAACAATCTGCAATTTGTACAGAGCAGATGTCTCAGGTATATCTTACAAAATCAACCAAAGGCCTTTTGACAAAATGTGGTCATTAATACCCTGAAATTTACCAAAAAGTATCACTACCAGGGTATCATATAATATTGTGTGTCTTGCACTAATTTCTTTCACATTTGTTTAATATCAAATCTCTGTTTAAAAATTGGCAAAAATCATTTAAAATCACCCCAAATCATCTAATTTGTGCTTTTGTCTAGTTTAAAACTGACTTCACACTGTTCAAAAATTAACCATTATACATCAATAATCAATCTGGTTGTTTATTTTTTAACAGTGATCAAAAAATTAAACGCTTAAATTTGACCCTCATTATCAAAACTGAATAGTCAGCTTTAAACTGGACACAAGTACAAATTAGATGATTTTTGGTGATTTGAAACGATTTTTACGAAATTTTAAACAAAGATTTGATATTGAATAAATGTGAAAGAAATTAACGCTGATTAAACGATACCCTGGTTACAGAGAAGATTGTAAATATTGTAAAGTGGAGTATTGTAACACTATCTTACAGATAACAGAAAATCAGCATAATGTATAAAACATTTATTGAGAACATAAAATAGACATAAATCGGGAGAAGCTCTATTCCAAGTCTGACTTGCTGTCAGTAAACGCCTGCTTATATAGCGTCTAACAATTAGAGAAGATGGACAGGAGTGATAACCATATATGGTATTGTTTATTATCAAATTATGGTGTTTGTAATTACACTGCATATTTCTTTGGAAGTCATTGTCAGGTCAAGGCACTGACCACTAATACATTTTCTTTGAAGTTCTGTCTAGTGTTATACACGGATCACGTGTAGCTTGTAAAGATCATATTGAATAAACTAGATGTTTAATAAGAAGTGCCTTAACAGAAGTTATAGAGAGTTTAAACGTCATCTTCAGGTATACATCACTTTGTCACATTCCTTTCCCACCCACAGTTTATTTAATATAAATAAATAACGAACACAATTTAAACGTCATCTTCAGGTATACATCACTTTGTCACCGTATTTTAGAATTTTAAGCATCCAAAAGCAAGATTTAAATCTTAAACATTTTCTTTCTCACTGTCATACGACCATTCTAGAGACCACTAACCTGTAATGGCATCATCTCCATCACCATATAACCCTTGGATGGGTCTTTTACTCTGGCCCCTTCTGTTGCACATGATGAGTTATTTTCTAAACGTACACCAAGTACTTCTGTCAACTCTAAAACATCGCTACTCTCTCCTGTAAAAGATGTTTACAACAATATTACATAGATCTAATGAAACCACAGTAGCTCGGTATCCTGTGTCCGGAGTCAAACTGATCAGCAGTAGATATTCACTTGGCCGCTACTATCACTGAGAGAGATGACATCGGGGTGCGTTAATTAGCTCTCAATATTAACTTTATTTCTTCTGCAAATTAAATTCTAAATATTTTTTTAAATCGTTAAGAAAAAAAAAAAAAAGGCTGGAAAAATATTTCCTATTTAGTGTACATGGTTACCGTACATAAAATAAAATAGACAGAGGCATAAAATGATGTGACGTCGCAAGTAGACCTATACTGCATGTGGACTTAAAAATCAGTCATATTGTACAGTCGAGTTACCTCTATGAAACAAGATTGGTGCTGGGTTTGATCCGGGTTTTGGAACAGCAAGTTCCTCAGAATTTTTCCACCTGCATTCCCCTTGTCATTGCAAGACAGGGGTTCTGGCAATGATAAGTGTTCAGTTATTAAGATGGGATAAAAAAACAATTCTTGTGTAGACCATTAAATTGGCAGCATGTTAAAGATCGCCTGACAGATGGGAATCAAAATATGAGTAGGGCATAATGTCCCTTATAGCAATATGCATGGTGTATTGTCCGTTATAGCAATCTGAATGGCACATGAACACCTTCATTAGACCGGCTAGTACAGAAATATATGACTTTAAACATTGATTATGCAAGAGCTAAATCTGCCTAAATTGCAGGTCTTTCTTTAGGTCTGAAATTTTATCTAAATTATTAAATAGACATTAAATAACTTATCCAGACTATAATCAACTCTCGATGTCATCTCTAGTCTGTGATGTTTATTGGATTAGGTTCCGATTTGCTGTTCGACTTCCATTCATGATCTAATAAGGAAATGGATAATTGAGACTAAGTTTTTTATCGTACAGACTTTAGTAATGATGATCAAGCCTAGGCTCGCTAGCCTGGAGGTCAGGTGTTCGATCCCTGCATTGGCCGAGAAAGTTCATCCAGATTTTCTGGCGTGGTTCCCCCTTGTCAGTGATGCAGGATGGAGGACCTGACAAGGACAGCTGTCTAGTCCTTCGGATGATATGAAAAACCGAGGTCACGTGTATACATTAGAATGCACGTAAAAGATCCCTTGGCATGTTAGAATTCGGTATAAGAGTAGGCGATAGTGCCGCTGCCCGGGCAAAATTTCCCTCATAGCACACTGTATGGCGTATGCCCGTCTACATTAGCCCAGCATAGGAGCAGAACAGTAGGATGTTAAACCCCATTTCATTTCATTTCATTTCATTTCAAGCCTAGGCCGAAAATTCAATCGCTAAAATCTCGGTTCAGATTGGATCAATTTGACTGAAATTTTCAGCAAAGTCCCTTTACATTATCTAGTTTTTAACTATTATAGTGAAAACTGCCAGCTCTTATCTAATCTCCCATTATGTATCTTTAAACATTCATTTCATTTATTTTGAAATCCATCTTTAATCAAACAATTTCAAAACGATGGAAGTCTGGAGGGGGCAGACATTTTACTTTAATCCCCTTCTTGTGCAATAATAATATTTGTATTAATGGGGCCAACACCTACAGACCCCATAATTTTAAATTGCACCTGTGATTAGATTAAGTTACTGTGAATATGAATTTAATTAACCTTATTTTATTATTTATAGTTTTATCATAATGCTATATTGGGAGAGCGGTTATTAAATATGTAGCTTTACCATACAATATTCTATCATCTGATTTCATCACATATTTATACTATGTTTACGATCAGCTGTCAGTGTTGCAACAACAAAGAAGTACAATGTACAAACATTAGAATACAGTTTTACTTACTGATAAATGGTTCATAATTTCGGCCGTGAGACGTGGATACTTGTGAGACACCTTCAGTGATTAGTTGACTGTGAGTTAAAGTCACTAAATGCGGTTTGTGGTTGATTTCTAACGTTGATTGTAAAATAACGTTATCCGCATGAAGTACGGCAGCCATACTTGTTGTAGTATTAGGTCATTATGACCTATTAACCGAATTACATAAAGCGTTTTTTTAACAGTTATAACTTTTATATTAGTATTGATTTTTGCTTACATTATTCGATATAAACTATTTTGGGAATGGGAACATGTGAGGGTATTTGGGTTAAACAATTATAGAAAACAAAGGTGTAGGTAGACACCGCCATCGGTATTTATTTATAAAGGTTCAGTTCCATTCAAGGGACTTAACTCTTGCAGGAAATTATATTTGATTTCTTACGATTGTTTGGACATTATCAAATAAGACAGGATTGTAATGAAAACAATATTTATATCTTAAGATATGTTTAGGCATTCTATCACTGAACAAGTATATAAATAGTCGCTGTGTAAATCGGGGCTTGATCATCAAGCGATGCACATTTATCAAGGGAGGCAAATCCATTTGGATAAAAACTATGTTACAAACCCATTATTTCTACCTATTCCATTTAATGAAATTAAATTGTAAAGAGTTTCGTGTAATTTTAAAGCATGGGCAACTTTAAGGATTTTCCCATATATCACTTTTCTCAATTTACCAGTTTTGTAACAGACTAGGAGGACCAAAGTAGTCAAACAGTCTGGACACTGGACTAGTTCAAGCCTGGCTTACATGAATCATGTGTGTCTAGTTGATCACCTGTGTGTAACCATAGATTGAACTTATTTCTGTCTCAAAATGATAGAAGTATTATGTTAAAGAAGCATTTAACCCCAATCCAATCCAGTCCTAAACCTGTGATTGTGTTGTACACCTCATTAAGGGAAGGGTTTTTCCAGATATTTCACCTTTTATCTATGGGTACCCTACCTAGCTATCTTGACAGATATTTGGTTTGCACTTCTAAATGTAGAATAACAAGGGGGAAGTCTTGAAAGCTAACTTCTTATTTATATTTCTCGACAATAGTGGAAAAATACAATGTATCAGTAAAAATGAATAAGATAAAAACACAAAAGTTTTTCTTGTTTTAGTAAAATTGTATTTAAAAAAAAATAATATGGAGATGTATATACAATAAAAGTATGATTTTTAAAAAAAAAAAATTGACAAAATTATAATTTATTCACAGACAATAAATAAACCAACATTCTGTATCATACATACAACAGCCCTAAGAGTGACTCTTTATCAGAGAATTATTTGTTTGAAAAAACAGCTGTGTTACAGCGCAATCTGATTAAAATACAGATCTATTATTTCTTTTCGTTTTTTTTTTATACTTTCGATGGCCTACACTACATGAAGATCTGATCGGTTGTAGTGGAATCTCACATCAGGGTCATACGAGTGGCTTTTAACCCTAAGAAGTCATTGATTAATCAATCGGTGATGACGTTGCTGGTGGTTTACCCACAGTTCCCTGCATCGCAAGCCAAGAACTTGTCGTAACAGACTGTTTCATTGGCTAATCCCTCAGAACGTTGGTTATATAACGACTCTTCCAGATCCTAGTGTTATGAAGACAAGTATAACGAAATTTTGAACTATAAAAAGCGAAATGAAATAGGATCTGTGTTTTAATCAGATTGTTTTTAGCGATATGTGTAAAATAATAAATAAATATTTGAATTATAGCACACTCATTTACAGAACTCAAACAGCACTAAATGTATAAATTGTAAATACATACTAAAAAGAATAATCATTTGGTAAAATTGATATAAATTTATCAAAACCCTGAGTTAAAATTTTAATGTTGTGCATACATTCATTATGAGACTACATTTATTTAAAAATATACATATTGCACTGATCAGTGATTTTACTTGTCTAAAAGTAATGTATTCAGCGAAGAATGACTCAGATGAGATTTGTATGGGTTCTGTATATAAATCAAAGACGGCTGAAGATTAAAGCGGAAACTGCAAATTTTCTAAGAAAGTCAAAACATAATTATTTCTATGTCTTTTGCTCAATAGGTTGTCAACTCACAATTATACGATCATAGGTGTCATTCTCACACTTAAAATTCATTTACACAGGAAATAATAACACAATTACCTCCCAATTACCTCCCTTGTTTTCTATTCTCCACCATGGAGTAGCTTTTTTCAAACGTTTGAAAATGAAGAGGAAAATGATATTTTTGCCAATTTCTCAGATGGCAATAGTGAATTATAGGATTAATAGGATTATTCTTTAACAAGGTAGGGCTGTTTATGGATACCATCTATTTTCAGGCTTTATTTTAATAAATTTTAAAAATATAACTTAAAAATTTGCAATTTCCGCTTTAATATTTTCCAGTTAATTTCTTGCAAATATTCTATGCGTATGAATAAAATAGAATTTACCATGTGAAAAATATAAATAACCAATGTTTCGGTGTAAAGGGTTTGAAAAATTGGACTTTAATTTTCAGAGGAATTCTTGGAAAATTAAGTCATCCCTAAGGTATTAAAATTTTCCTGTAAGTCATACCATGGAGTTACATAGTGTTCTAGATGATTTTGTTCACATTAGGCTTACATTATTATCCAACATGGTTGTATTAGCCAAGGTAATTTATTTTCCTATTAGATTTTCAAATCGAAAATTACGTAAATAGAGATTCTTTTGAATATACAATGTACATGTACATACTATGGACCAGAAACCGAGCATGTCATCATTGCAGCAATTTTGGAATTTTGATGTCAAATCAAAAATGAAAGTCTGTCAAGAGATGCACAATCATCCAAGAAATAAGCATGTAGACCCTACATGAATTTGTGCTTTATACTTTTTTTCAAAGAGCACTGCCCCAAAAAACAACAATGTAATTAGTAGCACTAGAGGCCCAGTTCCTGGTCCATAAACATCATTCAGTCAGCACTTAGAAAAAAAAAAAAGAGATAGAAGATAATAATGAATGTAAGGATAAAATAAAAACAACTAAATATGATTAACTAACAAATCTAATAAAGACAATCTATAAATAATATTTAAAATTATATCATCTTTATAATATACTACTCTTTAACTTATAAACATTCTACATTGTAATCCAACAATAATCACACTGAAAAAACACACTGCACACCCTTATACATGTAGGTCATAAAGACCACACATGATAACAGGTGTCTTTTGATTGATAAATAATTTTGAAAGATGTTAAATTGTTTAAGCCGTATTATAGTAATTGGCCACATTACAAAAAAACCTCATCATTTTATGCGATAGAATTACTGAATTTTTCGTTACCAAGCCTTTGAAAATGGATAATCAAAATGATTTTTAACAAGTGAATCATTGTTATAACATTACTATTAAATTCAGTAATTGTATTCTATAATGTTTAGTGTTTTATGAAATCATATTTCTTTACTTATAACATTTCTAATTATTGAAAGTTGTCCTGATGATCAATGACAGATGAAATGTAGAATGTAAGCATGATTTAAATTATACCCAACAAACAAACATACACTTATTTATCCACTAACACATTCACAAACAAACATACAATTCATACATAAATATCTACATTTCTAGAGATATACAGCCACATTCATTTCCTGTTTGACAAATCAAATAAAATTCTATTCTTAAATAATTAAAAATCTGTAGATGATTTTTGCTCTAGCCTTGAAATAAGGCATACTAGTTCAATAGTGCCTTACAATTTGTCAGGTAGACCTACAACTAGAATCATTATTTCCAGGCCTGCATTTGCAAACAATTTTAGATTTACATTTAGAACCTTTCTCTATTTTTTTGGCATTGATATTTATCAGGAAATTATCAAATGTTCAGCTCATAAGACTACACGTACATGTAATTTTATACAGGATTTCTCTCAGTCTTTGGTTTTAAAGTGTAGTTCTTAGCACCAAACATGGCAAAATGTCAGCTCTACATAAATTGTCCCGAGATCTGCTATTCTACTCTTCCTTGAAAGTGTATGTTTTCAGGATTCAATGCACTATCATTTAAGAGCTCTGTTAATCAAGTTTCACTCTCCAAAACTAAAGTTTCCTTTTAATGGATTAAAAGATTCTGTTTACTGCATGTAAACATCAACACTATCAATCAATATTTTAATCATTTAACCAATCAAAGCTGTGTCAGGTGACATTCTTTATAGCCGTCATCTATTGGTTCACTTTTTATCGTGGGATAAGTGGCATTAGAGTTCGTTGATTGACGAGTTGCCATAGAGACCAAGTTAATGGGATCTGTGTCTGTGTGCATAGATTGACTGGTTGCCATGGAGACTAAGTTAATGTGATTTGAGTAATTGTTCATAGATTGACTGGTTGCCATGGTGACCAAGTTTACAGGGCTTGTATTTCTGTTTTCAGATTGACTAGAACTAGATGTAAGCATGTTATCAGGGCTGGTGCGGGAATCCCTCGATTGACTAGATGTTGGAACCTGGTTGCTGGGTTCTGTTATTTGATTGGTTGCATTGTTTTTTGGTAGTGGATAAGGGTAAGGAAGTGGCTGAAACTGATTCCAGTTTGGTTGGAAGCCATTATTAGACATGTGAGCCATCTGATGCTGTGTGTAGTCTGGTATTTGGGAAGGGTGTGGATTAAACATTAAGTTGGATTGTGTGATTGGAGGACGGAATGGAGGAAACGGATATGGAGCCTGGGACATAGCTTGTGACATTGCATATTGTGACGTCAAAGTAGATGGCAGTGTCATGCCGTTAGTTGTATATGGAAAGTTATTTGCATAATTAGCACCTCCATAGTCCTGAGATTGAAATGGTCTCTCCTGTTTAATGTATGGAACCGTTGGTCCACTTTGACATGTTATTGGTCCAGGATAATGTGGAGGTATTGCTCCTGAGTATGGTTGAGTAACCTCTCCTGAATAAGGATGATTTACTTCCCCTGAGTATGGTTTAGCTACTTCCCCGGATGTGACGGTTGCTTCAGCCGATTTACGATTTCGCTTTTTCTTTGGTTTAGGTTTTGATTGTTCCCCATTTTCCAATTTCACAGAAGTTCCTTGTAGCGCAGCATTGTAGCCTTCATCAGTAGGTTCCTCTTTCTTAACTTTCAGTTCTAATTTAGGAAACACAACTTCCGATTCATCTAATTCCTTGATATCGCCTTTCAGATGATCTCGTAATTTTTTCAGAGCTGCATAAAATGGAACTTTATCCACAGCCCGAGGTAGTTGAGCACATCTTGCACTGGATGAAGGCATCACATAAACAACCTACAAACATAGATGTCAAAATAATCAAATCACTACTGGAGACTCACGACCAGATTATATTAGTAGAAAATTTCTTCATTTTACTTCATGAAAGTTTACAAATTCATTTGATAATAAGAGGCACTGATTGTCATTTGAGGGATTTTTAATCCCTTGCAAACAGGAGTCTCGATAACTGGATTTGCATCACACTTTGCAAATCAAATCTTGCCCGTTGCTAATCAATATGCTACAAAGTAACGCTAATCAATTTGCTACAAAGTAGCTAACTTGATTCACACAAATGCTAATTATAGATTTATGTCCCTTTTTTAACTGTAAAAAGTTGTTGACAGCTTTTTCGACATTTCTTTGCTAGTTTAGTCCAGATCATCTAGTATCTAATACCTATTACTGCTAAAAGCAAAGTTTAAGCGCCCCATATATTATGCGTTGGCAGGGAATTTTCGATTGACAATAGTGATCTTTGTTGTAATGTCTGTCAAATTCTGTTAATCAAGTTCGAAAAGTTATCAAGACCATTGCTTGCAAACTACAATATTGTTTTCTTAATTAAATAATATATAATCAATCCGAGTACCTTTTAGCGTGGATTATGCCATCAAACGTATGTTATTCATTAGATATGATGTAAAACAGCTAAAAATAGTACTAAATTTTAAGTTCCAATCAATAAATCTCAGGATAAAAATGATAATTTTGATTTAATTTCAAGGTTTAGAAATGAAGAACACCACACTTACAGTATCTGTGCCTTCTAACTTTTCAGGTTGTTTTCCAATACTAAATTTTTTATGGCCGACAAACACTTCATAAATACCTGCAATAAAATATCAATATTCCAATCAAAATGGCAGAACAGTGAATGAATACTACCTCCAAATCATATCCCAACTGAAGACAATTTTTGTGTAGTCTCTCAGCAAGTCTGAATGAAAATATATGCTTACATCAATGTTGAGGGATTATTCACCGTATGTATTTGTATTCTTAATTTTGCAATGACTAAGTTCCATTCTATGATATAAACAACAACACCCCTCTCACCATCACTTCCCTCAAAAAATGATAAATAACAAACCTTTTCCATTAAATGCTGCTATTTTAGGTTTATATTTTAACAGTTTTTCTTTCAGTATAGCTCCACCCTCTTTAATTTCCTTCCTGGAAAAACAAGTGATTAAAATTCACAACTAATATCAGGCATCCATCTTAAACATACGTTATGCAAGAGTTAAATCTGCCTATTGCAGGTCCTTCTTTAAGCCTTAGATGTTATATAAACTATTAATTAGACTTTTATTAAAATGACAAGACCATAATCAACTCTCAATTTGAATCGGATCTACGGTTCAACGACAGTTGATGATTAATCGTAAAAATTGATAATCGAGACTTTGTTTATTATCATAACAAAGGTACCAATGACAATCAAGGCTACAGTGTTATTGAAATCAGAATTTCCCGTCTCAAATTAATTTAACTGAAATTTTCAGCATATTCCTTTTACATTATTTATTTTTTAAACATTATAGTGAGAACTGTTAGCTCTTTATCTAATTTGACATAATGCCGCTTTAATTAGGATAATTGTTTTGTGTTTCTGTATCAACCGGGCTAATGAAGATAAGCACACTGCTAATGCTATTCATGGAACATCAATTCCATTCCATCCAAACAACTGAACACTTTTTCTTTGTGAGACCTTCCACACTGCACCATTATAACGGGGAAACCTGCCGGGAAATTTTCGGCCAACACCGGAATTCCACCCAAGACTTCCTGGTTAGTCAGTCAGCATCTTACCCATCGAGTAACCATCAGTCCACACCAAAAAAAAATAGACCAAAGCGAAAAATTTCAAACTCTGACTACAGTGTAGTTTTCGAAAATAGAGAGAGAGAGAAATGGGGTTTAACGTCCACTCGACACAAACTAGGTCATTTCGGGACTAACATATGGTTTAATTTTATTAACATAATTCGCTTGCGCGTAGGGGTCTTTAGCAGTGGGAGGAAACCGGAGGACCCGGAGAAAACCCACGAGGTTGGACAGGCGAAGTTTTCGAAAAGATTTGCTGGCATATGATATAAAACTTACGTTTTGAGATCAGCACTTCCTCTCGTTGTTCGAGCGCACATGTTGGTAAATCCAATACCATGTTCTAATAATTTAAAATCTTCATAGGCGTTCATTGGTTCAGGTATCAGACCAGATAAATACAGACATTTCCCTGTTAATAGAAACCCCGTTTAATTAATATGTTCCTGCAAGGTAGATCAAGTCACTAATTGATTGCAAAAAATTATGTCTAAAACCTCTGATCGTCAATCACATTTTTCAGATAACATTTCAAATTTTTCACAGCTTGATCCATGCCAATATGTACTCATTGATTATTTAGAATTTAATTAAGAAAATATTAATAGGATATAATCTTCTGGCTTATATACAGTTGGATTTAAAAGGAAAGCATTTAGCCATAAAATCGTTTTAAGAAATTTGATGCGTGAGGGCGGTTTATGTTTTCTTGTTTTTATTTTGTCAAAATTTAGCTGTTTTTTCATTTTCAAGAAATACACATAATTATTATAAATTGAATATTTATTGAACACAAAAAAATAAGTAAGAATTTGAAATAAAGGCCGAATAATGTCAGTCATAGAGAAGTCTGGACATAAGGAACCTGTCACAGACTTTTTCAAGTACAAATGAACACAAGACATATACACAAACCTGGACATCAGACACTTGTTACAGACGTTGTCAGATACAAATATCACACAATGTATACTAATGTCCAAAAGAAAGTATACACTATACATTTCGTGCTGCATCAACCAAAGTCGTTTTCCATTGTACTAGGTCAATCTGTTTCGCTTTTTTATTTTGCTAAGAAATGTTGAGTTTGGACGCAAGAGACAAACTTAGTAATGTTTTATCAAATGTTTTTAATCTAAACAAAACTTAGTCATAATTTTAGTGTGTATACTTTCTTTTGGACATTAGTATATATACATGTATTATAATATAAATGTTTATGATAATTTTAGTCTGACATTGTCTGTGACAGGTGCCTTATGTCCCAACCTGATCAAAACACAGATCCTATTTTGTTTTGTTTTTATAGTTCAAAATTCCGTTTTACTTGTCTTTACTACACTAGGATCTGAAAGAATTGTTATCATTGACATGTTCTGAATGGTGTGAGGGCTTAGGCAATGAAACGGTCTGTAACGGCGAGCTATAGGCGCGTTTTGCACAGAACTGTGGGTAATCCACTAGTAACATCAACGCTGATTGGTTAATCAAATGTCTGACATCATAGGGTCAAAAGCCGCTCGTGTGACCTATGACGCGACCTATCGCTACAACCTGTCATATCTTCATGTAGTGTAGGCCATCGAAAGTATAAAAAAAAGAAACGAAATGTAGGTCTGTATTATAATCAGATTGCTTATGTCCAGACTTGGTCATAGAGAATAATCAAGTGTCTACTTACAGAAATGATTACCAGGACCAGCGTAATGATGTCCCACATACGCAGCAAATAACCCTGGATTAATCCCCACCTGGAGAAGAAAATGTTCAACATTATTAACAATATGTTTAATTGACCTCACAAATGCAAACATATGTTTTTTCATTCAACTGAAATCAAATATCATGAGTAAGTTTGAGTGTGAATTGTGCTTAAGGGGACGTGTTCAAAAACTTTCCCAGTAATTTGACTGCTTAAAGACAGACAAACAATTCAAAAATTATGTCTGACTATCCATTGTGTTCTGGTTTTTCAAAATCTTATGCAATAACAGGAATTATTGTGGCCCTAGATGCTTTAAAGGGACAATAACACTCTTGCTGGCTTGAAAGCTCCAGAAAATAAATAATATCTCTATCTAAGTACTAGATGTTTAAGTGTCCTACCTGTTATGTGAATTATCCATTACATCCAATTTTACTTGTCCAGAGGGTTCGAAAATATTTTTAAATTGAAGTTTCATTTGAAAAGGTTTACATTAGACGTTTCAAACCATTATGTTGAATTTTTCAAAAATTTTAAATAAGGTGTGTTAAGATGAAATTTGTATCATCAATTAATTGAAATATTCTAAAATAGTACAATTTGTTGACCAGAATAAAGATTGGGACATATTATTCAGTTACAACAAGAGTGGTATTGAGCCTTTAATACAGCTTAAAATAGAGACGTAATGTCATCCTTCTATCTTGGCATACAATTTTTTTCAAATAACAGTATGGGCTTTATTTATACAATATGGAGAGTGATGTGATGAGTTCAATGAAATGTACGTTTGTGTACTCTATTTTAAGGTCTTTGAGCAGCATCAATATTTTACTGTACTTATTGTCTTACTCTCAACCTTTAAATCACACTTATATCTACATGTACATCACAAACAGAAGATATGTTTAAGAGAGTTTGAAAAAATTAACTATGACCCTCTATCCTCCACCACTTACAAGGGGAAGCAGAAAACATGTTTTGAGAGAGTCTGAATGAATGAAATATTACTTGTCAGTCACTCTATCCTCCACCACTTACAAGGGGAAGCAAAAAACATGTTTTGAGAGAGTCTGAATGAATGAAATATTCCTTGTCAGTCACTTTCTCCTCCACCACTTACAAGGGGAAGCAAAAAACATGTTTTGAGAGAGTCTGAATGAATGAAATATTACTTGTCAGTCACTCTATCCTCCACCACTTACAAGGGGAAGCAAAAAAAGGGAAGTACTAGAAAACATGTTTGAGAGAGTTTGAAAGAATGAACAATTCCTTGTCAGTCCCTTCCATCCTCCACAACTGACATGGGGAAGCAGAAAATAGTTTGAGATTTAGAATGAATTAACTAATATTATTTTATATGTGTAACACTCACAATAACAATATCAAGATTCTCTGCTAGATGATCTGGTAACAATCTTTTGGCCACTTCTTCTTCAGGCATCCCGTGAAATCTGTCATGTTTCTTCTTAACTTTTGGTAAATGATCAGTTATCTTCTCTTGTTTCAGTTTTTTAATCGGAACTTCGCAGCCTTCTGGTAATTGTACCATACTTTCTGTATTGACATCAAACGCTGACCTGAAAATATCAGGAAATAAATCAGTCCAATACTTTTAGGGGGTTTGTTATTGACAATTTCAAAAGAAGTGACCATGGACCAAAGCAACATTTTTTTAATTCTTATTACTGCCTGGAATTAAGGATTTTAGTTATAACAGATATCAGGCAAAATGTCCAGAAATAACAATCTGATTTAAAACACAGATCCTTTTTCGTTTTTTTTTTTTTTTACAGTTCAAAATTTTGTTTTATTTGTCTGTACTACACCAGGATCATATGCCATACAGTGTGCTATGAGGGAAATTTTGCCCGAGCAGCAGCACTATGGCCTACTATTATATCAAATTCCAACTGCCAAAGGATCTTTTACATGCACACAAATGTATACACAGGTCCTCGACTAGACAGCTGTCCTTGTCAGGCCCTCCGTCCTGCACCACAGACAAGGGGAAACCACCCCGAAAAAGTCTGATGAACTTTCTCGGCCAATGCTAGGGTGACCCACCATAAATAAATATCTCCATATATCTCCTTATATCTCGACAATTACGCCACAATATTTATATATATGCCAAGCCTCAAATCAGTTTCACACAATTATAGTCACTAAATAAACGATCATGTTGTACTTAATAAGCTATGACCATTAATCATCTATAAATAATAGACTGAAAACTGGTTCCAAGTGTCGTCCATTACATCCAGACACTTTTGAGTAAAAGATAGGTTACGTGCCCTTGTTTTGAAATTAGTCTCGCTTAACCAGTCTATCGACCATTCTACGTCTGATTGACAGGTCGGGATAATCAAGACTACTTTTTTACGAAACATAACAGAAAGCTAGAACAAGAAATTGAATTTAGAAATAAGCACGTTAGGTAGCTCAACAATCGTTTTAAGAACCTTGTAAAAGTAAAATGAAACTACTGCAAGTATCATGTTCCTGTCTAATCCGAGTGATTCAGAGATATTATTTGTACTAAACCAAAAGATGCCGCTCTTAACGGTACAGTTAATGATAAAGCGATTTAAAAAATGAAACGAACGTAATTTCTAAATCTGCTGTAATAACCAAGAAGCTTAATTTCACTGCTATTCAAAATCGTCAACAATAAATTTTTTACGGCTGTAATAGTTGATAGATTTGTAGAGAATTGCACGTGCCATGGCTATTTATAGTATCATATTGTCAGAAAGTTGGTCTCGGCACGGCGAATGTGTACGCTTCAGTGGTAGTCTCGAACTATCAGCGGTGGACTTTATTTCTGTAGAGCACATGGGCCACCCTACCAATGCAGACTAGCGAGTCAGCTTCTTACCCACTTAGCCACCGTGGCTCCCATGTGACTAAATAATAAAGGAGAGAAATAATTTTCTTTGCACGAAAAATCTTGTTTACTTCCCAGACAATATCACTTCTTAAAATAGTCAAATTAAAATGATTTCAAGATATTTACCAGTCTGTAGGTTCTCTTTTTATACCAGGCTCTTGTTTTACTTTTGGCTTGCGTTTGGCTCGAGGTTTTTTAGGTGTTGTTTTTGACGTAGCTTGATTAAATACTGGCATCTGGGGAGTTCTTTCTTCTATAACCGCATTTAAGCTGAAATAAAAAAAACAATTGTCCCAATTCAATATTAACCTTGAAAATTCATTACATGAAGCCCCTGCACGGGATCATCTCACACTACATTGTACAGGACCAGACGCAATTCTGTTATCAGAATACCAATCCGCACATCAAGCTGGCATTCAATTTCCACTACAGAAACTATCCAGTTATCAGCTCCAAATTTAATGAGGGTTAAGAGATAATCTTGTACCAGGTCTTACGAGAGGGGGGTGCAGCTGGTGTGCCGCCCAAGGGCCAATATGAGTCTATTGGGCCCATGAATATCTAAGTTCAAAATTGATATGGGCAATTATGCATGAATTTTTTATTGTTCCTTTGAAGCTTATATAAGTATGTACAAATGTTTTTGCTTTATCACAATCTGCTAGTGAATCATCTAGATATGACTTAGTGTTGGAAAGGAGGGAGGGAGGGGTGGGGGCAAAAAAGTTCTCGCCCCAGCACATTTTTTTCCTCTGAAGGGCCCTGTCTTGTACCCACCAGTTTTATATCACACGTAATGTCTTTTCAATATGGAAATTATTTTTATCAAATGTATAAGCAATTTTAATTGAAATAAGAGCCACGAAAGGGTAATTTTCAGAGAATAACTCATTTAAATTTTTCAGTCAGTCTTGGTACAATGTCCACTAGACTGGATTACACATGAGAAAAATATTTCAGGTGCCAACTGTTCATACCTCTGTGATATAGAATCCTGATATAGCGATACCGGTATCGCTGCTGGAGCAGCCATCTTTTACCAAACTGTTGAAACCTACAATTACAAATAAACATATTGTCATGTATACAAGGATTATCGGTACTGAAAACTGTTATGAGCTAATTTTAAATTCTGTCTCTAATGGGGATCAATGGTGTTTTGACTGAGACACAACAAAACCTTTTTTTTTCAAAAATGAAATTTTGTCTGGTTTTGAAAAAGACAACATCTAAAACCCCAACATACCAGATTAAAATTTAATAATGAAGAATTCAGACCATAAGCTTACACAATCAAATGTTTATTACATACTATCATCAAATAACATAATGGACCAATATTATTTGGGCTAATGAAGACAGGCATATTCCATACAGTGTGCTATGAGGCAAATTTTGCACTACAGCCTACTCTTTTATCAAATTTCAACTATCGGTTCTTTTACATACATGCCGATGTGTATGCCGGACCTCAGGTTTTCGTCCCATCTGACGACTACATGTTGCCATGCCAGGCCATTGGTCTTGTACAATTGACAAGGAGAAATCAAGACGGAAAATCCTGATGAACTTTATTGGTCAACACAGGGTTTGAACACGATACCTCCAGTATCAGCAAGCAACTGGTTTAGTCACTGCACCGCCAATACTGATCTGAATTATGCGCATTTAAAGATTAGGACTATGGTACAATAGCAAATAAGCTTCTATTTCGAATTACAACTATGTAAGGGTTCTTTTACACATACACGCCAATACATTGTACCATGTTTTTTTGTCTATTTGAATGACTAGACAATGTTCCCTTCCAGGCCCTCCATCCAAGAACACTAACAAGGGGAAACCATGCTGGAAAACCCACAGACAACCAGTTGTCCAACAAGAAGATTGAACGCTAGACCTTCGTTTTCCAGGTTGGCTTACGATGCTGTGAAGTAAGCCAATTTGGTGGTTGAAAATTAAGAGAAAGACATTTAAATCAATTGAAAATAAGGTGATCAGGGCCAGTGAGTAAAAAAAATCTTATATTCTAATATTCAAAGAACTGAAAATGTCTTCTTCTCGTCTAAATTATGAGTTTTTAATGAAAAAAAAATATATAGAGTGTAGGTATCCTTAATCTCGAGTCAACATTTCCCGAAGTTAAATATAAACAGTCTGGAGACGTGTGGCTGGGTTTTGGGAATTGTGTTTTGACATACCGTAACATAAAAGAATGACTCAAGATAGCCTAGTCAATACTTCAATTGCTGACTTTTGTTTCTTGATCGCATCCCCATCAATGAAGTTATTGACTTCATCAAGCGATTGTTGAAAGCACAAGAAGGTATAAGTATCTATTAACGGATTAAAATTAGAACAATACTCACTTACACACCGTTATTTTTTCACAGATTTTCTTCGGCATAAAGCACCTTGCATTCAGCTTTGTTTGCAACCCAAATATTCTCTCCATGGATTTCATTGGTCAGAAAGTTGGCCTCTTAACCAATCAAACAACATTTACTGACGAGTTAGGAATATCGCGCATGCGGATTAACAAACAAGATGTCTGCGCCCTGTGAAGCATGAAGAAAACCGTTGGAGAGTTACGTAATGTTATTTAACGGGTTCTCGCCCCGTTGATTGCGTGTAGTATGGGTATCTGAAGACAGAAATTTATAGTTGACATCTAAAGAATGGTCTTTAGTAAAACTATTTTATATATTGTTGAAAAGTGGCCAGGAAAAGCTTTAGGAGTTTATCGTTTTTTGCCAGGATTCTTCGTTCTTGGGGCTGCCCTTGAATTTAGTATGGTAAATTGGAGAGTTGGGGAAACAAATTTCTGTTAGTATTTTAATACAGGTTATAATTATTACATGTTATTATTATTGATTGGTCGATTTTTCTCGGAAATCCACACCGAAAACTTTGTTTTTATCAAAACTGATGTTACAATATATTTAAAATGAAAGTAGACATGTAGCCTGTTCTATTGACATTAAGTTGCCTAAAACATCTTAATATTGTGGTAAGTCGACCCGTAGATTTCTCGAGTCATTCAAATTTTATTGTATGTAATGAATATGGGCTATCAGTTGATTTAAGGTTATGTAATCAGGTTTTTTAGGCTTTGGTGCTCAAACATATAATCGATTTGAGTCTGAGAAAAAAACGTGATCAGAGAGACTTCATAATTATTGTAGTAAATTTGATGAAAGATTGAAACATCCCACCTTGAAATCTTAAGTGTTTTTATAATATCGTTTATGCTTTCAGATAAAGTTTATAAAAGAAGAAAAGCAAGGGAATTAGCTGAAGGGGAAATAGCTGAACAACAGAAATCAGTCAAGCATAAGATTTAAATTCTTAAGATTACTATAAAATACAAGAATGCCAGCTGGTGTTAGTTTAACTCGTTATTTTAGCTTCTCGGCTGCAGCTTTATTTTCAATGTTTCTTGGATCTCAGGCCGTTCACCTTTATTATAAACCACTACAGGTAATTCTGAGACACAATTACAAATTTCATACCAAACCCACTCTACAAATACATGTACAGTACAATGTACTTAATTCCAACCCAACATGTAGGTATATTAAAATGGAATAGCCCTGAGCAAAACAATGAATGGAGTGTACAGTTATCTGTATACAACTGTATATATTGTTAAATAACAGAGGAGTAGTTATATCTCTATATACCTGGTGTTGTATTTTGTTGTGAATTGTGCATCTATTGTAAGTGAGGACTGGAGTTATAGGTTTTCTATAGCATATTTAGAGAGCAATATGGAGATTGAAGGAAGTCATGCCTGCATGCTTTCTAATGGTTTCTCAGATAAATGTACATAATGATGTATTTTTAAAGAAGCTTTTCAATTTATTTAACAGGACATGGATGATTTGGTGGCTAAAGAAAAGGAAAGAATTCTGAAGGCCCCTGAAACAAACCAAACATAACGTGTATACATGTGATTAATTTCATTGGGGTGTGACCATTGATCAAACATTATTTAAAACAGTCTGCATTATAAACCTGGATACATGTTCATATGTCAAATGGATTTGTGAAGGTGACCAGTTAAATATGTCATTTAATCATGTTAGTGTAGAATAGAATACAATTTGATTGCATTGAAATGCCTTTTGAGGGAAGCATACAAAATGCAAAGGTGAAAAAGAGTATGATTAAGAGGTGGAAGTATCTGTTATTGCAGTAATTGCACATGTGTTTATTTCCACCAATCGTGCATTACATGTACATGTGTTATAAAAGGCATATTTACTTCAGCTTTGGGGGTTTTCAAGTGGAAATCTGTTTCTTTATGTTCTGAATAGTTTAGGAGTTAATTTAAAAAAACAACAAACTCAACAAGTTATAACAGTGTGATAGAATATTTATTAATGGATAAATGCTGTGTGTATAAACAATGAGATATAAATTGAATGATTTTTTTTAACAATGTCAATAAAATAACTTGAGCATTTAGAATTTTGTTCAATATATTCACAACCCTGTCATTTCCTAGATGAATGATTAAGCAGTGAAAACTAATTGTCTGAAAAATGCAATTGATGATCAGCAGCTTCAGGCATACTAAACTTAGACTGCCTGTCTACAGTTAGCTCCATTGATTTAATCCCTTGCCATTCGCTTAATGTCTGGTTTGGTGATTTAATTGCATTTAGAAAATAGCTTTACATCTACATTTCTATAATGAATCAATAATGGTATCCCTGATATTAGTCTACAAATTGCATAGTACAATGCAGAATACACATGAAAATAAAAAAAATGAAAGAAATAGTAATAGAGGTTTAATATTAAACCAACTGAGAGGGGTGGTTGTGGAGCTCGGGCAAATAATCTAACATATAAAATCCATTAACAGAACACAGTTTTTATGGGATACAATCACTAGTTTATTCTAAAAGCATGACGTTTTCCCACATTATTGTTGATTGCTGAAGGCCTTTGTTCATGGAAGATTTCTAACCTGGGATGACAATGATTAATTAATGTACTTTTTTTATGTGGAGATGCTGGAAGATAAAACCACTGTCCTTTTAATAGTGATGCATAAATCCTGGACATACCAGTACAGCACATTAATCATGAAACAATAAAAATCTAATATTCATATGTACATCAAATTCTAAATATACAAATATCTATTAAGAGCACCATTTGTTTAATTACATTATTAATAAATTGTTCTAGAGAATTTCAAACTTTTAAACCCAATTTTCTCAAAAGCAGAAAAATGTTGAAAGCAATCTTAATTTTAGGTTGACAAAATATACCAGTAACAACAAGATGCAGATGAAGCTAAGCAACATATCATCTTTTCCAAGTCTGGTGTAGACATAATTCTAAAATATCCAGGAGAGCTAGCCTCAAAGTAATTACAAAAAAGCTAACAAAGTAATTAAGTTCGACTAATGAAGTACTCGCAATTACAATTCAACTAATAAAGTACTGGCAATTACAAATTAGCTGCCAAAGTAATTCATTTCAAATTAGCTAATGAAGTACTGGCAATTACAAATTAGTAAGCAAAGTAATTATAATTCAGCTTATTAAGTACTGACAATTCTTCCCAAGGTAATTACGAATGGTTAAATCTGTTGACCAATTCAAACGCGAGTTGAAAACATACCTATTCAACAATTAGTTCTTTCATAGTCTTAGTTAAATGAAAGCACATTACAAACTTTAGTGTAATCTTGCGCCATATAAATCTCTTATTATTAATTCAGCTAATGAAGTACTGGCAATTACAAATTAGCTAGCAAAGTAAATGCTATGCAGCTGATGGAAATAATTATAAATCAGCAAACAAAATAATTACATAGTTTCGACAATAAAATGTTTACTGGTTGTTGCATCATCTGGTTTCATCTGTCTCCGTGGCCACGATAAAGCCACATCATTAGCTGGTTCTTCCTCTTTTTTTGTTTTCTTATTTTTACGAACAGGTACTTCTTGTTTCTCCTTCACAACTGCTTCCTGGTAGAGGGGGAAAAAAAAAAGAAATCGAAATTAATATAGACATTTCTACCAATCATAGGAATTAATCATTAGACTGAAAAATTATTATTATATGGCGATAACCCGGCAAATGATGTGCCCTTATGATAATAACAGTCCTTCACGTTTAAGGGGAGCTTTCGCTTCTGCTCCTCTCGACGCACGTCGGCTTTCCTTCGAAGGAGTCATTAAAGACTCCTGCAAATTAGCTAAATCGCTCTCCTAAATTTTGAGATTAATAAACTACTTTCAGTTTTTGTTTACTTTTAAACTGCATATATTCAAGGTATCAGGAGCTTTTTATGGCTCCCGCACAATTTTATAAACACGAAGGACTGTAATAATAATCCATCTTTTTAAATACAGGTATTGTGCAATATCCATGCATGATCATTTTCAAGGCACAGTCCAAAAACTATCACAAATAAATGCTTTCTTAAACTAAAAATGTTAAAATCTGGATCTAAACACAAAATATGGACAATTCCTTATTTCCTGTGGCAGATCATTCCAATCTGTTGGGACGGAGCAGGAAAAAGTCCTTTGACCAAATGAAATGAAGTTAAATGTCCTACTGTTCTGCTCTGACTGGGCTTATGAAGAAATGAAATGGGGTTTAACGTCCTACTGTTCTGCTCCTAACCTGGGCAAATGAAGACGGGCATACGCCATACAGTGTGCTATGAGGGAAATTTTGGCCGGACAGCGGCACTACGGCCTACTCTTATATCGAATTCCAACTGCCAAGGGATCTTTTACGTGCACGCCAATGTGCACACGGGACCTCGGTTTTTCGTCCCATCCGAACGACTAGACAGCTTTCCTTGTCAGGCCCTCCGTCCTGCATCACTGACAAGGGAGAACCACGTCGGAAAATCTGGATGAACTTTCTCGGCCAATGCAGGGATCGAACACCCGACCTCCAGGCTAGCGAGCTAGCGTCTTACCCACTTAGCCATGTGATTCCCGGCTTATGAAGACAGGCATACGCCATACAGTGTGCTATGAGGGAAATTTTGCCTGGGCATCGGCACTATGGCCTACTCTTATATCGAATTCCAACTGCCAAGTTTTTTTTTTACGTGCTTGCCAATGTGTACACGGGACCCCCGTTTTTCGTCCCATCCGAACGACTAGACAGCTGTCCTTGTCAGACCCTCCGTCATGCACCACCGACAAGGAGAAACCACACCAGAAAATCCCGATGAACTTTCTCGGCCAAGGCCGTGGCTTCCGTCCTTTGACCAATACGGGATCTTTTGTGCATAGGTACTACATAGAGTTTCTTATTTACAGATCTAAGCACAAGAAAAATTTGTTATCTACCGAGAAGTGAACTCCTCAATTGAGAAGTGGTTTTGGGTGAGACTGTAAGATTTTTTGACTTACCTGTAGATCAAATTTACGTTTTAATTTATCTTTGATCAACAAGCCTCTGATTAATAACTTCCAGTTACCTACAACCCTCTTCTCTCTTTTCTGCAAATATAAATATATATTTCAATCTATTAGCCCATAACTAAGCCATGACAACCGGGATATTGAGGACAGCCATACATAATGGAATGACTATTTAGAGATATTTACACAGTGGCATTTCAGCATGTTCTTACTTTGATTTGCAACTGTCAAGAAATCTTTAACATGCTCCCAGTGGTCTACACAGGACGTTTGATTTCGGTACCATCCGGACAACTAGATGCTTTTCCTTTTAAGGCCCTCTGTCCTGCATCACTGACAAGGGAAACCAGGCTGGAAAATCCTGAAGAAATTCCGGATTTGTGAGCCAGCCCCATACTCACAGGTGATTAAATATACATTATGCAAGAGCTAAATCTGTCTTTATGCCTGAAAAGTTATCTAAATTATTTATTAGACATTAATTAACTTATCCAGACCATAATCACCTCTCGATGTCCTCGCTAGCCTGCGATATTTACTGGATTAGGATCCAATTTGCTGCTCAACTTTCATTCATGATAAATAATGAAATGGATAATCAAGACTATGTTTTTTTATCATACCGACTTTAGTAATGATGATCGAGATTAGGCCGAAAAATTGAATTGCTAAATTCTCAGTTCAGAGTGGATCAATTTGACTGAAATTTTCAGCAAATTCCCTTTACTTTATCTAGTTTTTAACTATTATAATGAGAACTGCCAGCTCTTTATCTAATCTCCCATAATGTATCTTTATTTCTATTATACCCATTCTAATAATAGAACTGTACCCAGTGAGCAAGATCTACAGAAATCTTAATTAGTGTTTGGTGACCGTGCCTCATATAATTAAAATTCGCTTACGGTCTTGGTGACCTCCTGTTTACTTTGCTTGTTTGTGAAATGTGATGAACCTGTCACCATGTCATAAAGGGTTAATATGTGTAGGTTACATGTGTACTTACTTCTGCTTCTTTTTCTTGTTGTATAAGCTGATCTTCTTCCCAGGCAGCCATTAAAGCTTCAGAATGTTCCTCACATACTATCCATCCTTCTAGGCTACAATTCAAATATAAGATATTCATTTAAATGTCAAACTAAACCCCTGGAGAAAACAATAACAAAGGTTTACAATTATACAATTTCTTTGTTTTTATGACTTAAAATTTGAGTACACTTCAGCATGGATTCAGCCATGACAAATAAAACATTGCCTGAAAAATGCATGATTAGGATCAGGAACAAAAGAATATACGTTTACTATTAACTGTTGTTTAGAATATTTAGTCAATCTGATTCAAATTAGATTTTGATTAGTTTTACAACAGATTCCACATTTGAAAGTCATATAATGATCAGGACAAATTAAACTTTATAAATTAGGATTTGAAGTTACAACCACTTACAGAGCATGTGAAAATCCACCATGATAATCCCAGCCTGTCATAGCAGCAACGCAATCAACACCTAACTTTTTGGCTATTCTATTTAATGCTGTTACTGTAAATAAAAATATCATATTAAAAGTTACTATGAATATTCTGACTTTTCTCTTCACAACATTCAATATAGATTATAGATAACTTTTGCACCTCAACAAAAGTACAGATATCAAATGTATACATTTGGGATCAGAAAAGATATATTGCCTAAATCACCCACAGGGAGCAACATAAAATTCCACAATCACAATGTAACAACAAACATATTATTATGTATGTATAATATAGAACAGGGAGTTAATAAGCTTATTTCTTTAAACACTGAAATATATTCTCAAAGTACATAGTTGTTTGTGCGAAGAATAATGATGCTGATGTTGAAAGCCCACTTAATTTCAAATCTTCCACAGAAAAATTATGTTTTAAGCTCTCAACACACAAGAAACGAGAATTGCTGAAATTCCTGCTATTCATGTCTTGGCTTGGTAGTATATATTCTTCCTAATATCAAGGACCTTTGGTGCAATACTTACATCAACAAGCATTTTTAAGTATTAAATTGATGTTGCTAGGTCGGTCTAAATATATACTATTCAAAAAAAGTAGGGGATATTTGATTTTGGGGGCATAATACTAAAATATGCAAATGACTACGAAAAAAGTCACTATAGAACCTAACAGAAGAAACATTTCCAGTTACATGTGACGCCCAAACGCACCAATAGCTACCGCATGGAATGCAGGTGATGCTTGGGATCATCATGGGGGTCCAACCCAAGATTTGCACGACTCTGACTTTGAATGTTACAGTCATTGTGGCATTGAATTCCAGGGTGGAAACATCAGTTTAATTGTTTTAGTGACCAGAAAACAAATTTTGATATGCGTCGGCTTACCCAAAATGAAAGGTTACGTGCCCTTGGCATGCTACAGATCGGCACAACACAGGCGGTTGTGGCGCGGACGATGAATGTTTCTCAGTCTGTCATAAGCAGGCTATGGTCCAGATACCGTGATACACAATCTGTACAGGACAGACCACGCTCAGGTCGACCAAGGGCGACAACTCAAGCCCAGGATCGATTTATCGGTACCTTGGCCTTGAGAAATCGTGTCGTCACAGCAAATCAGATCAGCGCTCGTCTTCAAACAGACACTGGTGTGAGAGTGAGTGGCCAGACGATTCGGAATCGACTGCATAGGGGTCACCTTCGCGCCCGACGTCCTCGCGTGATCCCTTGTTTGAGAGATCATCACATTCAGGCAAGACGTCGTTGGTGTAGGGATCGTCAACACTGGGATAATCGACGCTGGAGCAATGTGATGTTTTCAGATGAGTCAAGGTTCACTGTTGATTTTTTGGACAGACGTAGGAGGGTGTGGCGTCGTCGAAACGAGCGCTTCCAAGACGTTAACGTCATCAGACATGATCGATTTGGGGGTGGTTCTGTTATGGTGTGGGGAGGCATCACTGTTGCTGGAAGAACGGCTTTACATGTTGTTGCAGGGCGTGTTACAGGCCAGTACTACCGGGACAACATCTTGGCAGTCCATGTTGTGCCGTTCGCACGACGTCATGGACGCCGTTTCATCTTCCAGGATGACAACGCAAGATGTCACAGGGCCAGGATCGTTACAGGTTACCTCCAACAACAGAACATCACCACATTACCTTGGCCAACACTGAGTCCCGACCTCTCCCCCATCGAGCATGTCGGGGACATGCTTGGACAGAGGTTACGTCAACGTCAACAACGTCCGCCAATGTCCAAGAACTTGCTGCTGCGTTGCAACAGGAATGGGACAATCTGGACCAAAATGACCTTAGACGTCTCATTAGGAGTATGCCACGTCGGATCAATGCTTGTTTGGCAAACAGAGGAGGATTTACCCGTTACTGACTTGGTTGTGATGCTGTGGTAACTTTGCTGTTTGACCCCGGGTATCATTTTACCCTTATAATGGTCAGTCTGTGCCTTACTTAGTCTAATGATCATTTGGAAAAAATCGATGAATGTGAACTTCATTTCATTTTGTCATTTGTTTCTTCGTCAGTTTCATTAGGTGACTTTAATAACACTTAAAAATCAAATATCCCCTACTTTTTTTGAATAGTATATTAACCCCATCAGAAAGAAAGAACTTTATAGCTTGCTTACCTTTTATATGAACTGTACCAGCAGGTAACATCCATGGTTTAAAGAGCTCAACATTACCATACTCATTTCTCGGTATCTTTCCCTGAAATTATAAAACAATCAAGTAAAATCACAAACTGAATTGCACATCACAAGAACTATCCTTACTCAAATTAATGAAATGAAATGGGGGTTGGGCGTCTAATTTTTTTGCTAATGAAGATGTCTTACTCAAATAGAGAGAGATAGTGATATGGGGTTTAACGTCCACTAGACACAAACTAGGTCATTTCGGGACTAACATATGGTTCAATTTTATTTCAATAATTCACTTGTGCGTAGGGTTCTTTAGCAGTGGGAGGAAACCAGAGGGCCCAGAAAAAACCCAATAGGTTGGACAGGCGACCCTACTCCTTGTCACGTACAACTGGGGAATCGAAACTCCGCCAGTTGACTCAATGACAAATTTTATGATACAGAGCGCACATGCTAACCATTCAGCCATCCAAACCCCCTTTACTCAAACAGCCAAGATGAAACCATATTAACACAAACAATGCTTGTTTATCTTTAAAATGTCTTTCAAATTAGACTTTGTTTGCCTGAATTGTTTATTAGTTATCCAATGAAAATAGGCCTTACATCAACTACTGGTGGTGGAATATAGATCTCTGTCTGCCATTCGCCAAACAACTCCAAATCCAATGCATCTGGATTTTCCTTGGGTTTATTCTGGAAATAAAATTAAACGTCACCATAAAAAATATTCAATTAATTATTTAAGGCATGATATTTATTATGGTTGAAGAGAAGAGCAGTAGTGCTGCACGATATATTGTTGAATTGATGCATTGAATCACAAGATACTGATTCGATTCGATTGTTTTTTATTTGGAAATATGGCTTGGGTCATGTCCTCAACTTCAGATGATAAAACAATGGTATATATGTTGTATAATGACTACACCCGAGTGGAGAATGGAAAAGTGAAGTGTACGCTTAAGAAAGTTTGTTTACTTTTAGCCACCATGTCCTAGTACTTTTCTCCGCCGACTGGACTAATGAAGACAGTGCTATAATATAAAATTTTGCCAGGACAGCGACACTACGGCCTACATTTAGTTTGAATTCCAGCTGTCAAGGGTTCTTTTTCATGCTGATCAACATGTAGACAGAAACTGGTTTTTCATCCCATCCAAACAACTAGACTCTGTACCCTGCAAGGTCCACCGTCCTAAACCACTGGAGAATCCTGAGATACTTGATATATAGGATATAATTGGCAAGATGAGCTAAAATCAATATTGCATGAAAAATATATATACAGCAAGTGATTCCAGAACATCAATGTAAATTTTGTGTCCCATGTATCAATCAGGGTTATAAAATGGAAATCATTAAGCAAATTCTGAAGACCAATATTAACTTGTATACTTACCCATTTAGGTCTAGATTTCACCATTTTGTATGGTTCTTCACCAATCTAAATAAAAACCAAATATATTAATAACCATTAGGAAGATATGGTGAGCTCTGGCAACAAGGCTAAAAATTTACCTATTATTTGTGTTGACACTTAAATGACACTTAAATCACTTATTAGTAAACTAATAATAATACAGAGAGCCTGATGCCATGTTCTCTTCCCAAAACCCTCTAGGCAGAAGTATCTCTTCCCGCCCTGAACACTGCGCATGCACAAATACATAATTATAGAAGGTAATTTACCATAAATATTATGATTATGATTACAATAAAGGCTAACAATTTGCATAATCAATATCTTGCTCATTCAAAGTAAATACGACCTATTATTTGTAGTCAACCTTGCTCATTTAAAGTAAATACAACCTATTATTTGTATAATTCATATCTTGCTAATTCAAAGTAAATAAAAAAAGTCCCAGAATGCGTGACAAATTTTGATTTTGAAGGGAAAGTCATGTTTTAGGGTGTTATGATTGAATTGATAGAACTGGATCTTACCATAACAGATCTGCCTTCCTTTCTCCAATTTTCTCGAGAATGCAGCTGAAACAAACAAATTAACATATTGTACAATTTGTAGTTGTATTGTGTATTAATACTGTCGATCCCACTTAGCATCCAGTTGGATAATGTCTGCATCTGTCATTTCCAATTGAAGACTCATCACGAAACTGCTACACGTACAGCACAGGGAGAGACAAAAACTATAGGTTATTTCAGGATTAATATATCATATTTTCATTTCCATAATTTACTTGTGCACAGTGGTGACTTGATTGCTTGTCACTTAAAAATGTGAAGTCGAACTTGTGACAAGGGAGAGACAAAAATTAGGTCATTTGAGGATTAATGTATCGTATTATTATTTCCATAATTTGCTCTTCACTTGGGTCGAAATTGTTATATTTGTGATGATGACAGATCACTTGGACATCCACCCAGCTGCATCGCAGCACAATCTATCACCTACAACTGTTAGAAGTGAGAGAGAGAAATGGAGTCTAATGTTCACTCAACACAAACTAGGTCATATGGGTCTTTAGCAAGTGAGAGGAACCAGAGGACCCGGAGAAAACCCATGAGGGGAAACGAACTGTTAAAAGTAACTAGTACAATTATAATAAATATATTCTTACCACATACACACATTCCCGGGGGTAAACTGGTTCTTTACGGACAAAGCCACAAGGAGCAGCATCATGTGGATAAATAGCTTCAAACTTTAATAGATGGCGCTGTAGAACATATCTAAAATTATATAAATAAATGTCACTGTAGTAGATATCTAAGCACTGTGCATCATATCTAAGATTATATAAATAAATGGCACTATGCATCTTATCTAAAATTATATAAATATATGACGCTGTAGCATATCTAAAATCATATAAATAAATGGCACTATGCATCATATCTAAAGTTATATAAATGTCACGGTAGAAGATATCTAAAATTATATTTATAGATGTAGCTGTAGAAGATGTCTAAAATTATATAAATATATGATGTATTTAATAATTTAAATTAAAATACAAAGGTACAACAGAAAGTGTTATCTGTATGAACTTCATAAACAACTTAGAAGTGGTATCAGGGGGTCTAGGGATTAATATGCCAGACACGTGTTACTAAATTACTGATGAATAATAATTTGATGATAATTTGAAGGTATAAGAGTTTGTTACTTACAATGGATGGTTTTTAAACTGTGAGATACTGGTTGGTAAAGGTCTGTTGACTAACTGATCTAAAACATCATATCATTAATTTTATTTATACCGTCATTTTACTCATTGTTAATTAACAATTAAAATTTTCATTTATGAAACAAAATTCAAGAAGTTAATGCTGGTTCCTAAACTTGAAGATCTGCCACAAATGAGAAATGAAATGAAATGGGCTTTAATGTCCTACTGTTCTGCTCCGAACTGGGCTAATGAAAACGGGCATACGCAATACAGTGTGCTATGAGGGAAATTTTGCCCAGACAGTGGTACTACGGCCTTCTCTTATATCAAATTCCAACTGCCAAGGGATCTTTTATGTGCACGGCAATGTGTACACAGGACCTTGTCAGGCCCTCCGTCCTGCATCACTGACAAGGGGGAACCACGCCAGAAAATCTGGATGAACTTTCTCGGCAAATGCTGGGATCGAACACCCGACCTCCAGGCTAGCGAGCCAGCATCTTACCCACTTTGCCACCTTCACCCCACCACAAATGTGGGAGGAACAGGTAAAATATTATCACACCAACTAATATAGCTTCATCATATTCAAATTCAAACAGGTAATAGATAAGTCTTAAAAGATGAAAGTTGCCCCCTGTTTTGGGAGTTGGGGAACAGAGAGATATAAATGGAAATATCATTTTCAGGATAAACAATTTTATTTCAATAATTCGCGTGTGCCTAGATGTCTTTAGCAATAGGAGGAAACCGGAGAACCCCAAGAAAACCCACAACGTTAGGCAGATGCCCCTACTCCATGTGACATACAAGCTTTAGATCGAAACTCAATGACAAACCTTCTGATCTAAAGTGCACACATTTCACCACTCAATTCAACAAGAGGTTATAGGAATAAGTGGTTGTGAGTACTTGATTTGTCACCTAATAATTTCTTTTGAGGGTCTACAGCAGGGAGCCAGGGCCCAACCATACTAAATATGACAGAGAATAGGGAAAATTCCCCCCTCATTAAAAATAGGCATCTATTCTACCTTTTATATTTTCGTCATCTTGTTGATTATGTTCTTCTTGACTTCGATACACGGCCAGTGTTTCTCTCCACCAATCAGAATCAACTCGTAATTTACGTGTCTGTGACATCCAGTTTGAAGCATAGCGAGCGGTCACATCTTTAACACTTCCATCTAAAATTACATAGACAACAGGTATTATTTTCTAAATGCTCTTTAAGTTAAAATTTGATAAGAAAAATTTATCATTTTGAAACGGAGGACAGAGGTGTGACCAGGGATGCAGTTTCAAATTTTGCTCGTCGGACATGCGTTTGTCAGATACTTGTAATACCTACCATTACTGTAAGCCAGACAGTAGTGTAGAGGTGGGGGTGAAGCTGTTATTTGTAATACCTACCACTACTATAAGCCAGACATGAGTGTAGAGGGGGTGGGGCCGTTAATTGTAATACCTACCATTACTGTAAGCTAGACAGTAGTGTAGAGATGGGGGGGGGGAGGCTGTTACTTGTAATACCTACCATTACTATAAGCCAGATATGAGTGTAGAGGGGGTGGGGCCGTTAATTGTAATACCTACCATTACTGTAAGCTAGACAGTAGTGTAGAGATGGGGGGGGGGAGGCTGTTACTTGTAATACCTACCATTACTATAAGCCAGACATGTGTGTGGAGGGGGTGGGGCCGTTATTTCTAAAACCTACCATTACTGTAAGCTAGACAATAGTGTAGAGGGGGTGTGGCTGTTGCTTCTATTTCATAAGGTTTATTTATAACTTCACTGATACAATCAATACCTGAAATACAAATAACACTTAATATTGTATGTTATTCGATCAGACAATAGATTATTGTGCAAAGTGGCAGGGGGGGGGGGGGGATAATATTGCTTTTATTTCTGAGGAGAGATGGGTGTCTGGAATACCTGGTATATATAATTTATTCAAGGTACACAAATCTCAATGAAAGTGTAAAAGTATGTGTACTTACATATCCACTGTTTTTCTTCTGGTAAATAAACTTCGGCCCATAAATCTGTCCCTAAAATATATTTAGAAGAATTTCACATTAGATATAAATATTTACTCAATTAATATATAGACATGTATCTTTAACAGTAACATTAACCATAGACATCTAACCTGTAACTATGGAAAGTTAAATTGTTACTATGGATATCTGACCTTTAGCTTTGGAACGTTAAACTGTAACTATGAACATGCTAAACAGTAACTATGGACATATTAAACAGTAACTATGGGCAGCTAATCTGTAACTATGGGCTTATTAAACAATAACCATAGCCATCTAACCTGGCCGAACATTACGTACATCAGATAAACTACTTTTAAAGCCCAAAACTGTTCAACTAGTCTCTTATGGTCAGCGCTCTTTTAGTTATAAAGCACCTGTTTTATGGAATAATCTACTATTTAGTTTAAGATGTTGTACATCTCTACTTTCTTTTAAAAAACAACGTAAAACACATTTATTTAATGAGGCTTTTAACTGACTCTGTATACAATCGTTAACATGTCCATAATCTTGTTGTTTATTTATGATTACATTGTCACTTTGTAAAGTGCCCCTGAACATGTTATATGAAAGGGCACACTATACATATGCTGTAATAATAATAATAATAACCACTAACTGTGGATATCTAACCTGTAACTATACACATCTAACCTGGACATACTTAACAGTAACTATGGATTACTAGCCTGTAACTACGATAACTATATAACCTGTAACTATGGACAACTAACCTGTAACTATGGACATGCTAAACAGTAACTATGGATTGCTAGCTTGTAACTACGATAACTATATAACCTGTAACTATGGACATATTAAACAGTAATCATAAACATATTAAACAACAACTATAGACACCTAGTAACCATGGACAACTTACCTGTAACTATGGGCAAGGGCAAGGACAACTAACCTGTAACTATGGACAACTAACCTGCTACTATGGACATTAAAAGTAACCTTATAAATTTTACCTGTAATTTCAGGTGTTTTGATGTCTGTCGAATCATTGGAATCACTGGACAAAATCTTGCGATTTTTCTTTATCGGCCGTTTAATTCTATCTGCTGTTGGACTTCGATATTCTATTGTCTCTTCTTCGAAATCACTTTAATTTAAAATCAGAATTTAATTTAAATGCGGTAATCATTCGCATGAAATATTGTTCCATTTTAAAATATAAATACATGTAGTTTGAAATAGATGCACGAGGTAGTATCAGGTGATCAAAAAAACAATTACAATATCTGAAATGAAATGAAATGAAATGGGGTTTAATGTCCTACTGTTCTGCTCCGAACTCAGCTAATGAAGATGGGCATACGCCATACAGTGTGCTACGAGGGAAATTTTGCCCGGACAGCGGCACTACAGCCTACTCTTATATCGAATTCCAACTGTCAAGGGATCTTTTACGTGTGTACACAGGTCTTTGGTTTTTCATCCCATCCGAACGACTAGACAGCTGTCCTTGTCAGGCCCTCCGTCCTGCATCATTGACAAGGGAGAACCACGCCGGAAAATCTGGATGAACTTTCTCGACCAATGCAGGGATTGAACACCCGACCTCCAGGCTAGTGAGCCAGCATCTTACCCACTTAGATTACGATATCTAGCAATAAGGGAGCCATGGTGATCAAGCGGTAGGAAAATGGCCTCTCAACTTAATGGTCAGAGATTCAGGATTCATCAAGCTGGGCTCTAAGTTTTGAGGGGTGCCAAAGTCTGTGTACACACTGGCATGCCCGTACAAGAACCCTTGGTGGTGGGAATGATAAGGCTAAGAGGAGTAAGCAGAAACGCTGCTGTCCTTAAGAATATCATGTTTATTTATCAAGACTAAATTACACATACTTACCACGAACTTTCAATACTGCTTGTGTCTTCTTTATTTCGAGTAGAAGTTGATTTCCTTTTTGCATTTGTTGATTTTCCTGAGTTTTTGCGTTGTTTACCACAGCTTTCTTCATCGGAATAATTACTCTCATTGTCACTGCTAGGTACAAAATCATCTGAGCCAGAATCTGAATCAACATCACTTTGTTTTAAAACTTTAGAAGCACTTCGTCTTTTCCGCAGGTTTTTAGTTTTAAGTTTTGGGTTTGTTTTTGCTTCCTTAGTTTTTACTGAATTATTTTTTGGTTTTGATTTTTCTGGGTGAAGCTTATTTTGTGTTCTTTGTTTTTCTGGGGTTTTTTTCTTTAGCTTAGACATTGACGGTTTATTTTTCTGAAAATAATAAAAAGTCTTTTAATAGAAGAATGGCAACACAGTTGATACCCCTATTCCATTCCCATCCATCCCAGCATACATGATACCACTATCCCATCCCATTATACATGATACTATCCCATCCCATTATACATGATACCACCATCTCATCTCAGGATACATGATACTATTATCCCATTCCAGTATACATGATACCACAATCCCATCCCAGTAAACATGATACCACCATCACATCTCAATATACATGATACTACTATCCCATCTCAATATACATGATACTACTATCCCATCTCAATATACATGATACTACTATCCCATCCAAGTATACATGATACCACAATCCCACCCCAGTATACATGATACCACCATCCCATCCCATTATACATGATACTACTATCCCATCCCAGTATATATGTTACTACTATTCCATCCCAGTATATATGATACCACTATCCCACCCAAGTATACATGATATTACTATCCCATCCAAGGATACATGATTGATTCTATGTGGATATATATTTAATTAAACTGGATCTTTTCTTATTCACCCAGTAGATTTTCTTTTTCCTGATTGGCATATTTTTTTTTATGTATACCAACATCATTCTTGGCATATTTTTTTTTATGTATACCAACATCATTCTTTCACAGATTTTTGATCTTTCACAGATTTTTGATCTTTCACAGATTTTTGATCTTTCACAGATTTTTGATCTTTTTATATACACTTCCTCCCTAAAATGATCTTTAAAAGTTGAGGAAGCTATATTTATTTGTACAAACCTTTGTGGGGGATTTCACGTTTTCTTTGATTGGTAGAGGTTGAAATGATAGGACAAGTCTGACATCAAATCCTATAGCTCTCATTAGTATAATAAATATCTGAAAAATATAAAAGTCCTAGAGATCTTATTACTATTATAATTAGCTGAAAAACATGAAAATTCTATAGCTCTTATTACTATTACAAATAGCTGAAAATCCTAGAGCTCTTACTATTACACATAGCTGAAAAATAAGATATCTAAAAAATATAAAATCCTAGAGCTCTTATTACTATTACAAATATCTGAATATTCAATTCAAATCAAATCAAATTTGAAACACTTTGGTGCATTTTTCAGATTTCTATTTTCTTGAAAATGATAATTCCTGTATAAGTGTTAAATAATTTTTTAATCATAAATTGTAAGTTTTTAATACAGACAGGTATAAGTAGGCTTACTTACCAAGATCAGTTGTTTTTCACTAGTTGTTTGTTTTGAGTTAAAACCAGCTTCTAGCACTGAACACTGTACCTACAAATATATACAAAATAAATCTTATTAACATTGTTGATAACTAAATCAATGTTTTTTTTTAAAAAACTAGGAGACGCAGTGGCTAAGTGAGTAAGGCTCTGGCACGCTAACCACATGGTCAAGGGTTTAATCCTGGTGTTGACTGAGAAAGTTCCTCTGGATAACTCTGGTAACCAGAGAGACAGACGAGTGTGATGACAATGACGGCATATAAAAATTAATCTTAATTCAAGTGACATCACGTGATCCACTTCAATGACACTAATGTTATGCCATTAAGTTGTTTTCCTATCCGTGGTTCATAACACATTGTATTACAGTCTATACAAACAAAAACTCACCAATCCTGATCCTTCATCTGTAGCTGTTGAATCGTAGCCAATCAAACCTTTAAACCATTTAACCAATCGTTTTAATCCATTAACATCCTGCGACATTATATTACCTTTACTTATATTCACCGGAGCAAGAGATAATGCCTGACCAATCAGACTCGAGTTGTTACAGATTGCATTCTGTTGCATTCCATGGGACAATAAACACAGCAGCTCCACCTGGGAATAAATATATATGGGAAACTCCTTTTGAACGGAAACCAAAAAACTTCCACTAGATATTTAAATTTTTTTTTATATATTTTACATACATGGGGTGGCAGCAGTTGTAATTCCTATTGAACTGAAACTTAAAAACTCCCATCAAACATTTATAATTTGTGTGGTTAGGATATGGGGCCAAGAAGAATCTCTAGTTTTATTCAAGCCCATTTTCAACTTGCTAGGAGTCATGTCTGAGAGGATGATAATAAAAGTGTGTCTGGCCATTTGGATCGAATGACAAACAAAGGTCCTGTGTGAAAATTGGTGGGTGACGTTAGTTAAAGCTAGCTGCCTTGGTAATTAAATGTTTATCAAAGAAGAGCATGTGGAAACACCACTGACAGGTAAAGTTCACTTATTGGAGGAGGTATATTTTGCTTTTTGGAACAAATATATTTCAATTTTGAGGCTTGTCAGGTTTTTGTTTTTGAAAGAACTGGATATATTATCTTACCTTATGTACACTAATACGAACATCTTTCTGGAATCGTCGTATCTTTCTCTGTACCCATGCCTTCCAATCAAACTTCTTACGTCTATGATAAAAAACATATTTATTGAAAGATATCAATAATGTAAATACAAATCATGCTTACACTGTTATCGTTAGCCATAAATAGGTCATTTTAGGACTAACATATGGTTCAATTTTATTTCAATACCAGTAATTTGCTTGCACGTAGAAATCTTTAGCAGTAGAAGGAAAGCAGAGGACCTGGAGAAAACCCACAAGGTTGGTCAGGCGACCCTATTTCTTGTCACATACAAGCAGGGAATCAAAACCACACCACTTGACTCAATGACAGACTTTATTAAGCAACGTGCACATATTAACCATTCTGCCACCCAACCCCCCCTCTAACTCAAGAGTACCAATTTCTACCATTCTGACTTCTAGTTAGTAAGACACTTGCTTGCTAATTATGTGATCGCGGGTTTGTTGTCGATGTTGACCGAGAAAGTTCTGGCCTGGCAAGGACAGTGTCTAGTAGTTCGGAGGCTACAAAAAAACCAAGGTTCAGTGTACACATTGACATGCACATACAAGAACACTTGACAGTTGGAATTCGTAATAAATTCTAGGGCGTAGTGAGGCTGCCTGGACAAAATTCCCCTCATAGCACACTGTATCGCGTATGCCTGTCTTCATTATACCAGACGGTGCAGAAAAGTAGGACGTTAAAACCACTTTCATCTCATATGATTTCTAACTTCTAGTTACACAAACCTTTCCCATGGTAGGGCAAGAAGGGCTGAATTAGAGAAAAATTTCAATGAAGTCACTTTTTCAATGAAATCTGCACTATTTAGGGATTTCCTAAAATGACAGGAGACAGGTCATTTAATTAAGGGACAGAAAAATATTTAATTCCTAATAAGTCTCACTTTTTCTTTTTAAGGATGTCTGGTACATCAAGAGTGATCTCGACAGGATTAGCAGGAATCTGAGATTTAACTGGACTGTGGTGATCTAAAATAAATAATTCAATATAAAATAATATCTAGAAAGGACTGAAATGAAATGAACAGTTTGCTCGCAGGGGGCTGTACAGCTGTATGAGGCAACAGGAGAACCCAGATAAAACACACAAGGTTAGAGACAATGATCATGTTCATATCTACATGGGATTGAAAATGCACCATATTTATTATTATATGACAGACTGCGAGAGAGAGATAAATGGGGTTTAACATCCACTTGACACAAACTAGGTCATTTTGGGACTAACATATGGTTATTTCATTTCAATAATTCGCTTGCGTGTAGAGGTCTTTCAACGTGGGAGGAAACCGGAGGACCCGGAGAAAACCCACGAGGTTGAAGACAGACTAGGAACAAGGCAGATCAATAAATATAAAGTAAAAAATATATATAGTACCTGCCACTTCTTCCCAATTTGATTCTTCATCACTATCACTGCTGTCTAGAGAAGAGTTATCTGTCCCGGTTACTGTAGTTGTTGTTTGTGATTGTCCTTCCATTCGCAATAAAACAGAGGTAACATCAGATTCATCAAAACCTGGCTGAGGTAGTTTCTCAATTTTAAAATTTTCTTTTTTACCACTTTCCGTTTTTAACTTTTTCTTCATTTCTTTCTTTTTTATAGTTTTTGTAGATTTTGACCGAGATTCTTTTTTAACTTTAGGACTTTGGGAGACCATGGTGTCAGCGTTTGTTTCACATGAATCTTTTTTCCTCTTCTTTGAAACTTGACTTTCCGATTTTTCAGATGTATTGGAAGACTTAGAAGATTTCTTGATTTCTTTCCTGTTCGATTTAGCTGGAATCTTTTCCAATTTGACAAAAGAATTTGAGATGGAAGTCAACTTTGGATGTTTACTGTGCGGTGAGTTATCATTTTCATCAGAACTCTTTCGTTTCACAGCTTTAGCACTATTTTTATTTTGAACTTTTGGGGTATTTCTTACATCTTCAGAATCAGAATCATCGGAGTCTGAGTCACTCATAAAAGAGATATCATCTGAATTAGCCGAATCCTCTGATTTTACTATCAAACTGTCATTGCTCTGTCTTTCCCCTTTTGTTAAATTAACAACAATTTTAGTTTTCTTTTCATGAGATTTTTTGTTTTTAACTTTTGAAGAAGTTACAGAAGATTTCGATGGCTTTATTTCACTGTTTTTAGCTTTAATTCTTGGTGATCTATTTGATGCGGTTTGAACTGTAGATTTATTTGAGTTAATTCCAGTAACCAACCTTAGATTTCTGTCTTCAGTTTGAGGAACTTTGTTGTTTGGCTTGACATCTGTTTTTGCGTTTGCATTTTTGGAAGTTCTCTGAACTTTGGCCGACTTTGACTTTGTAGGTTCTTTTGACTGAGCAACAAATTTGGGTTCTTTTTTCGAATTTGTCACATTTTCATCATCCATTCTAGATAAGTGTGAATTGGATTTTGTTCTTCCAGAATGATCATCAATAATTTCATTATTTTTCAATTTATTCTTCCCTCTTGTTTTAGAAATTTTTGCAACTGCTACTTTATTGGTTGTTTTTTTCTGTCTCTCCACTTTCTCTCTATTTTTTGTGTCATTTTGTAATTTATTGTTTGATTTTATTCTTTTCAGCGCTGGCGGCATCTGAAAATCAAAAGAATACATGTGACGTACATGTATATGCAATTTATTGGTTAGCACACATAAATTCCTGTATGTGACTTCAAAACACTGTGTTTTAAAATACCTGTATATATTTATTTATACAATATAGCAAAGAAACAATTATGTTTCCCCACTGTCAGTCACCTAATGCTATTAATAGAACTGGTGCAAGATGGACGGAAACCATACAATATGGGGTTAAATGATCGATGTATTTTTCTAAAACTTTTTCGGATATTTTGGCTTTATTAGGTGCATTTTAGAGGGCCTATATATACCCATCTGTCCACTACACCGAAACCATCAGATCGTGACCCTGTGGAGCAATTTCCCGCCATATTTTTACATAACATTGCTACAGCACGTGTTGGCCTATTATATAACCTTGTATTGTCAGTCAGAAATAACGTAATATCTGAACGTATCAGTGCAACAGCATTATTAAATCGTACCGAAGTGTTGGAGATGACAATTATTAAACATTTTAACATCTGTCTCAGAAATTCATTGACAATGATGTAAATATACAACTGACAATACATCCCTCGATTACCCAGTAATTTCATCGAAATACACTTGATCTCAAACAGTTTGTCAAGCTGTTATTGAATATAAATTGTTTCTTGCATTAGGTCTAGATACATGTGCAAAAACTTACCACAACAATATGTTCGGTTCGATAAACGGGTTATTAAACAGTACGTGGAGTTATATTAAATTTTTGCTTCTGATACACGAGAGAAAATCTGCAATTTCAGCAGTAGTCACACTTGACCAGACCCAAATTGAATTTGTAGGAAGTTAGAAATAACACAGGCTGTCACTGACAGGAGCATTATACATGTCATATGTAGGCCACAATATGTGGATGCAGACCACCATTAATTCCCTGTTGACTTCAGTGTTAATTCTGCATGGTTGGCTCCAACTTTTTTAAAAATTTTGTTGGGCTGAATGATTTTCCCTCTACGGATAGAGCAAAAATTTAATTGCCATGTCTTTGCTCTAAAGTTTGTATGAGGTTGCATGACCATGGACCTTATGAAGGTCCATGGGTTGACCACTGAAATTTAGAGATGGACAAACTTGAAGTAGCTTATACTAAAAACATGTAACCATCTGCTGTACATATAATAGTAACCAAACTCTTAACTCTGTTATCTTTGCGTCTCTCAACCATGAACATTCACCAAAACCTGAAAGAAAATTTTAATTCAAACCATATTCTTCAATTCTTGACCCAAAAATCAACAAAAATGGCCACCCAAATGGGGAGCTGTATATAGACAAAATACAAATCGTAGGTGCAGAGATGGCGAAATCTAAGAGAGAGAGAGAGAGATTAATGGGGTTTAACGTCTACTCGACACAAACTAGGTCATTTCGGGACTAACATATGGTTAAATTTTTTTTCAACTATTCGCTTGCGCGTAGGGGTCTTTAGCAATGGGAGGAAACCGGAGGACCCGGAGAAAACCCACAAGGTTGGACAGGCGACCCTACTCCTTGTCACGTACAACCGGGGATTCGAAACCACGCCAGTTGACTCAATGACAGGCTTTATGATACAGCGTGCGCATGCTAACCATTCGGCCATCCCCCCCCCCCCCCCCGAAATCTAAGGGTGGTGTCTTCCTCCATATGGAGGCTGTCACTTACACCTTACTATAAGAGTCAATGAAACTTTAATTGTACATTATAAAAGACAAAGAGGTTAAAGATATAATTTTATTTAACAATTCTCTACAGCAGAGCACCAGGAATCAGTTTTATTTAAAATAATCAACAATAACAATATTAATCAATAAAAATATTCAAATAATACTATAAATTTTTTAAATTTTAAAAATTATCTTTACATTTTAAAAATGTCCATTTTAATTTTCAAAACAGCCAGGAACAATATCAGTTTTGTGCCGCCAACAAACAACTTTTGTGTAGCAATTAAATTGCACAAATGTTCGACATGATATTGTTTTCCAGACAAGTGTATAACATGACCCAGATCAACAATACACAAAAATTAATATCAATAACTGCCAGCAGTAAACAAAAATAAGCACTGTTCCGTGTAAATTTTATTTATATAAAATTGCAGTGCAACTTGCCCCAGAATATTAATGTCTCTCAGGATACCAAGACTATAGACAATTAAATAAATTCGAAAAGAGACTTTTTTTGAAGGGAAATTGGCGATAAACGATTGAATTTGATCTGTTCACTTCTCTACTGCAATACAGTCAATTGCGAAAAAGATGAAATGCACCTGTCATTATTACCAACTGTCACATGAATAAACAATAGATCAAAAAAAAAAGAAGAAAAAAATATCCTGTAGTCTAAATCCCCCAGTCCAAACTTAATGTGTTTCAGGACGAATATTATAACCATATTGTTTCTATTTATGATCAGTATTGTATTGTTATCCCTCTAATATAAACTAATTTAAAAAAAATACATGGTATAGAAGGTATTCAAGATATAATTTAAAAATACACAGTACATGAAACTTTGTATATAAAAATATAAGCTGCAATATTCTAAACAATGTGGTATAATTTATTTATTCCATGACAGATATATAAATTAGCAAAGCAAGAAAGTAAATATACCATAAATGTATTTTCTATTCCATATACAAGGATTGGTATTAAGAGATAAATTGTTACATGTACATGTATTGATTTAAAATTATATAAAATATACTTTACTTAAAAATATACAATTTATACAAAGTTATGAAGACAATATGTGTGGTTTTATTTCATTAATATATAATTTTAAATAATAGTAGTAGTAAAGGACATCACTTATATAGCTTAGTGATTTTTTGTTCATTGTATCTATTTAAGATAAAAAAATAAGGAAACACAATAAAATCTGGCGTAACGCTAATGAAGACGGGTATACAGCATGCAGTGTGATATGAGGAACATTTTGCCAGGACATCAGTGTTTCTGCTTCCTCTTTGTCGAATTCTAAGTGCTAAGGAGTCTTTTATGTGCATGGGACCTCATGTTTTTGTCCCCATCGATTGACTAGATGCTGTTCCTCTAACAAGGGTAAATCACACTGAAAAATCCCGAGTAACTTTCTGGGCCAACACTGGAATCAAAGGAAAGACGTTTCTAAGCCAGCATGGCTCCATAATAAAAGCTAATTCATATGCAAACTAAGACAATTAAATATTCATATAATAAACGGAGAAGACCTTTGATGCAAATTCTAGTGTTTGGTAACTGCTTGTATACAAAAAAGACTTGATAAATATTTGAATTCAGAATTTATTTAAGTCTCTTCTGACTTGCATGGCACAGAGCATTGGATTATAAACCATCATTCATTGTCAAATTGTAATTGCCATTTAGATCGACACACTGATGTCAGTGAGTATAAATGCACATGTTACATTTCATGACATTTTTTAATGAGGTATTTAAGATAATAAATACAATAGTAAAATCTAATTACAATGAAAATATATAAGACAAGTAAATATTCAAATAATAATAAATGGAGAAGAGCTTTGTGAAAATTGCTGTGAAATTACTCCTTGTCTACAACATAAGACTTAATAAAAGTATGGATTCAGGATTTACATTGGCAAAAAGCATGTGTTTATAAACCATAATTTCTTTTCAAATTTGTATTAAGAGCCATTTACATTCACACTTTATTGTGATCTTTTTATTAATTCCTTGAAACCTCAAATAATAAAACAGTATCTTTTAGAAAAATAAAATGAATTATTTTTATAAAAACATTTATATACAGATCTACGAATTACTGTTTTTTTTTTTTTTTTTTTTTTTATAAAGAGATCAAAAATTAATATATTATCAGGGGAGGATCCAGGGATTTTTGTAGGAGGGGTTTTGCCAGGGTCCTGTTAAAGAAATTTTATAATTGACAAAGCACGATGCCATTGTCGTTTCCAAATTATGTAAGCATACATATACACCAAACTTTTTAAAGAGAGAAATCCAACAGCCCACTTGTCTTCCATTTTTATTATGTCTATATCATTATCTCACGCTTTGAATGCCCATCACATCTGATGATAAAGGATAAAGCACGCGATAGTGACACTTTTCTAATAAAAGCATTGTTTTACAAAAAAGATTTTAATTTGCTGAGCATAACCCTCCCTCTGAATCCGCCCCTGCATAATTTTGGAAAAGAGCTCAAAATATATATACATGAAGGTCACATCAGGTGAAGTTGAAATAAAATATTAGTATACAATATCATCATCACTGAACACAGACACTATTTATATTTGAGCATTTAACAATTATGAAACTTGCCAAAACAAATAATTATTAATTAAATAATAATAATAATAATACTATAATAATACTAATAAACTTTGATACTAAAGAATACCACTTTTAAAACAATAATCAAGCTAGATCTACATAGATGAAATAACCAACATACAGATAGAAGAAATCCAATTCCTAAGGCAGATGACCTACTCAACTGTGTAAAGGTGACCTACTCAATCCTAAAGACAGATGACCCACTCAAATCTAAAGATGAACTTCTTAACTATAAAGCCAGATGAACTACTCAACTATAAGACAGATGACCTACTCAACTATAAGACAGATGACCTACTCAACTCTTAAAGACAGATGAACTACTCAACTATAAGACAGATGAACTACTTAACTCTATAGACAGATGAACTACTCAACTCTAAAGACAGATGAATTACTCAACTCTAAAGACAGATGAACACGATGTAAGATAAATACTCTACAATGAAAGACAAACTCTAGAAATAAAACTCTAAAGTCACATGAATTGCTCAAAATGAGAGACTCCAGCTCAAAAGACACATGAGGAACTCAACACTTAAGACAGATGAACTACTCAACTCCAAATAGATAGCTGACCAAATGAACTCTTAAAAACATAAAAACCACTCAACTAAAAGTCTGAACACCTAAACCTAGTGATCCAAAAGGAATTCCCCACGATTTATTCAGGTTAACACATATATGAAATATATGAACAAAATAACATATCCCTGGAGCACCCTCTTTAAATACTGTAGTTTCGGTATTTGCCAGCCAAGGGGCATTGCTGAAGATAAAAACTATTCTGCTTTTGAAGTGTTGATCGATTTAGTTCAAAGTAACCCTGGTTGTGCTGTGATTTTGCGTAATGTCATCGTCTATTATATTTACACTGTTCTCTATAGATGAATCAGCTATACTGGTTTCTTCTTAAAAAAAAAAAAAAAAAAAAAAAAATAACAGGTTATATTTATTCGGCAATTTCGGTTTTTATTAGTCCAAGCTATCTTCTTTTTTTAAAAAAAAAAAAGAAAAGAAAACTTTGTATAAAGGATGTTAGAGGGTATAAATTCATTGCGCTTGACATGCTGATATGCAGTGCAACTAGTCATCCTTTGTTTTAGAGAGAGAAATAGAGAGAGAGAGTGAGCCATAGTTGCTAGTCTTGTCTAACAGGCAGTGAAAGGACAGGAGAACTTATGTGCTTACCTGTTAGTCAATATCAAAAATTTAAACTTAATGCACAAAATAGTTATATTTATAGTTTTTATGTGTAAAAATACTTAAAAACATTGGGATAAAGCTAAAAATTATGATAATAGGTGGAAAAAATATCTTTCTAACTGCAAACAAACAAAATACTTAAAAAAACTGATGTTAGCTTTTTCATTTATTATTAGTATATTTTATTTTATTACTAGGCTTGTACTTACCATGATGGTTATTATATACATGATTAGTATTAGTAGAACCATAATTAAGTGACTTTTTGTCTTTTTATTTTGTTAGAAGGCCTGCACTTACCATGATGGTTATTATAGACATGATTAGTAGTAGTAGAACCATAATTCAGTGGCTTTTTGTCTTTTTGTGGTGGAGTCCGTGTAGGTGTCGATGATCGTGAGATCGACTGGCCTAAGATTGATGTGAAGTAAACAAAACTCAACAACATCTGAAACAAAAGAACATTGAAAATCTGTCAGCTGTGTGAACTCCTCAAATACATTAAAAGTGATATCAAGTGTTCCTACTAGAAAGAGTACACACATCGGCCAGATTAGAACATGAGTAAAAGCAGATTAAAACAAAATTTAACGAGAGCATCGTTAACGCTGCAATATACGTCCACATTCCAGCTTTGATTGATATAGTACTTTTTAAAATGAAGATAATGAAATAACATAACGCTAACCACGGTCTAACCGATCCGGATGACGATAGATATATCACGCACGCCTGTCTGTCTGAATCTCACTCCCAGTCCTTTAAAAGATTGACAGTAGTGAAAGATTTGAAAATAAAGTACTTGGGACACATCGATTCTTACCTCAGATGATCTGCCGAAAAGTGCAAACTGCGAATGATGTACAATAAGGAAAGTGTCATTTGATGACTGAGATTCCTTGGTTTCACGCACGTTTTGTATTCCGCTTAAAATTAGAAGTATCGGGTACCGGACGTTTCGCCGAAACGAAATGAATAGACTTAACCTTGCCAAAGTCATGAAAAAATAGTTGGAGTCTACACATGTCAAATGCATTTGCATTTCTCAAAATACTGTAAACTGTGGTAATTTGATCTAGTCTAAACTTTTCAATTTCTACTGTCCGTTGGGGTTTGCTATTTTTATTATTAATCAATTATTAATAATAAATTTGGGACTAAATTTTAATGACGAATGACACCCAAACAAATAACCGGTATAAATGCTTGTAACACTTTTATTAATTTTCTCTGGTTACAAAGCGTTCTGAAACGTCAACAAATAACCGGCATAAATGCTTCTAACACTTATTAATTTTCTCTGGTTACAAAGCGTTCTGAAAAATAAGTTTAACAAAGGCTATCAGAAAACACTCACAAAAACCCGAATTTTACATGGGAGACAACTCTTTAAAGCATATCACGCCGAATTTTACATGGGAGACAACTCTTTAAAGCATATCACGCCAGTTTGACATTGTTAGACGGAGTTATCTCCTCCGAACCAAGTGAAACCGAAGTCTGAAATTAAATCCCAATCTGACAAAAGTACTTAATATTCTTAAAAGACAAATTATTAATAATAAATTTGGTACTAAATTATAATAACGAATGACACCCAAACATAAGACTTTTTAAAAATGTACATCCTGAAAACGCACATGTACTTGCAGTTACATGAATTTATAATTTATTTAGTGTGAGAGAGAGAGAGAGAGAGAGAGAGACATTGTCATTGCAGTACCAAAAGGTCTTTAGCAGTGGGAGGAAAGGGGGAGAAAACGGTGGTTTGAAACGTCAACAAATAACCGGTATAAATACTTCTAACACTTACAAAGCGTTCTGAAAAATAAGTTGAACAAAGGCTCTCAGAAACCACTCACAAAAACCCGAATGTTACATGGGTGACAACTATTTAAAGCATATCACATCAGTTTGACATTGTTAAATGGAGTTTGACATTGTTAAATGGAGTTATCTCCCCAAAATCGGGCATGCACCCAAAAGAAAAGGGACCAACCTCAGGGTATAAGGAATATGTATTTTAAGTTTCAAGATGATCGATTTAGAATTGTGGCCTGTAGGCGACACACAAAAAGAAAATTGGCATGGCTCTGCCCCTGGGGGTTGGGCATGTAGGGCCTACTCCAAATGATAAGGATGTTCCAAATGATAGGAATGTTCCTTAGGGTACAAAGAATAAGTATATAAAGTGTGGCTCTGCCCCTGGGGGTTGGGCATGTACCCCAAACGATAGGGATGTTCCTTAGGGTACAAAGAATGTGTATGCAAGATTATAAGTTAAGAAATGTGGCCTGTAGACGACAAACAAACAAATACTAGAAATGGGCGTGGCTCTGCCCCTGGGGGTCGGGCATGCACCAAAAACAATAGGGATCTTCCTTGGGGTATAAGGAATAAGTATACCAAGTTTGAAGAAAATCCAGTAAGAATTGCGCCCTGTAGGCGACACAAAGACACACGAAAAGAAAATGGGAAATGGGCGTGGCTCTGCCCCTGGGGGTTGGGCATGTACCCCAAACGATAGGGATGTTCCTTAGGGTACAAAGAATGTGTATGCAAGATTATAAGTTAAGAAATGTGGCCTGTAGACGACAAACAAACAAATACTAGAAATGGGCGTGGCTCTGCCCCTGGGGGTCGGGCATGCACCAAAAACAATAGGGATCTTCCTTGGGGTATAAGGAATAAGTATACCAAGTTTGAAGAAAATCCAGTAAGAATTGCGCCCTGTAGGCGACACAAAGACACACGAAAAGAAAATGGGCGTGGCTCTGCCCCTGGGGGTTGGGCATGCACCCCAAACGATAGGGATGTTCCTTAGGGTACAAAGAATGTGTATGCAAAGTTTCAAGATTATTAGTTAAGAAATGTGGCCTGTAGACGACAAACAAACAAATACTAGAAATGGGCGTGGCTCTGCCCCGGGGGGTCGGGCATGCACCAAAAACAATAGGGATCTTCCTTGGGGTATAAGGAATAAGTATACCAAGTTTGAAGAAAATCCATGAAGAATTGCGCCCTGTAGGCGAACCACAGACACACACACACACACACACACACACACACACACACACACACATACATACATACACACACACACACACACAGACAGGGGCGACGGCATAATACGTTCACATTATGAATGTGGACGTATAAAAATAAAAGAATTGAAAATAAAGTATGCCATTTGCCTGTTTTGGAAAATATCATGATTGACACTAAAATTTACTCAAATTGACTATTTAACATTTAATTAAGATAACAAAGTCAAAATATCAAAAGTAGATAATCTCCCAGCTTTTATTCAGTCAGATTAATAGGAAATGACATGGAGAGAGAGAGAAATGGGGTTTAACGTCCACTCGACACAAACTAGGTCATTTCGAGACTAACATATGGTTTAATTTTATTTCAATAATTTACATGTGCGTAGGGGTCTTTAGCAGTGGGAGGAAACTGGAGGACCTGGAGAAAACCCACGAGGTTGGACAGGCGACCCTACTCCTTGTCACGTACAACCGGGGATTCGAAACCACGCCAGTTGATTCAATGACAGGCTTTATGATACAGCACGCACGTGCTAACCATTCGGCCATCCAACCCCCCGAAATGACATGGGGTTTAACGTCCTACTATTCTGCCCCCGAACTAGGCTAATAAAGACAGGCATATGCCATACAGTGTGCTATGAGGGAAATTTTCCCGGACAGCGGCACTACGGTCTACTCTTATATCGAATTCCAACTGTCAAGGGATCTTTTACGTGCACGCCAATGTGTACACAGGACCTCAGTTTTTCGTCCCATTCTGCATCACTGACAAGGGGAACCACGCCGTAAAATCTGGATTAACTTTCTCAGCCAATGCAGGGATTGAACACCCGACCTCCAGGCTAGTGAGCCAGCGTCTTACCCACTTAGCCACCGTGCCCCCAGATTAATAGGCCCATTACAGGACTTCAGCAATGATTACATATTGGGCACTTGCTTTTGACCTTATGCTGATTATACCATTTACAAACTGTGGTATTTTTGGACTGACATTCCATTTAAAAATTAAACTTTTACAATATTGGAAGACATCTTACTTGAAATGAAGTAAAAATATAATTATACCACTCAGCTGGTAAGACATTGGCCGTTCCTGGAATGGAAAAAAATTCAACATGGAACAGATATGTGATGCATACAGTCTGTCTTTTGATTAGTCAATAGTGACAGGAGGTCAAATATATATATTAGCATTGGAGGAGCCATGGTGGCTTGGTGGGTGTGGCCCTGGCTCACCGACCATTGAAAACCACCATATATCACAGCAATGAAAACCATTTAAACCTTAGCAATGACAACCACTTAAACCTCAGCCATGAAAACTACTAAGGATTGTAATATTTAGTGGCAATAAATCACATTGGAAGAATTTGGTGTAACTGTAGGCTATCCATAAATTGAAAATCATTATCTACAACCGGCAAATATCTGTAAATATGTTGCTGTCTCTTTAAATTCAACTTACCAGAAAGTGTTGCCGTGGAAACGGAGAAAAAGAAAAGTTTGATGTACAGTACGATAACCAAGTCCGGACTGCTGTTTAAATCTTGCTGTATAAACTTCCATGATACAGGCTGATAAAATGAAAAATAATACAATTAGCTTTAAAGGAAATTAAATGAAATGGTGTATGACACTGTAACCCATGTATCATTTAATCTTGTTTATTATCAAAATTAATCAGTCAGCTTTAAACTGGACACAAATACAAATTAGATGATTTTTGGTGATTTTAAACGATTTTTACGAATTTTTAAACAAAGATTTGATATTAAACCAATGTGAAAGAAATTGGTGCTAGATACACAAGATTAAATGATACCTGGGTTACAGTGTGATGTCCTGCTGTTCACAATTGACTGGGCTAATGTACAAGGCCATACAGCACTGTAACCCGGGTATTATTTAATCTTGTGTATTTAACACTAATTTCTTCCACATCATTCAAGATAAGCGCTTAATTTCTCGATCACTGTAACAAAAATAAACAACTTAATTTATTATTCATGTATAATGATTAAAATTTGAACAGTGGTCAGGAAATCAAATGCTTGTAACTTGGACACTCATTATCAAAATTAATTGGTCAGCTTTAAACTGGACACAAGTACAAATAATTTTTATGAATTTTCAAACAAAGATTTGATATTGAAAGAATGTGAAAGAAATTAGTGGTAAATACACAAGATTAAATGATACCCTGGTTACAGTGCAGTGTGCTACGAGGAAAATTTTACCTGGACAGTGGAACTACAACCTATCCTTATATCAAATTCCAAATGACAAGGGTTCTTTTATATACACAGGACCTCTTTCTTTTCGTCCCATCCGAAAGACTATACATTTTCCCTTAAAATTCCCTCTGTCCTGAACCACTGACATGGGGGAACCATGCTGGAAAATCCTGATAAATTTTCTCAGCCAACACCGGGAGTTCCGTATTATCGAGATTACTTCGACAGGAAGTAAAGAGCAAACTATTGCTATGAAAGCCAATATTTGATTGGCTGAATCTAAACACTTTATTGTGTTCTAGCCAATCCAAAGTCTTGTATGAAATGCGCTTTATTGCTTCCAGTGCAGCAAAATAGGGGGTCTCAGAATAGCTACGTATAGAAGGCTTACTGCCATGAACTTAAGGATTATGAACGAAATTTTGCATTTATTTTGAAAAAAAAATGTGTGAAAAACATGGATTATTACGTGACTGCGACCTCTGCTCCCAGCCCACCCTCTATGTTGAATTAACACAGTATCTACATGTATCTGTGGGCCCAAAATTTTAAATGTAGACAGATTTCTACTTCAAAAGAGCAAATTAACAATCAAATTAATTTAAGCTGACAATTTTGCCGACAGGTTCAATCATTTTCAAGTTTGTGCGAGACAAGGAGTAGGGTCACTTGACTAACTTTGTAGGCTTTCTCCGCCAATTATTGCAATAAGGTCTTTCTTTAATTTTAACAAATTGATTGACAAAAATTAAATTAAATCAAACACAGACGAAAAAGAACAAGCCAACAGTGAGGCTGATGTCCCCCGCCGAAATCCCAAAATAAATAGATGACACATTAATTAATCGCACATTTATTTTTTTCAAAAGTATCGAGCAATCAAATTATACACTAAGTTTCAGCACTCTCTATCAGATAGAATCAAAGTTATCTTGTCCCAAAGCATCGACCAATGTTAATAATTGAACTCAGCCATGACATGACAGCAGAAAATACTCATTATCAAACTTAGTCAAGGTAATGATATAATAAAGCTATACACCAAGTGTCCTCACTCTCACTTAATTAGAACTAAAGTTATCGTGTCCCAAAGCATCAACCAATCAAATTGCTTATCCCTGCTTACTCTAAGCAAAAAATTCTCATCTTCACACTCCATCAAGGCATTCACCTAATAGCCACCTATGCCAAGTGTGAACATTCTAACTCAACTAAAGTCTCGACCAATCAAATTGCTTATCTCTGCTTAACCTAAGCACAAAATGCTCATCTTCGAACTCCATCAAGGCATTGACCTAATAAACACATACACCAAGTTTGAACATTCTAGCTCAATTAAAAGTTATCGTGTCCCAAAGCATCAACCAATCAAATTGCTTATCTCTGCTTACCCTAAGCGGAAAATGCTCATCTTCGAACTCCATCAAGGCATTGACCTAATCAACACATACACCAAGTTTGAACATTCTAGCCCAATTAGGAAGAGAGTTATCGTGTCCCAAAGCATCAACCAATCAAATTGCTTATCTCTGCTTACCCTAAGCGGAAAATGCTCATCTTCGAACTCCATCAAGGCATTGACCTAATAAACACATACACCAAGTTTGAACATTCTAGCTCAATTAGGAAGAGAGTTATTGTGTCCCAAAAAGTGTGACGGACAGACAGACGGACAGACAGACAGACAGACAGACAGACAGACAGACAGACGGACGAACCCATTTTAATAGTCCCCTGCTTTCTTCGAAAGGCGGGGAACAAAAATAAATATTTACAAACCTTGAGTCTGTATGTCAATATATATATACCAGTAAATAACAGAATGGTTGCTAGGTAACACTGTGCTAGTAGTATATTACTAACTGTTCGTTTAAACAACTGCCCTGCCAATTCAACTAATAAAATATTAAATATAATTTCAATTATTACATATTATCATAAATATTTTCCTGAAAAGATACAAATTAGGCATGTCCAAAAAATTATTCATGTCAATAAAGCAAAGGCCCCATGCACAAATTGGCTAGGATTCATCTAAATTAAGGTGACAATGAAAATCAATATTGTAAAATATATCCAGTTCGCTTCAATGGTTGATGTTATGAAGTAAAATATAGCACCACATACCACTTGTATAAACCAAGGCAATCAAGTTTAATAACTGGACAACAATCATAGTCACAGCACTCTAAAATAAACAAACAAATAATATTATTTAGTTAAAGGGGCATTAGGTAAGATTAGATAGAGAGCTGACAGTTCTCGCTATATAGTCATTGCTCCACTCTGAATCGAGATATTAGCGAATTAGTTTAAGGCTAGCCTCGATCATTACCAACGTTGGCACGATAATAAACAAAGTCCATATTATCCATTTTTACTTTAAATTATCTCCAACAAAATGTATTCAAATCCACTAAATATCGCAGGCTAACGCTGGCATCGAGAGTTGATTATGGTATTGATATGTTAATTAATGTCTAATTAATAATTTAGATAACATTTCAGGCCTAAAGAAAGACCTGCAAAAGGCAGATTTAGCTCCTGCATAATGTATGTTTAATTGGAAATCTGTAAGTGTTTGGTCACCGTCTCAGATTTCTCTCACGAAGCTACTAGTTTCGTTCTTATGCAAACTCTTCAGGCGTAAGAGAGATTGTGTAGCTGGTCTCTTGATATAGTCGTTTGGGACCGGAGCATAGTAGAAGTGGACTGGAGCAATTCTGTTTAACCAGAGTTGATGCTTCAGTAATTATGTTTACATTTATCATTTAGTTAAAGATACATTATGTAAGATTTAGATAAAGAACTAGCCATTCTTGCTATAATAGATCAAAAATAGATAATGTAAAATGAATAATTTGAAAATTTCATTCAAATTACTCTATTGCGAGCGAAGATATTAGCCTTTGAAGGTTTGACAAGACGTGTGCTAAGTCTCGCTCTTCCATTTTATGGCTGAACCGTTCTAATCTAATTAATATCGGAGAAATCCGATGCCATTATGAGTTGATTATGGTCTGGATAAGTTAATTAATGTCTAATTAATAATCTAGATAAGATTTCAGGCCTAAAGAAAGACCTGCAATAGGCAGATTTAGCTCTCGCATAATATATTTAAGATATATTTAACAGGTCCGGTCTATTCCTCAATCTGTGTTCGGGATTTAACAAAATGAACTATTGCTATAATAATACATGGGTGATTCTACCAGCAGTTAGTCATAAAAGTACTTATATTTTAGTTTGGCACAGTACATTACAAGGTTTGATCACAAAATAAGTGACATAAACCTCATTGGCATACACAATATTCAATACAGTACTCAATAGACACAATACTCTTAATATTCAATACAGTACTCAATAGACACAATACTCCTCATATTCAATACAGTATTCCATAATAATAGATCCAGAAATCTTTATTATTCAATACAGTATTCCATGGTAATAGATCCAAAACTCTTAATATTCAATAGACCCAATACTCATAATATATGTTACTAAAGTGGTAACTGTTGTTGATCTACCACCCTTCCATGCACATAGAGACCGAGCCAAACTGGATACCAGACAAACTTTGTATCGACCCAATTCATGACAATTTTATTCTCTACTGTATTGTTATACCCCCGTCAGACCAGGGTGGCGTCGTTACTGCGCTGCTACGGTTACGGAAAATGGTGTCAGAGCACGTCAAGATCGTGGTAAAAGCGTGGTGGAAACGCCAGATATCGTTCTGTGGTCTCCATGGTCGTCAATAATCGCATAGTTTTTGTTGAGCATGTTAAAACCAAACGCCAAGGTTCTGCGATCTGATCTGGGAAGCTGTGAGAACGTGACTTTTTCAAGTTTGTAATTTTTGGGGACATTTTCTTGCGTTGTGTTCACGTTTGCTGGCGATCATGTGTATTTTCTCCTTGCTGTACGGTCGCAGCAGCGCAGTAGGGACACCACCCCAGTCTGAGGGGGGCATTAGGTCGCGAGAGTTTTGTTAATTTGAAAACAAAAACATGCTCTTCATATTCAATATTAACAAAATCTTCAAATAAATATTATAACTTACTGTAACTATGACATCTTCTGAATCTTTTCTTGGCCAGATATCAATCAAAGACAAAATTAATAAATTTACAGCCTGTAGAAATAAAACAAGTAGAATATATAATGTGTATTTACAATCATTGATTATGTAATGGTATTATTAGGATTTTATCAGATGTAAATATTGTATTAGATGTTTAATTTACTCAATCTATTTGAGTAAATCTGATGCAGGTTCTTGCTTCTCATAACCTTTACTAGTAAGTGCAGGGAAACCCTACTACACACAAAAACAAACTGATAAGACAAACTGCAGACAAGACGATCTACACAGAATCATTTGCTGTGAGCCACTGTTAGATCCTGATGTTGGCCGCGAAACTTCTCCAGTATTTTCTAGCAATTTAGAGAGCATGTAGAAGATCATTAAAAGTTGGTATACAATCAATAAAGAGTAGGTAGGAACACATCTTCAATAGAAGGCTTGATCTAACTTCGTATATCCTATCAAGGCCTTCACGTAATACACTACATATTTCGGCACTAATGTTGATTGGGTATTCACCCAACTTGTGAGCCTATCAGATTCCTCGATCATCGTGAATACCAAGTCTCGTGCTTTCAAGCTAAAATATCAAAGTACGGTCAATCAATGTCAAGGTTTCTATGGAGGTCGCTATGTCACAACCTCTGATTGGATGCTACCGTTCACGTGCCTGCAGATAACGTAGCTATAAGTTCAGGAATTGAAAAGTAATCTAGCAATTTGTAGATGTTGTAAAACTCTCAGTCGTTGCTTCAGGAACATGGTGGAAATGCAGCTTTCTGGTCAGATTTTCGCTCATTGCACACTGCACGGTGTTTGGTCATCTTCATTAGTCTTTTTGGTGCAGAAAACTAGAATGTCAAAACCCAATTTCATGTCATCATTTGCAATTTTGGGACAATACATCAACGGCCGATTATCTCCTGGCTTGAATTCAAAAGGATAAAAAAAGAGGCACAGCAAAACATTTTATGCAACCCTTATAAGTGGCGTAGACTTGTTTATGTCAGCGCAAGAGAATATTCCAAATGTTGTGAAATTTTAAATTCATACTATATCTTTGTACATACTGAATGAAATTGAACCATTTTCGATTTGATATTCTTTCAAAGAGATAAATCTTTCACAATGTTGTAGTTTTAAAATTCCTTCAAATGTCAATCAGCCGCATTGAGGAGCAATTTGGACATACTGATAATAGTAGTTTAAGTATATTCTATCATTTTCAATAAGATAATGCTGTTTCAATTGCTCTATGTAAGTTTTTTGTAGTAAACGACTCAAATATGAGTAGCAAGCTTCACCATAATACAGTACTTATATCATTCCATATGTTTACTAATAATCTCTTTTATGCATCATTTTCAAAACTTTTCACGAATCATGTTCAGCTTCAGCATTTAAGCTTTGGGTATTTTTGTTTAAAATCAAAATTTAACCAATACCCTATTCTTTGTCGAGGATGAAGGCATCTGGTGTTTTCGACAATGTTTAATTCTATGTCAACTTCAGAATTGCTAGTATAAATATTGCATTTACTTGATGATTATGACAAATTTTATCAGGCCCTAAATCGAGTTATTGCAAACATTTTCCTTGGAACTCTCGGATTTTTGTTCCTGGCGTTGTAAGTTTTTCAAAAATGTATAGTTTGTTTAGTTTCTAGAAATTCTGGCTGCAGGTCTAGGATCAAAAACAAAATCCTCATGTTGAGTGGGCCAAGCCTTACTCACTGAACCACCCTGGCTCCGATATTAACCTACCTGAAGAATGATGGTTATAAAAACGATATTTCTGGCGATCCTAGGTAAAACATTTTTTCTGATTCTCAACCAACGTCCTGGTACAGGTATGACCACTGTTTCAACTACACTTGTTTCCTAAAATAACAGAGAAATGAAATGGGGTTTAATGTCCTACTGTTCTGCTCCTATACTGGGCTAATGAAGACGGGCATACGCCATACAGTGTGCTATGAGGGAAATTTTGACCGGGCAGCGGCACTATCGCCTACTCTTATATCAAATTCCAACTGCCAAGGGGTCTTTTACGTGCATTCCAATGTATACACGGGACCTCGGTTTTTCGTATTATCCGAAGGACTACTCCTTGTAATGTTTAAGCTGGGAATCGAAGCCACACCACTTGCCGTTAAATAACTAGACCACCAAACCCCCCTCCTAAAATAACAAAGCAGAATCTTTCTTGAATCAGTAATATGGTTACTGGGGAGAGAGAGAGAAATGGGGTTTAACGTCCACTCGACACAAACTAGGTTGTTTCAGGACTAACATATGGTTCAATTTTATGTCAATAATTCGCCTGCTCGTAGGGGTCTTTAGCAATGGGAGGAAACCGGAGGACTCAGAGAAAACCCATGAGGTTTGACACTGACAGAAGATCCTATTCCTTGCCACGTACAACCAGGGAATCGAAACCATGCCAGTTGACTCAATGACAGACCTTATGATACAGCCACACACGCTAACCATTCGGCCATCCAACCCCCCTGAATATGGTTACTAATTCATAAAAAACAAACACAGACCATCCTCAAAATTATTGAATATTACAAACTGTCATGAAAAATGGACTGGCTTATACGAAAGAGATGATACAATTACTATTACAATATTTGTCTTAAGCCTGTTTTCCATAACGCGTTTTCACCGGTACATGGAAATGGTATCATTAGATTTGCATTAGCCGGTGAAAAGCTGCAGAAACGTGTACATGGAAAACAGGCCTTAGAGAGATCAAGATGCTCATGTGAAATTAGCAGAAATTAATATCAACATAAAATGGCCATATCTAGTGGTGACATCCATTGAGAGGACTAGCAAGCTGTTACGCTCAAAAAAAGGGATAAAAAAAATGCTTGATTTTGTATGTCCCATTTTCTTCAAATACAGATTTTGACACAGAAGTGACTATAACTTTTTGTCAAAATATTTTCCCCTTTCCAACAGTATTTTGTAAAATGAAATGGGGTTTAACGTCCTACTGTTCTGCTCTGACTTGGCTAATGAAGACAGGCATACGCCATACAGTATGCCATGAGTGAAATTTTGCTCGGACAACAGCAATACGACCTACTCTTGTATTGAATTCCAATTGTCAATGGGTCTTTTAAGTGCACGCCAATATGTATAAGGAACCCTGTTTTTTTCATCCCATCTGAACAACTATACGTTGTCCCTTGCCAGGCCCTTTGTCCTGCACCACCGACAAGGAGGAACTACCCCAGAAAATCCTGATGAAACTTCTCGGCCAACACGGGATCTCCAGGTCAGCGAACTAACGTCTTACTCACTAAGCCACAGGTTGTATTTGGTAAATCATTCTGCCTCACAATGACACCTAGTATATACATGTAGGTCTACTTACATCAGCATTAGAAATATATTGTTGTAATTTGAATCTACTTGTGTCTAAAACAGTCAACAACTCCACAGCTTCTTCATAGGATAAATTAACACCACCAGATCTGTCAAACACAAATAAAAGGCCTGTTATAATTGGATCTGTAATAAACAGGCCTACAGGTATATATACATTCGTACAAAACATATATGTATTGTTTTACGGATTTTAGTCAGAGTTGCAACCAAAACTGTGCATGGTGCAAACGTTCTGCCATCGTTGATAGTATTGGCCTCCGTGGAACTATTTATTAAATATAAATTGTGTCAATTTTGACAAACAGGAAGTGTTTTATGGATGGGACAAAAAATAATCTCAGATTGTCCATATCTCGGTTATTTGTCAACAGATCTTCGTCCGGTTTTTTATTTTGGGATTCTTTGGACGAATCCCATACAGGCTCCGACTGAGGTTTTTCGAAATTCAAAAGTTTGCTCGATTAGTTTTAGCATGAAAGATTTGCGAAAATTTTCATCAGCATTTTATACGAATTTCAAGATGGCGTATCTCCATTAATATTTGTGGTATCAAGTTGAAACTTGGTAGGAATAAGGAACACATTGATGCCTTCAAAATGGTATATTACAATTTTTTGTGACAGCTTCCGGAAAGTTCCAGAAGTTACCACGGCCTTCAGATCTTTCCCCTAACATAAATAGTTCTCTCCACTTTAAAAAAAAGACTAAAAATGACATATGATTGCGTTAGCCCCGGATACTGTCTTTCATTTTATATTCAGTTCTTTAAAAATATTGTAATTTCTAATCAATTATTTTCGATAATCATGTACGCGAACAGTCCAAATTGAACAACAGTCGTTTTTGCCTGATTAGTACATTCTACACGTTTTTTGATCATTATTTTGTCGGTTGTGAATTAGCCATTACTAATATGTTTTGATTTGTTCATTACAAATGGCCCCTGAAACAATAGAATACACAATTTGTGTACTGATTATAAACTGTTCTGTGTGTCTTAAATATTGGGGGGGGGGGGATGGCCGAATGGTTAGCACGTACGCGCTGTATCATAAGGCCTGTCATTGAGTCAACTGGCGTGGTTTCGAATCCTTAGTTGTATGTGACAAGGAGTAGGGTCGCCTCTCCAACCTCATGGGTTTTTTCCGGGTCCTTGGGTTTCCTCCCACTGCTAAAGACCCCTACGTGCAAGCGAATTATTGAAATAAAAATTAAAAACCATATGTTAGTCCCGAAATGACCTAGTTTGTGTGGAGTGGACATTAAACCCTATTTCTCTCTCTCTCTCTTAAATATTGGATATTAGGATACTATATTTTTATGGCAATATATCAAGATCAACATTGACTGAAACAGACCAAGACTGAATACTAACAGTAGACGATGGTAGTAAGGTACCGGGTGGGGGTGGGTCTCTTCAGTGCATATTGAACCATTGAATTCAGACATGAACCAAGGAGAAACTTTGAATTATCAACACGACTCCAACTTGTAAACATAGTGTAGAAATAAAAGAACTTTTGACAATTGGGTTTTGATGAAAAGTAGGTGGTCATGTAGCTGCCTCGGCAAAATTCTCTTACCATATGATAGTTGAACAAAAACATATGTTTGTCTCAAAATACACAACATACTGCGATGACAAAATGTTAAACACATCAATTCCATTTCTGTCTTGATCTAGCCAGTTGAGGTGTAGGAATTTCATGCTTGGGGTTGCAAGTTTGATTCTAAACAGAAAATCCTGTCACATATATGTTGACAGAATGTATTTATTGTAGCTTTAATAACTTATCATTAAAAGTCTAAAAATTGACCCTGTCAGCTCATTACAGACATAACCTTGACCTTAGATTTATTTAATCAAGATAAAGTTACACAACCCGGTTTAATAAACAATAACCCTGGTCCCATAAATAAATTTGGAATTAAAGGAACACCTCTTCATAAACAAAATCTGAACACCAGCTTCAAAGAAAATATGTCAAATGGATCAATGCAGTTTATCACAAAAATAATGTACATGTAAGAAGAAAACCAGAAACCAACAAAAATAAACAAAAAAGGAATCACAGATACCAGTTGAAGTATGATGCGGCATCGCCGGATTTACACTGAATTATCAAATGTCAACCGCAACATGGACCCACCATGGAGTGAAGGGGTACCAATGTCAAGGACTTTAAAAATCCAATGGAGGTCTGAGGACCTCAGAGGACCCCATCATTGCTACTAGCAGATGGAGTACTTGGTCCGACCTTGCTTTTTGGGAAACTGAGATTTGGGGGAGGGGGGGGAAAGACCCTCAAATATCGTTACAAATTGTGATACGAGTTGAAATAATGTGGGATCTGGGTGGATTTGATTTTTAACTCAACTTTGAATTAAACATCGACTGAACCTTTTGATACCTTCCTAGTAAGCTTACATGTTTCTGGAACTGACATAAAAATTAACAGAAATGGCAAAGAACATTTGCAAGGTTTCCAAAAATCAGTCCTGGAATTAACGATTTTTGTTGTACTGGTACTCATCAAAATGTTAGACACTATCGAAATTCTATCTGACATTTTTTATCTTGCAGGACATGTATTAAATAATTTCAACAAAAACCTAAAAATTGGATAAATCACTGCCAGACAAAATGACAGGCACCTCCATAGACTACCACTAGTACTAGCCCTCAAAATAGCCATAAAAAGGCAAGGGATTGAGTTAGACAATTCAGTCCATGTCATTGATAACATGACATGTTAAAAGGATAAAGGATGCAGCAGGTTGCATTAAATGCACAACATTTATCATGTCCGGGAGATAGCTTTTTTTATGATAGCTTTTAATATTTATTACATTACATATGCATGTCGAAATTTTATCTTGATTAAATAAATCTAGGTCAAGGTTATGTCTGTAATGAGCTGACAGGGGCAATTTTTAGACTTTTAATGATAAGTTATTAAAGCTACAAGAAATACATTCAACCAACTTATTTGTGACAGGGTTCCCTTTTTGAGATCAAACTTGCAACCCCAAGCATGATATTCCAACACCTCAACTGACAAGGTCAAGAAAGAAATGAAATTGATGTGTTTAACATTTTGTCATTGCAGTACTTGTGCATTTTGAGACAAAAATATGTTTCTCTTCAGTTATCAGATGGGAAGAGAATTTTGCTGAGGCAGCTACATGACAATCTCTTATAACAACAGAATATAAATTCAAGACAATCTGTGTAATTTGCAGCCAAAAAGCCAACGAAAAACGCTTTGAAAATTGATCAGAATTCTATATGGGAAAGGCCTATCATACCACAATTAATATAGAGCGAAGCTCTAAAGCATCGCGCGAAGTGCGGTGCTTGAGCAAAGCTCTTTTCCGGTAACACAGGAGCGTAATTGAAAATGTCACCCACAGACTGTTGATTAAAAAAAAATTCAGACAGGAACCGGATACACTGGGGAAAACAGGCAATGCGCATGTCTGTCAATGCGCATGTCAGCGCATGTCAACTTACCAAATCTCGCCCAAGCGAGATTTTGGGTCTCTAAGAAATATTTCTATGACGCGTCGAATAAATGACGTCAGATAATTTTGACGTCAATGAAAATCCTCACACCTTTTTGTTCTTTTTTCAGTTGGGGAAACTTTATTATGAAGGTTTTATTTGACAACAATCACATCAGCTTCGCTCTACTCAGGCAAGGCCTGTTACATATTACGATACACACTATTGAATGAATCACTCAATTATTGTATAAAACTATAATATCCGTCCGGGAACTTTATTATGACTTTATTATAGTTTATCGAATGACGAATGTACATGTATGCTTTGTCGACAATTTTGTCGGAAATGCATTCAGAAAAATACATCTTAAGGCATTCGGAACTGTCCAGAAATAAACTTCGATTACTTACCTATAGGACATATCTCTCCCAGCTTTGTTTCTCTCCAATAGCGGATCTCTTTCACCAAAATCAGCAGCATGATCCCAATCTAATTCATTGTCCGCCATTTTGTTCATCAGCAATCACATGACATTTGTTTTGATGTACGAATTTCCCGCTGTAGATTAACCAATCAATTCTAAGAATTATCCAACGCGATCATCCAGACACTATAATAAATTTTGTCCTGGGTCGATTATGGAACAAATCGATATGCACCGAAAGAAGCGAGTGATCACCGAAATAAAATTCACAAATGATTCCGACCCAGACCGCCAAAGTCCCGCTATCAAATTTTTAAAATAGATTCATATGTCTGTTTTCTGAAAATGTATGATAGCAATTTGGATTTGACAGCTTTCGAAATGTTTTCACACACATCAGCAAATTCGCTAGGCCCCAATTATTGTCACGGAGATAATTTATAACATGTGCGTGTTTTGTAATGGCTGTTATGATTCCATAGCTTCATATAACAATCAACAATAATCCCAGAATCTTTGCACAAAAATAACAAAAACGTCCAAGATGGTGGTATGTCCAAACATGACCGCCTATAAATATATTAAAATTCATAGAAAACATGAAAAGAATTTGCTTAAAGGGGAATTATGGGAGATTAGATAAAATGTTGACAGTTCTTGCTGTAATAGTTAAAAAAAATAGATAATGTCAATACTGCAAAATTCAGTCACATTGCTCCACTCTAAACCGAGATATTAGCTTTCGAATTTTAGGCTAGCCTCGATCATCATTACTAAAGTCGGTACAATACCCCCCGAGTGGCGTTAAACCCGATTTCTTTCTCTCTTTTTTATGTGTCCGATTTACATTGGATTTGAATCCGATCTGCTGTTCAACGCCCGTCGGGCGTTGATGATAAACCGCAAAAAAATGGATAATCGAGACTTTGTTAATTATCGTGACAGTGGTAACAATGACAACTGAGGCTACAATGATTTCGAAGCACTTTGATTAAAATTTTCAGCACATTCCCTTTATATTATCTAGTTTTTAACTTTTATAGCGAGAACTGCCACCTCCTTATCTAATCTCCCATAATGTATCTTTAATATTACAAATATAATAACAAAAGCAATGAATGTAACAAATAACTTTAAAGAACACTTTTTATTTAAATTTTGATGCATGGGTTTCCCAAATATTTAAAAAAAGGGATTTAAACTACCTACTCTACATTAAAAATATCTTACAGTTACAAGTACATGTGTTTATATATGTGTATAAGCTAGGGATACTAGAACATGGCCGTTAGCCACATTCCCTTCGATATTATTACCACAGTGACATTTTAGGAGGTGGGCTTACACGATTCATTATAGTTCCCCAAACTTACTTTCAATGAAACCAATTTGCAGTTTATCTGCTTGTATGCTACTACAATTTTGTGTATATCAAAATTCTTTGGGTGGTCAACCTCATACAAAATTTGGGACACAGACATGACCATTTGTGAATCTCTGACTGTAGTGAAAAGCATTCAGTACAACAAAAATTTGGGAAAAAGTTGGAACCGGACAAAGAGACAAAGAGTGCTTCCAAAATTCAAAATGACGTCTATTCTATATCAACAGAAACACCATCATCTTTCATATCAACAGAGACGCCATTTTCTATATCAACAGAAATACCATCTTCATCGTCTTTTATATCAACAGAAATACCATTTTCTATATCAGCATCTTCTATCCCAACACCTTCTTCTATAGCAACGAAAACACCACCTTCTATACCAACAACATCTTTTACACCAACAGCATCTTCTATATCAACAGACACAACATCTTAAGTATCAACAGAAACAACATATCAACAGAAACAACATCTTCAATATCAACAGCATCCTTTATATCAACAGAAACACCGTATGTCATATCCACAGCTTCAACATCTTCTATATCAACAGAAAGAACATCTTCCACATCAACAGAAACAACATCTTCCACATCAACACAAGCAACATCTTCAATGAAAATAAACAGCATCTTCTATATCAACATAAACATCTTCCATATCAATCTTCTATATCAACAGCGGCATGCAGGTGATATGAGGAACAGCACGTTTAATCAAAAATTGATTTAATTTTTTGTAAGCCGTTTTTTTTTCAGGTAACCGTGTCTGGTGTCTGGTAAATTGTTGATCTACGTACATTATTAATGAGTAAATGGTACCTATATTTACAAAACACTAATGATTTCTTCGAACCATAATCACGCTTAGTCACCGATAGGTCTACAAAAAAAGCTATTCCCATCTTTTGTTATTCAGTTTCATCTGTCTGGCTTCACTCCAACAGCTTAGACTTCTCAAACAGGACCTCATCACATAATAGATCAACCATTAAAAAGACACTCACACGAAACACACGAAAACGGAGGTGACGACATAAAGGGAACAGGTGCGATGGCGATGAGATATGTTATCTATCTAGTGATGTTAATTACATCGAGCTGTGTGTCCAACTCAACAGACACCATCTTCACAAGAATAAGTTTAGATCATATGATAACCAAAGAATACTCCTTATTATTCGATGGTGTCTCATTGGGAGAATGTGGCATGAAATGTGCCTGGTATCCCGGATGTAGATTGTTTTACTATGATGACCATGCTTGTTATATTTTAAATATGGCGAATAGTGGACTGACTTCCATCAATATATCATCTTTTCACGTCGATCAACATCTGAAAGGTTTGTATACCATTATTACAATTACGTCAACTCGGACATTTTCTATTAGTGTACACGTTGACAGTTGGAAATCGGCAGATCGAGGGCGAAAACGCCGCTGCCGGGGCACAAGTTCCTCATAGCACATTGCATGGCCTATACCACATGTCTTTATTAGCCCCGATGGTTCAGAAAGGTTGACCTTTAACCCCCATTCCATTTAATCTATATGGCTAAGATTTAATATTTTCACCCTGCAAGCCCCCCAGTTTATTTTCCTGGTGGAGAAGAGTGCATATGCCTCGTCTAGAATATTCAGGGTTCGAATCCCACTAGTGGATTTTTCAAGTCTGGTTCACACTCAGGGCTTGCAAGGAACGCTTGTCTAGTCATTCGGAACACAAGGTACCAAATATGATTTACTTGTAATGTTCGTCCTCTCATTGTTCAAATGCTTCACATCAAATAAATGTGTTAAAAAACTGAAGCCTCTATCGCATTCACAAGGTATTTGGAAAACTTTGTACATATTTCACATTTACCGTAAAATGCATTGGGCATAACTCCGAAAGGTGAGGTCTGATGCGCACCAAATACATCTAAGATCTTTTGATTTTTAACACACATTTTAAGTTTCATGTAAAACTCTGTACATATTTCACATTTTGCGTAAAGGGCGCGGGGTATAACGGAATGCTGATGCGCTCCAAAATCGAACTCATCAACGACTTTTTGACTCCTAACGCATATGTCGATTTCCATCTAAACCGACGGTCCATAACATTGGTATACGTATTACATGCTTGTCCACTATTTGCGTAAACTGGGAGGTGAGGGTGGGGGGGGCGGCATTTCCAATTTTCACGGAATTCAAAATTAATCCTCTAGAGAGTCCACAAGCCCAAACGCGATTTTTCGTACAATCAGGTGCAATAATCCAGAAAATTACAGTAAGTCTTATAAGCGCAAATATCGAACGGAACCAAGACCGTTAGATAACTATATATTTTACGTTTCATCAAAATCGAATAACAATTGTAACCTCTAGAGATCCAAAAAGCTAATATTGTGATTTTTTTTTTCGTACAATCAGGGGCAATAACCTATGGAGTTACGGTCCGATATATACCAATGGGATATAAATCTATATTTCAAGTTTTGTGCCCCTTAGGGGGAACACAAACAAATGTGAACGGACACACGGACGAACTGATAAATATGGACGACGACATAATACGTCCACATGAAAATGTGGGCGGATAAAAATGTTTTGATTATGTCGTAATAACAAGATAATTGTGTCGTAATTACAAAATATGTCGCAAATCAAATGTGAACGGACACACGGGCGAAGAGATAAACAGGGGCGACGACATAATACGTCTACATGAACATGTGAGCGGATAAATTTTGATATGTCGTGATTATGGCGTAATTACAAGATACATGTAAGTATGTCGTAATTACCAAATAATTACGTAGTAACTACCAGAGAATTATGTCGTAATAACAATAAAATTATGTCGTAATTACGAGAAAATCAGAATACTTTGGTTTTTTTTATTTGATTGACCATTATTGACTTCCGCAGTCAAAATATTCAGTCTTATAAACAATATACAAACATTTCTTTTCGTGACTTTCTCGGGCTTGTTTTTGCGGGTTTTTTTTTTCTTTACCGCACTCCGTCCATCTAAATCTTTTGATAAACTTTGATTATCTAGTCAATTGACTGGATCTCTTACCCAGAACGCAGTTTCCTTAAAGAAGCGTGTCTTTAGATGTTTTAACAATGTGAATTTCTCATATGAGGAATATTGTCAGGTGTTCTATGTTCCTGTACCCGTGTATTTATATTTGCAGAACAATGCAATCATCTATCTGGATATGCATCGTACTTTGATGGACTGTTTTGTTTGAAAATCTACAACGAAAACGCAACGGATTGGTTGTCAGCCAAGACGATTTGTGAACAAGATGGTGGACAACTACTGACCTTAACAACGGAGAAATTCTCTTTTCTAGAAGATTTTCTTTCGAATCTTACAGGTTAGATGAACGATGCGTGTATGACGTATGTCCTGGCAAGAAATAGCGTCTAGTCGTTCGGATTGGAGAGAGAGAGAAATGGGGTTTAACGTCCACTCGACACAAACTAGGTCAATTCGGGACTAACATTTGGTTCAATTTTAGTTCAATACTTTTCTTGCGCGTAGAGGTCTTTAGCAGTGGGAAGAAACCGGAGGACCCGGAGAAAACTCACGAGGTTGGACAGGCGACCCTACTCCTTGTCACGTACAATCAACACCACGCCAGTTGACTCAATGACAGACCTTATGATACAGCGCGCACGCGCTAACCATTCGGTCATCCAACCCTCCTCGTT